GGCTTGCTTTTCAAGCTCAAAACCCATTTACCTCAACCCTTGTACCTAGTCCTCAAATCCTACCTTTCAAATCGCTCCTTTCAAGTCCGCTGCGGCACTGAACTCTCCAAACATTATCCAATTGAGGCTGGTGTTCCACAAGGCAGTGTCTTGGGCCCAGTTCTCTACATCCTTTTCACCGCTGACATCCCTTCAAGTCCTGATACCTTCCTAGCAACATTTGCTGATGATACTGCCATCCTATCCTCTCACTCGGATCCTCTAATAGCGTCTCAGAACCTGCAAAGACACCTTTCCTTCATTGAGCAGTGGTGCAACAACTGGCGCATCAAAATTAATGAATCAAAATGCAAGCATGTAACTTTCACTCTTCGACGCAGATCCTGTCCGCCAATCCTTTTTAATTCAATTCCTCTTCCCTACTCAGACACAGTCCGATACCTTGGCTTCCTTTTGGACAAAAGACTGACTTGGAACCCACATACCAGACTTAAAAGACAAGAGCTTAACCGACGATTTGGTCAGCTATATAGACTACTAAACAGAACATCTCATCTCTCAACAGAAAACAAATTATTAATCTACAAGACCATACTGAAACCTATCTGGACCTACGGACTTGAACTGTGGGGGACAACTAAATCATCGAATATCAAACGCATCCAATCCTTCCAGTCCAAAGTCCTTCGAACAATAGTCAATGCTCCATATTATGTCACGAACAAGACCCTACACCATGACCTTAACATCCCATATGTCCATGACATCATCCCATCCAGATTCTCCAACTTTCACCAGAACCTCATTCATCATCCCAATCCTCTAGCGCAATCCCTATCCAGCTCCGAACATCCATACCATCCCCCTCGAAGGTTGAAACGGCAGTGGCCTCGAGATCTTTTGTAAATATGCCTTTGGAGTCCTGGCAATGGCCAGCTTCTCCACTCATGTCCTGAGCGTCTGTGGCTCTAGTGCCCTCTTTCAGTCTCCATTGGCTTCTAATACTAGTGATGCGGCTGGAAAAGTGGCGCTGGGATCTTCCGGAGTCTTGCTTTGCCTTCCACGTGTGGGGGAAAAAGCCTGGCTCGGAGATTCTTGGGCGAATGTATATATTGTATATAGGTATGATTGTGTTTAGAAGTTTTTATTTTATTTTATTTGTTTATTTTATTTTTATTTAACTTCTTCACCAGTATTATTTATTTACTTATTATATTTATGTTTATTTCTTTATTATTTGTATATATTGTATGAATGAGAACTTGTAGCCCTAATGCTTATAGCCCTCCAGCAGTGGCTGATTGTATTATTATTCAATAAAAAAAAAAAAAAAAAAAAAAAAAAACCTGTACCACTACAACCCATGAAGGGTCTGGGGTTCAGTACTATTTAGGGAAAGCACTGTTTCTAGGTCAACGGTTGTGCAAGGAGGTGATTTGACCGAGATCACGCTCAACCGCCAGGTTTTCCCCCTGATTAAGGGTATCCACTTTATAGAGGCTGGGTGTGCCCCAGGAGGGACTCCTGACCCAAGGTCGCTCCACGGCCAATGAAACAGATAAATAAATTTTCTGCCATGAGCCGGGATTCGAACTCGGGACCTTTGCATTGGAAGCTCAGTGCCCTACCACTGAGCTACCCCGCTCCCATTATTATTCAATAAACAGATTAAAAAGTAAAAATTTGACCATAATAGGAAAAGTATGCAATTTACAGTGGGTTATATCCAGGAATAATTAAAAGGTTACAAAATAAAAAAAAATATCGAAATCAGACCATATTATGAGCAAAGATATGAACTACAGTAAATTGTACAAATGCTTTAGTTTATTTTTATGAATTAACTATTTTAATTCGACCAATAAAAGGAAAATTAATTCTTCCAACTCACATTGCATTAACATATTTCGATACTATTCTATCAATTGTTCTCTGACTAATATTTTATGTGAATGATTCGCAGGGGCCAGCTAGTATACTATATTCACTGTATATTTATTTCCAATTAGAAAACAATGTTTACTTAATAAAAAAATTCCCTGACTTCTCCCATTTTTTCCAGATCAGTCGCCACTCTGTATATATTTCATACAGAGGTGAGTGAAATTTTAAATTGATTAATTAAAATTGTTGCTTTTCGTAGTTTAATAAGGATTTTTGAGGTTTTCTGAAATATGTCTATCACTGGTACCAATCCTCTGTCCATCACTAGAACAATAGGATTTTGGAGTATCCACTACTACTACAAAAAGTTGTAATTTTATACTGGATATTATACTTGCAACACCAATTATTTTTTTCAATTTTAAGGTATGCAATATGAAAAGGAGATCCTAAAGTTTCTAAATATCCAACAGAGAAGTTCATAACTAAAATAAGTAAGGCGAGAAAAGGCAAAAAAGACAAAAATTACCATAGCTATATCCATCACTGATGCACTTATCCTAATCTTATTCAGTATCAGTAACTTCATTATTTAGTTAATAATAATAATACTTTATTTATTCCAGGACGAGTACCTTTAGAATAATACAGAGACAGAAATGTGGGCTAAGGAGCCTCAGAGATACATAAGCAAAAATACTGAGTAATTAAATTGTCATAATAAAAAAAGTAGAAGTTACTTTCTAAATTTAATCAGTTATTAATACAAAAAAAAAATCTGAATAGAAATTATTTTCTGGCAATGTTGGGGGCTATTATCAAATTTTTGAAGTGCATTTTAAATGGAGCTAAAGCTTAAAGCTTACAAATAACAAATCATTAAGACCATTTAAATTTAAAAAGTCTACTTATTATATCGACGGTAGGCAATAAAAATCTGATTTTATAGACCACATAACTTCAGTCCCTGAGGCTTTCAGTTGATAAAATTAGTAACTCCAATTTCAACATTTTTATTAATGTCAATTTAGTGATATTTCTAGTTGGAAAAGTTATATCTAGTCAGACAGTGAGTAAATTTATTTCAGAGTAGGTGATTGCAGTGTTGAAATACAGAACTGTGAATAAAGGTATAAATTTTGCCACTAGAAACATCAGTAAAATTAATAATGAAGAATGGTGAAATTGGAGTTAGTCATTCTGTCAACTGAAAGGCTCATACATGCCTAGAGAGATTTGAAAGTACATCTGAATATTTAACCTATAAATGATTTTGGATTGTAGGACTATTAGTTATTAAACTGTTATTTTCCATTGTTAAGTTTACTAAAATGAAATTACGAGATTTTTATTACCTGTCGTGGATAGGTCAAAAGTTGTCACACTAATATAATTAGTTTAACAATTATTGTAAGTGAATAACATTGGGATTTCACGAAGGGAAAATTCATCAAATTATACACTAATTTAATTTTCTAAAAGATTACTTGACGATTTTTTTAAATAAACGGCCAATAGATACCTAATTATTTAAATATAATATATCTTGTTATTAAACTACAGCAAATGTATTTAAGTTTATAAACATATCCATAAAATATTTTTATATTTCATTTCTTCTTTCACACAAGTACAATTAAATAGTATTTTAAACAATAGCACTGGAATGATTCAGTGGATTTTAAATACTTTTTTTTCAAACTTAAAAAAATTAAAAGTTCACATGTAGTAATGAAATTTCATTGGGAACATGTGATTTACGTTAAATATTGTTAGTTTTCTGATATTATGTTTTCTAAAATTCTCCATTTTCCAACGATATAATATACTACCTTCTGATTGTTATTTCCGGAGATTCATTTTCAACCTGTATTAGCATTTTTCTTTTTTCTTCAGTGTCAAATTATAATATTCTTTCAAACTTCATATTTAGCCATTTTTAATAGTTACTGTCAATAAAAGAGTTATTTTTTTTAAATAGACCATATCGAAAGTACTTTAAGGAAGAAGTATATAAACATTGGTCATTTAAGCCTTATAAAGTGACATCAACAGGGATAAGGCCTAAATGATATTAAAGACCACTTAAGTATACAATGATACAGTGAGTTTAATTAAAATCGTCAAAACCATTTTTGAGCAAATCGTAAAAATGTGTTTCACCGTTGATATAAAGTGACACTTCCAGTTAGCAGATTTTAAGGAAAAAGTTGTAACATATGAGTTATATTCCTATCTTAAATACGTAATATCAGTATCGTACGACTTTTTGTTTTTGAGCTAGACAACACTCACAGACCATTTTGCGGGACTTTTTCTTTGGACTCAGGGACCTCAAAACATGTATTTCCATTGAAAACTCAGATTAAAATATTTTCACGATCACAATTGTTGGTTGCTATATGTTTCATATATAGGTTAGTGAAAGTAATAAAAAATTGAAAAAATAATGAAGAACGATCTAATAATTTATATAAATATTTACAGTAGTATCTATTTACAATTTTATGGGGACTAAATGGATAAGAAATGATTGAACAGGTGGGATTTAAAGGTAGAAAGGATATTGGATTGACGGATGTGGGAAGGGATGGAGTTCCATAGGGATGAGGATCGGATAATGAACGATCTGTCGAAAACAGCGGTTCGGTGCAACCTTATGTATAAATCAGATCAGTTACACAATTACATTCAAAATACAACTTCAGAAAACGTCTTGATTTGGTGACATGTTGCTAAAGGGACTTTAAGGACTAATTACCCATCTCTAAACGGACTTTTGTATATTGTATATCAAAAACAATAAATTCAGTTGGGTCTAGAAATACAACAATATTGATGATTTAGGTACAACAAAACTATTCAAATATTTATTTATTATTAAAACAGATGTTTATCTACAATATTATTTACATTACAAAACCTTAAAAGAAAAACCCAAGGTTTTTCAAACACTTCTTGTCTAAGATCTTAAAACTAAGCCAAAAAAACGAAGTTTTATCAGAGCTAAAATATTAAATAATAAAATACTTAGAATATATAAACTAATCTAACCTAAAAATTTTACAAGCTAATCTTCGTTACAAAATTAAAACTCATTAAAACAATTATTACATTGGACATTAAGAACAGCACATCATTGTCTTAATTACTTTATTACAAAAAAATAATACTAAATAATTTATAACACACATTATTCAACTGACATAAAATTAAAACTACGATCACAGAAAAAATATTTTTATCAACCATATTTTCTTACAATGGCTATGCATTGTTCATCTTCATCATGTACTCCATTTGAGCGAGTTTTTCTTCAAGCAAATCCATTCTTTTCCTTAATGATTCATTCTAAAACAGACCAAACGACTCTCATCAACCAATCAAAACCAGTAATACTGTGAAAATGTATTCATAAATACCTACCTCAAATGTCAGTGATTCCATCAATGAAAGTACACTGTCACTGGAACATTTCGAACATAAATCATCCTTAGCAGGATTTTGTAAATGGCTATTCACTGATTCCACTTCCTTAGTGATGTTTTCTGATTGCTCATTTAAACTGTTAATTTCATCTTTGTCAGGCAGATTTGCTGAAAATTAAAGTATTATTATAAAAATATCAAAGAAGGTTCTTCTATTTATAAAAAACAAGAATTTCCAATTATAAATATTTTATATGTTATATTCTTGTATTTTGGTGTCGATTAGAGTTACTGAAGAACAGGTGATTGATTGAAGGTTACAAACGTAATTTATTTCTCTCTCCAAATTCTATTGAATTATCACAAGTTTAAGTCAATTAACTGCATGTTGATTTCCATTATCTCTTCCATATTCGTGAGTTAAATAAGTGCAATCAATTGAAGTAAAATTACTGGTGCAGCGGATTCTTCCGCTAAAAATGACGGAAACTTCGGCTTCAAACGATTCACCAAATGAAGTCAACCACGATAATGCACCAGAAGCTATGTCCTGGGAAGTTGTGTCTGGACGAAAACGACATGTAGCTTCAGACAGAGATCCACGTCACAAACAAATAAAGGTTAGTGATACTATTATTACTAACAATCGATTCGAAGTTTTATCAAATACTCCGGAAGATAGACAGCCAGCAAATAATAATCCCATTATTATTAGACCTCCACCTATTCATATAAACGATGTGAAAGACTACACGGCATTAGTAACCTATCTTCACAATGAAGGTGGCCCTAACAGTTTCAGGTTGAAAACGTCTATGAGAGGAGTCAGCGTGTATCCTGAAAACGCAGAAATATACCGTAGGTTAGTGACCAGTCTTAGAAGGGGTGGAGCTGATTTTCACACATATCAACTCCCGGAAGATAAAACGCCTCGAATAGTTATTAAAAATTTACACCACGCCACACCTCCAGCGACCATAAAACAGGAACTTGCCAACTATGGTTACGAGGCAACCAACATCGTAAATGTTATATCAAGATTCAAAACACCGTTGCCAATGTTTTTCGTTGATGTGTCCAAAGCAACGTTCAATGATAAAATTTTCGACATTGAATTCCTGTATTACACACACGTGAAGATCGAAGAGCCAAGGAAAAAAAGGATCATTCCGCAGTGCGTACGTTGTCAGCATTATGGCCATACCAAGACGTACTGCAACCACCAGCCGAGGTGTGTAAGGTGTGGTATGGGTCACGAAAGCACTTCCTGTACAAAGACTCGAGAAACAGTCGCAAAATGTGCCAACTGCCAAGGACCACATCCTGCTAACTACAGAGGTTGCGAAACTCTGAAAGAGCTTAGGAAGACCCGCACAAGAAACCATACTCTGCAAAGGCCTCCTAGAGTTCAACCCCCACCACCAGAACTACACGAGTTCCCACCACTGCATCAGCCTCAATACCCTCATCCGATTCCCTCAGGACCAGAACAACAGCAGCAGAGACAGCAACGAAAACCAGCACCGGCAACAAACCAAGAACAAAGGCCTAAAGGTATGAGTAGGGGCATTGCCCAAACGCTCCCTACTATTGAAACCTCCTCAGGTGATATCATACATTTGATTAGCGGTCTCAATAACCTCATACAGCCCCTCTTCAGTCTTCTACAACAGCTATCTCAGGCTACTCTCGCTCTTACCCAAAAATATGCCCCGTAATCAGACGACTGTGGGCTCCATGTCTATTATACTATGGAACGCAAACGGACTGAATCAACATAGAACCGAACTAGACATATACTTACACGAGAAACGCATTGACATTGCACTAATAACAGAAACACATCTGACACCACATTCTAAATTTTACATCCGTGGTTACAAAATCTACAGAACTGACCACCCAGATGGAACTTCACATGGAGGCACTGCCATAATTATCAAAACAACTCTAAAACATAATCCTTTACAATTACCCATAACACCAGAGATTCAAGCTACAGCCATTACACTATCAACACAACAACAAAACATTACTCTTGCTGCGGTTTATTGCCCTCCGAGGTATGTTCTGACACCCATGATGTTTAGTAATTTCTTTAAACGTCTTGGTAGATGCTTTGTTGCAGGAGGCGACTACAACGCCAAAGATCAGTTCTGGGGATCCAGACTATCTACTCCAAGAGGAAGGAATCTTAGGTATGTTCTTTATGAGCTTTCATTAGACACAATATCACCTAATTCACCCACGTACTGGCCAACTTCTAGACGGAAAACACCAGACTTACTCGATTTTTTCATAACTAAAGGACTCCGAACAACACCTCACACTATAACAACGAGTTCAGATCTTTGCTCTGATCATTCCCTTTTGCATTTGGTATTGTTTGAAGAGCCTTGTGAAGCTACAAAAAAACTGTCCCTGATCAATGGCATAATGGATTGGGACAGGTACAGGAACCAATTGGACACTGCTCTCTCTGTTCCTCTATCCATTAAAAACGAAGAAGAACTTGAGGATGCCGTTGAATACTTCACACGAAATATCCAAGAAGCAGCATGGTCTTCATCAGTACCAAAACCTCAAAAATATGAGTTCCTACCAATGTACCCACAATACATAAGGGACTTGATCAGAGCGAAGAGGAGAGCTCGCAAAATATGGCAGACTGACAGACTCCCATCAGATAAACGAACTTACAACAGACTTAATAATGAACTCAAGCGACAGATTGGAAAATTCAAACGAACAACCTATGACAACTACATCAGAAATCTCTCAACCGACGATGGAAGCTTGTGGAGACATACTAAAAACCTTATTAAGCATCGTGAAGTGTCAGCACCCCTTCGAAGACAAGATGATTCCTGGGCCGTGACGGACGGAGAAAAATCAGAACTCTTTGCCGAATATCTTTCTTCTGTTTTTGTACCACACACAGACTTCACTAACACTGTGCACGATAACAATGTACTAAACACTTTAGACATGCCCTTACAACTAACTTCACCTCCTATTTCATTCACACCTTCACAGATTGCTGAACAAATCAAAAAGTTGCCTAAAAGAAAAGCTCCTGGACATGACTTGATTAACGCTGAAGTGCTCCAACAAATGCCTAGAAAAGCTCTAGTGCTTTTGACAACTATTTATAATGCAATACTGAGGACAACTAAATTTCCCCTACAGTGGAAATACTCACATATAATAATGATTCACAAGCCTAAAAAGGACAAAAACTCACCTTCCTCATACCGACCAATCAGCTTACTACCTATCTGTTCCAAAATTTTTGAAAGCTTACTGAACAAAAGACTTGTTGATATACTAACAAACACCCAAATAATACCTGACCATCAATTTGGATTTAGGGCACATCACTCAACTATACACCAACTACATAGAGTAACGGACTACATATCTACAGCACTAGAGCAGAAAGTATATGCAACTGGCGTATTTCTGGATGTTGCTCAAGCGTTTGACAGAGTTTGGCACCAGGGTCTTCTCTTTAAACTCAAGACAATACTCCCACCTACATATTATCTAATTCTACAATCCTTCCTTTCCGATAGATTTTTCTCGGTCCGACACGGGTCAGAACTATCTTCCATCAGGTCTATCTCAGCAGGAGTACCTCAAGGTTCAGTACTCTCTCCACTACTCTATATCACATACACCCATGACATACCTTGTAGTCCCAACATTTTAACAGCGACATATGCAGACGACACAGCAATTTTAGCAAGACACAAAAATCCAACATACGCCTCACAGACCCTACAACAGTATTTAACAAGATTACATGACTGGTTCAAAATTTGGAAAATCCGACTAAATCAAGACAAATCACAGCACATCACATTTACGCTTCGACATGAAACATGCCCTCCAGTTTTCCTTGACGATACACAGATTCCACAGACAGACACCGTTCACTACCTTGGTCTGACATTTGACAGAAAAATGACGTGGGGCCCACATATAATCAAAAAACGAAAAACTTTAAATCAAAGATTAAGAATTCTGAGTTCACTTCTTTCAAAAAATTCAAAACTAAAACTTAGACAGAAATTGAACACATACAATTACTTACTAAAACCTATTTGGACTTACGCATCACAGATATTTGGAACTGCTAAAAAGACTCACTTAAACAAACTTCAAATCTTTCAAGCAAAAACATTCAGAACAATTACAAAAGCACCTTGGTACGTTAGCAACATAACCTTACATACTGACCTCCATATGCCGACTGTTAACGAACACATACGTATTCATTACAAACGATTCCATGACAACTTACAAGGACATACTAATACACTTATAAATGACATGGCCACTACGAATATGCCCGGTAACGTCTGTAGGAGACTGAAGAGGAGCTGGATGAGGGACCTCCTCGCCTAATGTAGATATCACGCCGAGTGAGGTGCCGCTGGGCACTGATCCTCCTCATGCCTTTCATGACAATTCTATTAATCAATCGATCTCACATTCACTGGTTGTCATTAGCATTATGTCAGGTGTGAATAAAACATTAAACCTAAAAAAAAAAAAAAATATTCTTGTATTTACCGTCCTATTACTCATTGGTATAACCATATGTTATCTGTATTGATATTTTAACACTTTAGTAATTATGTTATGTATTCTGAAAGATAACAATATTTCCATAATGAAGATATTCATCATTACTTATCTTACAATGATTCCTTGAACATATCACCCCACCAGTAATATAAGACATAAGAAAATAGAACTTCAGAATAATATTAATAAAATGTGAATGGATATAGTATAATTTTATGAATCAATCAAAATATATTTCTTAGCTTCAGACATTACAATATTTTGTTATTACCTCATTATAAAAGCTCTGAGTCTGAGAGAAAACAAATTCCTAAAAAGCGTGCTGTATAACAATAATATTGAAAGTATATTGTATTATAACACCAATTCTCTAAACACAAGGCTTCATAGAAAAGCTAGTTGATGATTCATCTGGAGGCTCTTAGATAGGGATGGCCATCAATAGCTTATAATATTGAAATAACAATATCTTTCTTCCAATATTCGATATTTTTCCATCGATGGCATCAACGAATTGACTATTGATATCATCCTTACGATATTTTAAAAATTAAAATTAAAACTATCATTTTAGGAAAGCTCTAGGGATTGTATATGAATGACCATTAGAAAAAAATTATAATAATACTTTTTCTCAATATTTCTCTCTTCTACTTATGTGCATAATATTTATTTTCCAACTTATTTATTTTAAGCCACTTTACACCAATTTTTAATTTGGTCAACTTAATGACTACAACATCTTAATTATGACGTTTCGGCTCGTTGAGCCATTTTCAAGTCCATCGTGTACCTGTCCATTTCACTTATGGGAATTACATGCGTCTACTCATAATAAAATGTATCACTCTTGTCATGTCCACCTTTAACTTATCATGTGTCTTATTATATGACATGTGGGTGACACATGATAAGTTAAAGGTGGACATGACAAGAGTGACACATTTTATTATGATTAGACGCATGTAATTCGCATAAGTGAAATGGACAGGTACATGATGGACTTGAAAATGGCTCGACGAGCCGAAACATCGTAATTAAGATTTTGTAGTCATTCAGTTGACCAAATTGAAAATTGGTGTAAAGTGGCTTAAAATAAAAAAATTGAAATATAATCATACTGCGTGTTTTCATGTAGAGTTTAGTGAATAGTAGAGTTGAATAGCGCAAGTAGATTATAAACTTATAACCATAGAATATAACCTTAGAACACAGATAACTTTGTTGAGAGTGATTTTCGGGTGTAAACCCAATATGCCCAAATTTGTTTGTTAGAACCTTCTCAACGCCATGAATTGTCAAAGAAATCCATATAGGATGTAAATACATTAGCATTTCGCTAAATCCGATCTAGGGGTGAATGGAAGGCATGATTGGTTGAAGGGAAATTTACGGAAAAAAACTAAGAATGAGGAAGATGGAGCCAGGGAGTAGGGAATTTCACAAAGAGGAGTAGAAGCATTGATAATTCCATTAATTTAAAGAGGAAAATAAAATCTTTTTTAATGCACCTTTGGGCTAAAGAACAATATTTATATTCATATTCATATTTTGAAATTACTGATTTTTCAAAAATATATATAATATATTATCAGACTCGATAGTATCCTTAAAGTCCAATATTTTGATGGTATCGATTATATGGACAACAGTTATAAAATAAATTAATTTAAGGTGAATATTTTCCTTATTTGAAATCTAAAATATCCTAGTTTTAACAATAATCTCCTTGAAAGATACCAGAAGGTAGAGAATGGAAAGAATAATACGAAAGAAATATTCCTAAAAAAAATGATGTGTGGGTATCACCTTTAATAATTCAACGTTATAAGGCGATATTTTTATCGATGTCAATATCAATTTGGGCTTCGATATCCCATCTTGCATAGTAAATATTAAATGGATCATCATTAAATATGCAAGTGAATTAGCTAATGCTTATGGGTCATTCTTCAATTAATAGCCAATATGCAATCTCAAGTTTTTACCTTTTTGGATTTTCTTTTCAATTATCCATTCATCATACTCCAGGTTTGTAACACTAATTAGGGAACATAAAAGTACTCAATTAACTAATTGATTAGTTGGCTGATCACAAAGATAAAATTTCATAACTTTGACCATTCCAATTCTTAGTAGATGATTTTCTGAATTAGATTTTCAATGAGGCCTATGATTTCGGGTTAAAACTTTTGGTGTTTCTTATAAAGCAAGTCTTTTAGTCTGAAATTTATCATTATTCTAAAAGTAAGAATCGAAAAAAAAATTTTGTCAATCCTGTAACCAAAACACTGTCCTTTCTGTATAAGGGAACACTACTCTAACACCACAGATTACATATGTTCAGCACACTACAACACCTCCATGTTAAAAAATAATTTAAAATACTCACTAAACGATCACTTTACCTAGGTAGCCACCCTATATGAGAGGCTGGTAACCTTCTTTTCTTAAACACTTTTACAATACAAGAAAGACAAGACAGCTGGACTAGGGGTAAAAAAAATGTACATATGACCGGCAACATAGAATGATCCAGGTTCAACTGGCTCTGCAAGGAAATGAGGGGGGCAGTTGATACTTTGGATATCACAAATAAAAATCTGAAAAGAATAAAGAAATCTGGCAATTCAGGATTATGTTCCTATTTCAGGAATCTGAGAATAGTATGCTATGGATGATTTTGAAACGGAACGCCATTTTGGAGTAGGGAAACGAAACTAGAATCTAAATTTTCACTCATTGCGTGCACACGTGTGGATGGGGAACCATATTATCTTGTGCAACTTAGAACTTCCTGAACCTGCTCCGCTCCATGCCATTATATTAAAAAAAAGTGTTTGTATATGGGCACTCTATCTGGACGGGATTTTTAATTACATGCCTACTGTAGAACATTTTATTTATAAATATATTTATAAAATACAGATAATCACTTTCATTTATATATTTTAAATGATTTGCTTAATAGATAAACTTAATTGTTATTAAAATAAAATGCTTAAATATTTTTATTAAATGATTTTGTAAATTACTTATAATTTAGCTAAATTATGTTTCTTTATTTTACTTATATTGTAATTTTCTGGATCTAATTTTAAATATATTTTTATCACATTAGTGTATACTTTAGAAGTTAAATCTTCGTGAATCAGGAAAAGAAGTACTTTTTTGTAACGTAAACAAAAAAAAATTATGTATTAAATCCACTTCACCAAGTGTCACCTTTAAGCATAATATTAAGATATATATCACCAAGAGAAGCAATGCTACATAATAATTACATACCTTGATCTACATTAGAAGGATTACAACTATAACTTTCTGCATTATATTGTCTTTCAACATCTGATGATGAGGTGTCCTCGTAATCCTTGACAGAGTAGATATCCTAAAAGAAAACAATTATCTATAGTCAAACAACTATATTTAAAACAAGATCCTAAATTGGTAAATTCCTGTGTTCAATAGTAATTCAAATTTCTGACTTTTTTCAAAAATCCCTGACGCCTTCCGAAAACATCTCATTAGTGACAGTTTTAAGTACATCAATGCATACTGGGAATCTAAAAAACTTCTTTAATTTATATATATAATCTGCAGAGTTTAAGATATATAAATTTCAATACTTTTTATTCATTTCAACTGAAAGAAAAAAAATCTGGTGCGCGCAACACACAACTTTCACTTACCGCTCAACTTCGAAGCGAAGTTATTTTCTGGCCATGTTGGGCTATTATAAAATTTTTGAATTGCATTTTTAAAAGAGTTAAAGCTAAAAAATTACAGCTCACAAATCATAAATACCATTAAAATAACAAAAGTTCTATTTATTATACCACCGATTGATTAAGGATTGTACAATCCGTTGATTACGGATTACAGGATCCGTTGATTATGGATTGTACGACTATTAGTTATTAAACTGTTATTTTCCATTACAAAGTTTACTAAAACTGAATTAAGAGATATGCATTATCTATCACAGACATATCAAACGTTGTCAAACTAATTGTAAGTGGATACGGTTGGAAAATCACAAAAGGAAATTTCATCAAAATATTCACTAATTTAATTTTCTAAAAGGTTACATGATGATTTGTCGGGAAAAAACGGACTACAGATACCTAAATATTTAAACATAATATCATATCTATAGTTATTAAACTACAGTAAATGTATTTAAGGTTATAAACATATGCTTTATACATCCATGAAATGATTTTATATTTTACTTCTTCTTTCACACAAGTACAATGTAAAAGGTTTTTTAACAATTTCATTGCCTTGATCAGGTGGATTTTAAACACTTTTTTCAAACTTATAAAATATTTTAAAAGTTTACATTTGGTAAATAAATTTCATTTAATTTCCTTGAAAACATGTGATTTACGTTAAATATTATTAGTTTTCAAAAATTATTATTTATAATTTTTTTGCCACTCTCTGTTACCTTCTGCAACTTTCTATATTAGATATTGTTTTTTCTAAAATTCTCTGCTTTCCAACGATATATTATACGTATACCTTCTGACTAGTATTTCCAAAGATTCATTTAAGACCTGGATAAGCATTTTTATTTTTTTCTCTTTTATTCAATTATCAAATTCTTTCAAAAGTTATATTTAGCATTTTTTCATAACTCTGAATAATGTGAGATGATTAACTTTGTAAACTAAACCACAATAAAGGTACTTTAGAGAAAGACGTATGAACATTGGGCATTTAGCCCTGTAAAGTGACATCAATGGGGATAAGACCTAATTGATATTAAAGACCACTTAATTATACAATGATACACTGAGTTTAATCAAAATCGTTACGAGCCGTTTTTGAGAAAATTGTAAAAATGTGTTTCAGCGTTGATATAAAGTGGCATTTCCAGTAAGCCGATTTTAAGGAAAAAGTTGCTGTCACATCTAAGGCATATACCTATCTTAAATACGTAATATCAGTTTCGTACGACTTTTCGTTTTTGAGCTAGACTGCTTACACACACACAGACCATTTTCAGGACTTGGTTATTTGGACTCAGTGTACCCCAAAACGTGTATTTCCACGATACGTCCTTACATCTTGTAGAGTGGCTCTATGTCTGGAATCCAATAGAAAGTGGTCAATTTGATTGAGTTTTCTTGTCAGGTGATATCCAGGTTTCCTTATGTATTCTCCTGTGTAGGCAGAGGGTCCCTCTAATAACCATTCCCTTGGATGCAGCGAAGTTAACGAGGCGCTGGCCATTTTTGTTAGTTTGTTCGTGAAGGCTGTGACGCCCTATAGTAGGGCAATAGATCTCTTCCTTTCACAATTATTTTAAATAATTAAAACTTCAAATTATTTCTCAGGCTGGGTTGAGACAATAAACACACATTCCTCAATTATATAATCTAAAAGCACACATTAATTTTATATAAAACATTTCTGAATTTCCATTTAATTTTGTCAGGGTCTACTCTTGGCGCTTTCAAAGTCACGATTTATTTTGCACTAAACGTGTTCTGCAGTGAATCTTTCTCTGTATTGTTGCTGAAGGTACTACTGCATTAAACTTCTACAAATGGCTTCTCTATTCTTACACTTTCATGTCCTCATCTAACTACTCACTACTTTTTTCTCTTTTTTTTTTCCTCACTACTGAGTACCCAGTACCTCGATGTCCTTGTGGCAGTACTGTTGGGATTGTCAGTGTGCTGCCGGCTTGGGGTGTCGATACTCAATTAAAAAACTGAAGAGGATCCCATTATTTATTTTGAAAACAGGGACCGAAACATTTGAATAAAAAGAATTAACAGAAGTTGTTTTAGCTCATTCAAGTGTATTTTATGACCTATGATCTGACTATAATTGTTATCTTAAGTTATAATATATAAAGGTTGAATTATAAAAACATTTTATTATATATATATATATATATATATATATATATATATTGTAATGTAAATATTATATAGTGATTTTGAATAGTGGCGTGAAGGCAGTGACATCACGAACTACTGTCAAAAATGGACAAAGAATGACAGATGGTGGGGGAGGAAGAGCCAGATCCGAGGCAGAATGTAGTCAGCCGGCTAGATGATCGAGATTACAAATAGTGACATGTGACCAACAAGTAATGAGAGTCAATAAAGAAGAACAAGAGAAGGTTGTAGAAGTTGGATACTACAAGACAGATGAAGATTCACTGCAAAACAGGGTGAGTGAAACATAAAAATAGACAGTTCGACAGGGCGCCAAGATTAGACCCTGACAAATGAATGGAAATCCATAAATGTTATGTACAATTAATGTATGCTTTTATATTGTATAATTGAGGATGTGTGTTTGTTGTCTCAACCCAACCTGAGAATTAATTATTGTGTAAAATAAATATTATTTGATATATAAATAGCCAAAGTAGTAATAGACGCTTTATGAAAATTGAAGGAATATATTAAAATTTAGAACTAATGACGACTTTTACATAATTTACAGGAAATTCCCATTTCTTTAAACGACTTCCTGACCCTACGGAATTCCCGGCATATTTCTAATTATTCCGACTGATAGACAATTTGTAGACACTCTACTATAATTTCATAGATACATACCTCAATACCTGAACTACTGATGTTTAAATTAGAGGTTTTAACACATATTTTAGGTCTTTTTGTTTCAGTATTATTTGCAACACTTTCCCTTAAAGGTCTTTTGGTTTCCTCAACAACTACTGGGGCTTCAAGATTAGATTTCCAGACAAACACCTATAAAGTAATTAAAAGAAACATAAGTTTTACAACAGAATTAAATAATAATAACAAAACTATCTCAATGTAATCTATAAAGTCTCTATTCAATAGATAGTTTAAAATTAAATAAAAATTAATAAACTAAAAGTAAATGATTATCTTTTGAAATAAAGAATATTGTTTATCATTTTATTTATCGTTATAATTAATGCATAACGTATGTTAAATAACAGTTATCCTTAGTCCAACAATTTCTTAATCATTGATTAATTTAATATAATTTAATTCTTTTCTTTAAAAAATAAAACATAAAACAGATGTCTTTCTCTAACATTACTTTAAAACATGTCTTCATTTTCTATTTATGCACCATTTATTTAGAAAACAAAAATAATCAACAAATGAACTTGCATTAAACTATATTGACTTTAATATTTAAACAGAATATTGATAGCAGAGTCCTAAAATATGTTTTCTAATTAAGTTTATTAATGAATAAAATACTTACGTTCTTATCATCGGACCCAGTAGCAAAATGATCACCTGATTTTGAGAAAGCAACAGCAGTAACAGGTTTGGAATGTGCTTCAAGAGTTAAAATAACTCTTCCTTCTAACAAATCAATGACCTAAACAAATAAAAATATATATAGTGAACCAATAAATACATTTACACCTTAATCTTAAAAACTGATTAATATTAAAAACTAGGAATGATAGGAATAAAGGATCTCAATAAAAATAAAATGGGAACCATAATTAATTATTTTTTTCATAAAGTCATTCAGTACAGAGTCGTACATTATAGTAGAGGAACATTTATATGCTGACCATTCTTTACAAACAAGCACTATCCCTCTGGTTTCTGGCAAAAGTGGCATGCTGTCTACCTGTTCAGAAACTATATGCCCCTAAATCAACTAAATAAAAAATTAAATCAGAAAGCACATATAATTTCCTTTAGCAGTATGACTATTTTACATATTTTTACTTCAAGTACAGAAATATAAATAGAAATTAGAAATTTCTGAAGCCCCTCAAAGCATCATAAAGTTTCGTGAAAAATTATAAGAAGATATCGGCCAAAAATTATAAAAGACTGCAGGGTACAAAAAAAAGTGGAAATAAAAATAATATCAAAGGAAGCTAGTCGACTGTTCAAAATATCATGGGTGATAAATATTCAGGAGGCAGTCTTTTAAAAAATATTTTTTAATTTTTTATTTTATCTAACGTTCCAACACAAACAAGTGGGTCATCTTCAGGGCGGGGTTCGAGCAATTAAGGCCTTTAAGAACTGACCTTTTTAATAAACATTTGTGATGTTTTTCACAAAATCTGCTTTATTGCTTGGAGTGTTTTGCCAAAAACAACCTAGATACGTAATGTAAAAATTATAAAATTTAATGTGTTAAAAATAAGTTTACTTTTAAATTCCATATTTATATAATCATAAAAAATCTAGACCGCACATCACACAACTTTCACTTACCGCTTTACTTTGAAAACCAATGCTTTTCTGGCAAAATGGGCTATTACAGGAAGTTTTTTAAGTGCATTTTTAATTTAGCTAAACCTTAAATAACATGTTTTTTATTTTCAGTCATATTTTTCAATAAGAAAATTCATTAAGACCATCACCATAACATAAACCCTATTTATTATATCCATTGTAGGAAATAAAAATCTGACAACTGTATCAGTCTATTTGAATCACATAACTCCAGTCTCTAAGCTCTATAGACAAAGAAAGATTTGATAAGATATATATTTAATTATGAATGTGTAAAGTCATACAGTAAAAATCATAGAAATTAAATCTTTATCAATATTTACATGTATTTAAATTCTTTTGTTTATCCTTAGAAAATTTACCAAAATACAGTTACTAGCTTTTGAATACAGCACCGACAGATCAAAAGTCGTCACACTAATTGTAAGTATATAATGTGATTTTACAAAAGGAATTTTAGTTGGAATAAATCAACGGGAGGTATACCTAATTGATTAAATATAATATCAGATCTGGAGTTATTAAACTACAGTAAATGTATTTAAGGCTATAAACATGTTTTAACCATCCATGAATTTTTTTTTTATATTTCACTTCTTCTTTCACACAAGTACAATGAAATAGTATTTCAAAACAATGTCATTGCTTTGATTCGGTTGGCAAACATGTAATTTCTGTTAAATAATATTAGTCCTCAGAGATTATTAATATATTTTTTTTCATCACTCTCCGTTATCTTCAACGACTTTCTATATTAGACATTGTTTTTCTAAAATGCTCTACTTTTCAATGATATATTATAAATATACCTTCTGACTATTAGTTCCGGGGATTCGTTTTAGAGCTAAATAAGCATTTTTCCCTTTATTCAATTATCAAATTCTTTCAAAAGTTATATTTAGCATTTTTTCATAATAACAAGATATTCACTAATGATGTTATGATTGTTCTTGAAGCCAGCTTGATTGGAAGATACCGAGTCTACCAATAAATAGAAACTTTTACTAAAAATATTCGGGAGTGGGGTAGCTCAGTGGTAGGCCACTGAGCTTCCAATGCAAAGTTCCCAGGTTCAAACCCCAGCTCATGGCAGAAAATTTATTTATCTGTTTCATTGGTCGTGGGTCGACCCTGGGTCGTGAGACCCTCCGGGGGCACACCCAGCCTCTATAAGTGGGTACCCTTAATTAAATAATTGATTAAGGGAGAAAACCTGACGGTTGAGCGTGATCTCGGTCAAATCACCTCCTTGCACAACCGTTGACCTAGAAACAGTACTTTCCCCAAATAGTACTGAACCCCAGACCCTTCATGAGTTGTAGTGGAACAGGTTTTTACTAAAAATATTCAATCAATAAAAATACACATTCCATTACAAGCAATGCTCTACTAAAATCTTTCGGAATTGATAAAAATTATTATTCTTAGAATGCATAAATACATACCTATACAGCACAGCAAACCTCTTTGGATCAAATGAGCTGGGATTCAGTATGTACATTTTTTTTATAATCCAAATAATTCCAGAAGTAGGGATAAATTTTAGTAAAAATTTCTGTATTTCAAAATTTTTTTTCTCAGTTTTTAGGGTTTTGCACACTTCTACAGTCCCTCCATTTAATTTATGAGGTACGACATAAGCATTGAAATTTATAATGTATCTTTCAAATACTTAATAACAATGGAGGGAAGGTTGTGCTCTCAACTGGTATCTCAGTATTTGCCTATTTTTCAGCGGAATCTCTCTGAGTTTTATTGAATACATTTCACGTGTACATCAGAGCAGTTGATATTTGCTGTTTGATATATTTTTTTATTTTTTTATATTTTTGTTTTCTTTCTTTCTTCTCTTATGGTGTGCAGTATAGTCACCAAGTGATCTCCAGTAAGGTGCCCAAGAGGACTCGGTCAGACGGAGTTAGTACACCTCGTGGTTCACCAGCCAAACAAAGAACCTACGAGAAACATCTCCAACAACAAAAGTGAACACTTCAGAACCAGAACCTCAGCCACAACCAGGAACTTCTTCGCAAGATATGATCGAAGAATCCCCTTTCTTTACTCCAAACCCCTACCAAGTGCTTCAAAATGACCTAGAGGTGATGGAGTCTGCAGCTATATCCACAGAAACAATGCCTCCTCCGATATTTGTGAAAAATATCAAAAATTTCCAGTTGTTCTGCACCCAACTAAATAAAATTTGCTCTGGCATTTATTCATGCCTTAACAGGACCAACAATACAAACATAACACCAGATGTTGCTGAAACCTACCGAATAATAGTGAAGTACATCTCAGAAATGAATGCAAATTTTCATACGTACCAGCTTAGGCAGGACAGATTGTTAAGAGTAATAATGAGAAATTTACACTCCTCAACCCCAACTGAAGTAATAAAAGAAGAACTAGCGGCGCTTGGTTTCAAAGTATATCAGGTAACCAACGTTCTAAAGGAGAATAACATGGAACCCTCATACTAGACTTAAAAGACAGGAACTTAACCGACGATACAGCCAACTATACATACTACTAAATAGAAAATCTAAACATTCTATCTCTCTATTGAAAATAAAATACTTATCTACAAAACAATACTGAAACCTACTTGGACTTACGGACTTGAACTGTAGGAACAGCAAAATTTTCTAACATCAAACGCATCCAATCCAAAGTCCTTCGAACAATATTCGATGCTCCTTTCTATGTAACCAACAAAATCCTACACCATGACCTTAATATCCCATTTATCCTAGACCTTATCCCAGCAAAATTCTCCAAATTTCACCAGAACCTTACCTATCATCCAAATCCCTTTGAACAATCCCTATTCAGCACCACCCATCCCTATAATCCTCCAAAAAGATTAAAACGGCAGTGGCCCTGCGACCTTTTGTAGTTTGTAAATATTGGTATTCTGACAATGGCCAGATTCTCCACTCACGACATGAATGTATATGGCTAAAGCACTCTTGCTCAATCTCCACTGGGTTTATCGCCAATGATACGGTTGAATGAGAAGTGATGGAGATCTCCTGGAGTCATGCTTTTCCCTCCACAGTTAGAGGGACAAGTCTGGCTCGGAATTCTCTCGCCAGATTGTAAATATTGTATATAGGTATGTATGTGTTCTTTTTATTTATTTATTTTTAGGTTATTTTATTCTTATTTATTGTATAAGTATTATTTTCCTGTATAATTTATTTTATTTATTGTACATAGTATTAATGTGATCTCTGAACACTATTATAAGTGTCCTTTGAGACAGATTGTAATATTTTTCAATAAATAAGTTAAATATCAAAAAAAAAAAAAAATAACAATGATTACAAGTTTAATAGTGCAATGATAAGGCTACAGCCCCAAAATGTTAAAATATAGTAAAAATAAGGGGAAGATATAAATATAATAATAAGAAAGTCTATTTTGTTAAATATTCAATTAAATAATACTTATTTTCCACAAAAATTAAAAAGTACAAATAAAAAAATAAATCTATAATAATTGATATACCTTATTGTACAAGCCCTAGGGAGGAGACGCCATGTTGCCCTCGAGTACTTCAATGCCCAGCACTCTGATAGGCTGTGTGGTAGCAAAACATTTCACTGAGAACTTACATTACCAAGACTAAGTTGGCCCGGATAACACACCTTCAGGCATGCAGCCTGACCGGAGTGGGCTTCAATGCTAGATTTGCTCCTGACCAGAGACCTGCACACCATTACGGACTGCCAAGCACTTCCGTATGGACCCTCAGATCAGCGACCTGAAGTCTATATTTTCGAGAGCAAACCCACAACTCCACTGGCAAATAAATACCTCCTCCATAAGGCCAACATATAGGTCTAGCGTTGAAGTTACGTTGCTGACGGTTACTCCGTACTAGGCCATAGAAGAGGTGAATGAAGCAGTAGATATATTCACACCACTGTCGATGACTCAACCAACCAGAACATCCCTAGGTTTGGCCCGCAGCCCAACATCATCAAAAAACTCTCACTTCACATTCTCGCCCTGATTAGCCAGCAGAATAGCGATCATAGTACCGCTACTTAAGCCGGGAAAGAAAGGGGACTCAGCAGAGCACAACTGTCCGATCAACCTCCTCTCCCATATCAGTAAGGTCTTTTGAGATGCTAATTATCCACCATCCTATGAAGTACTGAAGGATAGGATGCAAGGATCAGCACATAACACTACTGTAGCAGACTGGTTTCCAGTGAGGTGTCGTCTACAAATACCATCTAGCTAAACAGGCCCATACGATAGAACAGAGCCACGGCAATCATCCTTCTGAATTACAGCCAGATCTTTGACAGCATGTCTCACACGCATCTACTTTGCTATTTGGAGGAGCTCAGATTTCCTGCTACCCTATGCCAACTGCTCCGAAGCTATCTTAGTGAAAATCTTTCGTCTTATGAGCCAGGTAGGGACTTCTCATCTCCAGCACTCACCATCTACAGAAGTAGCAAGTCCGGGTTCTATACTGAGGCCAAGACTGTTTGTCATTTAGACGGCACCAGTAGTGGCACTCAAACATCCAGATGCAGTGGTAGCAGCCTACGCGGCTGACATCGGCATCTATGCTTTCAGCAGGAATACAGAGAAGGCCCTCACTCTGGCACTAAATGCCTCAGCCACCATCACAGAAGACCTCAAGGCGATCGGTATCAGAGTGAACCCTAAGAAGCCTCTGCCTACCCACTTCAACGTTGAAGGAATTCACTAGTGGATTTCACATCGATCCTCTACCTGGGCATCACACTGGATAAACACCTCATCTTCTCTAGTCACTTCAAGCAGGCTAGGTAGACTTATAAGACTTACCAACTGTATCACCTTTTTTTTCTCTTCTTCACCTTTTAGGCTATACGGGGTTTTCCCGGGAAAGGGAGTGAGTGCGGAGGATAATTGCCTGAAATAAAAGTTCCCCCTAGCATCTGGACATGAACTCGTAATTATTTTGTCATCTCCAATATCGGTTATCAGATTGGACACCGAGCAATGGTGTGCATTGGCCCAATCGGCTACTCTACCCCCTTCCCCAGCTCTATCACCTGCTGACATCGCTGCAGCTCTCCTTGAAGCTCCAAATTTACAAAGCCATTGTACGACCTTCACTACTCCATGGTGTTGCTCTCCTGGTGCTCCATCATCTTAACAAAACAACACTCCAAAGCCTGCAAGGCTTCCAGAACTCTTGTCATTTGGCAAATTGTCCGGAGTACCACCATAGAAAGAGCAAAGAATGGAAAATCTAAGAGGTGCTCCAGCTCTCCTTGGTGCCTCAGTTTATAGGCCGGAGACATATTAAATTTGTTGGTGGGCTGAAGGGCTATGCTAATTCATTATTCCAGAATATCGCTTCACCACCCAGGCCTGGGAAGTAGCAAGGCAACTCCCTTTGGTGAATGTACTCGCCAAAGGGACGGGTCTGGAGCCTGCAGTTCAATGACTATTACACGACCTTGTGCCATAATATTCAAACCAGTTCCTTAAAATGCCGTAGGGCAGTACAAGGACAAAACTTGAAAAAGATTTACATGTCCATTATATTGTACTTATATATGTAATAGTTGAAGAATAAAATTATGAACGATCAGAAAAAAACAAATATCTTTACCTTATTTGTTGTGTCTTCTGAGCCAGTAATCATAAAACTTCCTGAAGGATGGAATGCAATAGAATTCACTGGCAATGAGTGGCATGCATAATACTGAAGCAGCTTCATATTCCTAACATCATACAACTTGGCAACACTATGTGACATGGCAGCACCAAAACAAGTACCAGAAGGATGAAAGGTTACATATTTTGGAATCCCTATGTTACAGAAGCTATCAGCTTTAAATTAAAAAAGAATATTGCAATACATACTACAAAAGATAATATATCTACCTTTAACTTCATTGAAAGTGTGAATGGATTTACTAGTTAAAGGATCCCAAAGTCGAATAGTTCTGTCATCAGAACATGAAACAATCATCTTGTTATCTGGGGAGTACTTTGCGATTCGCACCCAATTAGTATGACCAGTACACGATGAAAAAAACCTAAAGATTATAGCTTGTATGAATTACATATATTAGCATATGAAACCGCATTTTAAAAATATATTAATTTATTACAATTCTTTATAATTTAATTTATAAATCATTTTATAAGTAAAATGAGAGATAAAAATTACTTGAAACTTAATTATTAATAATTTATCTATTATTTATGATCTAATACAATGAGTATTATAATAGCAAAAAATAGATGCACCATTTTAAATACTTCATAAACAATATCAATTTAAAAGTTGGAAAATTGAATATAAACACCTTAATGATAAAAAAAGTGGTAATAAATACCGAGGTATATTTACATTCACATCATCCTAAATTAATCAAATCCATCCAAATTCATATAAGTTACTAAAACTATAAATTTAACATATTCCTTATTCACCTACAACCACTGACCAAACCACACAACATAGGTAATATCACTTGAAGCTTATTAACTTCCACAAAATCATGTCTCATGAATTAAATCAAAAATTTAAAAAAGCGCACCTGCAAATTAACACACAGACCTGTATACTAAGTCCACAATGTAGATATAATATCGTTAGACATTTGGTACATTCAGCTATGAAATCAGGTGTGAAATACAGAGCTTAATATAATACCTAGTGGTTTTATAAGCATTAATGAAAAGTACCTTCGCCTGGAAGTAACCCATATTTTTATACATTTGTCATTTGAGGATGTCAAAAGTTTTTCACCATCACGAGAAAACTCCACTGAGCGTACAGTGCCCAGATGAGGTTTGAATTCAATTGACTTTCCTTGTACCTAGAATAATTATGACATACTTTTAAAAATATATAACCATGTGGAAAATTGAAAAAAAGACAATTTATCTGATGTACTTACAGAAGAAACCCATATTCTAACAAAGTCACCTTGGGCAGAGGCTATATGAGTTCCAAAAGGAGAATAGGTAACGTATGTAACAGGAAGTACTTTAGCTTTATACCTAAAGAATTCAAAAGCAATAGTAATAAAAATTAAAACAAGTTCGTTTAAAAGAACTAAAGATTTTAGCAAATCCAACAGACACAAAATAGGAAAAGTTGGGTTGATGAAAATTGATACTCAATTTAATTGACATACATTTCATAATTTATACAATATTTTTTAATCATATAAAATCAAAAATAATAAATTACAATTTTAAACAAATTATCATTGCACAATTCAGGAAGACTGCCAAGGTTCATCTCTTCACTTAATCCATCCAAGATAACAAAATACATCAACGTTATCTGCAGGACAAGAAAGGGCCGAATGCCATAATTGGCTTTTAAAATGATAGTAAAGTTTGTAAACATTCCCTCAACTTATTTAGTTTTTTTATTATGAAAAAGATTCATGATGCATATGAAACAATAGTGCGGAAAATGCATTTTAATTGTAACAGTACGTTAATCTCAACTTATCAATAAGTATAATCTAAATTCTCAAAAAGGTATCCCATTAAATTTGTAGTATATACTGTATGTAAGAGATGACGATCTCCCTTAGATCATAAAAATTATGTAGATGGTTCAAAATTAAGTGAGTTCAAATAGTCTGTTAACCAACCTTAATGAAGCTGTATTAGCAGCCAAATTCCAAACAAGAAATGAATTATCTTCACTGGAGGACGCTAAGTTTTTTCCAGAAGGACTAAAACATAAACTTGTAATTGAACCTGTATGACCTTTAAAATACTGAAGAAGTACAGGATTTTGTTCATTAAGTGATTCCATTTTGAGATGTTTTTTATCTGCTAATTATCCAGGGCAAATCTTCACAAAATGTTAATAAACAGAATAAGGAGTTGAAATGACCTTCAGATACTCAACATATCAGAATTCAAATACCGTTGTTTATAGGAGGTAAAGAGTAGTTCCAAATTTGTCCACAAGATGTACACCATTTACAATAGATACAAATTCAAATGTTTAGTTTGATCAATAAAACAACCCCTATCTCTCTTATTTATGAATTTCAATTAAAGCTATTCTATATTTACCAAATTGAAGGATTGACACCCTTCCTAAAAATGTGCGGTGCGTTTTCGGTTTTATGCATTTTTAATCAGATGGAAAAAACCGTCCATCTTAACCAAAACCAGTTATTTTCAATGGGGTTAACCGTTTTGTTTGATTATTTTACTAGACTAGTTATAATTCCAATTATAAAAATATATCAAAATTAAGTCAAGATGTTTACTCGTACTTAATTTATTTGAATTATAAGGTTAGATTATTATGCCAAACAATTTTCACCTTTTTGTACATTATAATTATTCTAAGGGGACTAAATGAGAATAAAATTTATTTTCTTTCTTTCTTTCTTTCAAATTCAGTTTATTGGCATGGTGTCTATGGTCTATGTAGTTCACCATCCTCAATATACACTACACGACGCTTTTTATTTTTCAGATATTTCTCCCACAAACCTCATATCCGCCGTGATGAAATCACACTCTAATTCTATTGGTCCAGATGGCATTCCCGTCAAATTAATCAAATTATGCCTCCCTGAAATCCTTCCGGTACCCTCCTTTTCATCTATAATTTCTCAGTAATTATTCAAAATTCAGTATTCCCTTACTTGTGGAAAAAAGCCACGGTCCGTCCTTTAAATAAAAATTCTAACCCGTCTTCTGAAGATTTCCGGCCAATCTCAATCCTTTCCACTAGCGGTTCCAGGATTTAATTTTGGGGTGGGCTTCAGCCCGGAAGCTTTTTTTTCGTACATATGATGATAATTACTTTGGAAAAACAGAAAGATACTAACTACCTATATGAAATGGTGTTTAAGTGATTCTTCAAGTCCTATTAAATGTAACTAAACGAGCAATAACACTTTAAGACATAATTTTTTATATCTTTTACCATAAAACATGGTTACATTTTACCATTTTGGGGGGCTTCAGCCCGAAAGTCCCTCCCCTCCCTCCCCCGTAAATCCGCCTGTGATCCTTTCTAACCTTTCGAAACCCCTGGAGAGAATTGTGCAATCCCAAGTTTCCAACTTCCTTGAACAGCCTTTATCAATCTGGTTTCCGACCAGGTTACTCCACACAATCCGCCCTAATCAAAATCATTAATGTTCAGTCCGCCATAGATGACAAAAACCTAACTGTCCTTAACTGTACTCCTTGACTTTTCCAAAGCCTTTGATACCATTAACCATTCCATTCTCTTTTCGAAATTAAAATCATTATCCTTTTCCAATAGTTCTATCCTGTGGTTTCAATCTTTCCTCTCTCAACGCTCACAAGCTGTCGCTATCCCTAATCAACCCTTGTCTTCCTATCTTACTCTGTCCTCAGGAGTGGCCCAGGGCTCTAGCATATCTCCTCTCCTTTTTAGTTCTTATATTAACGGCATCCATAAATCAATCCATCACTGCTCCCATCATCTCTACGCCGCTGATTCCCAAATTTACCTTTCCTTCCATCCCTCAGAGTTGCATGAAGCGTTTGCCAAAATTCAAGAAGATTTGAATCTGATCAGTGCCTGGGCAAACTTAATTGGATTAAGATTAAACGCTGCAAAAACTCAAACCATTGTCATTGGTTCCAAACCCCTTCTCAGAGCCACAGGTGGATTTACGGGGGTGGCTTTCGGGCTGAAGCCACTCCCCCAAAATGGTAAAATATAACCATTTTTTATAGAAAAAAATATTAAAAACTATGTCTTAAAGTATTATTTTTCATGTAATTACAATCAATATGACTGAAGAATCACTAAGACACCATGCCATATGGGTAGTTAGTTTATTTCTTTCTTTTTTCAAATTAATTATCATTATATATATGAAAAAAAAAATCCTTCGGGCTGAAGCCCCCCCAAAATTAAATTCTGGATCCGCTAGTGCTCAGAGCCAATACCAACATTCCTATCCTGTAACTAAATGACCATCCCATTACCTTCACCTTCTCAGTAAAAAACCTAGGCATTTTCATAGAACAAACCCTTTCCTGGAAACACCATATTGCTCACATCCCCCGACGGTCAATTGGTACCTTATGGGAAACTATTCCATCGCTTCCGCCATCTCCTACCCATTTCCACACGTAGACTCCTAGTATCTTCCCTCACCCTGATTATGGCTGCGTGGTGTACGGTGGCCTCTCGACAGAACTCGGGGAGAGGCTGAAAAGAATTATGAATGCCTTCGTAAGATTTGTCACAGGGCCATGAGGCATTCCCGTGTTTCGAACCACTATGCTGAATTAGGGTGGCTCTTTCCTTCCTTCTGAAGACAATATTTCCTAGGCAAAGTCCTCTACCAAATAATCAATAATCATCGTCCGTCCTACGCATACAATCTCCTACAATTCAAATCATCTATTCTTAAGATCCCGTCCGCCTGACCTTTTCACACCGTTCCACAGATCTGCATCATTTAAACATTCCTTCGTTGTCCGTTCCACTGCATTCTAGAATTCCATCCCACTAAAAATCCGCCATGCATCATCCTTATCCACCTTTAAAACCCTCTTATTACAATTTCTCTTCACAATCCAATCAGATGCTGGTTAAATACATACTATGTAATAAGGCTTTAATTTCCTTTAGACATTTTTTTTTTCTATTATTTTTTTATTGTTTTATTCTGTGTTGAACGTGAATTTTCATCACCACTCACAAAGCGTTGTGAGTAGACAAAATTTGTTTTTCTTAATTTCTAATTTTTCTATTCATGAGATTGTATTTCTTTAAAATGTATTTTATTTTCTAATTATCTTCGATACACTCCTGTCTGTGTATATATATATATATATATATATATATATATATATATATATATATATATATATATATATATATATATATATATATATACACTTTTTTTTATGTGTTTCTTCTTCTAATCTTTACGTGTAATCACTTAAATATCTTAGGGAACATATGTATATCATTTTCTTTTTTTTTTTTTTACAATTTATTTCTTAATATATTAACAGTTATTATTTGATTTTAATTTTTATATTCCATCACTACAATGCTTTGCCTATAAAATTGATTTTGCGTTCCTTTCTAATTTCATTTAGTGATTATTATGCTATTGTTTTAGCTCCAACATTGTAGTATTGAACCCCTATTACCCAACTGTTCTCGTTAATTTATCCTAAGAGCTTTTATACTTAATTTATTACTAGTATTTTGTTATTATTCATTGCAATAGGTCTTTTGGCCAGATTTATGATTAATTTATATGAACAATACTGTTATTCTAAAGGGACCTAGTCCCTGAATAAAGATAATTTTTCTATTTCTATTTCTATATACGTAAGTGAAAGTACATATTTTAAAAGTTTACATTTAGTTAATAAATTGTATTTAATTTCCTTGAAAACATGTGATTAACGTTGAAAAATATTAGTTTTCAAAAATTATTATGTATAATTTTTTTGCAACTCTCTGTTACCTTCTACAACTATATCTATATTAGATCTTGTTTTTTTCTAAAATTCTCCGCTTTCTAACGATATATTATACATATCCTTCTGACTAGTATTTCATTTTCGACCTGGGTAAGCATTTTTATTTTTTGTACTCCTTTATTCAATTATCATATTCTTTCAAAAGTTATATTTAGCATTTTTTCGTAACCGAAAATAATATGAGATGATTAATTATTCAAAATAAACCATATTAAAGGTACTTTAGAGGAAGACTTATATGAACATTAGACATTTAAGACTTGTAAAGTGGCATCAATGGGGATAAGACCTGAATGATATTAAAGATTATACAATGATACACCGAGTTTAATCAAAAACGTTTGAGCTGTTTGTGAGAAAATTATATAAATGTGTTTCACGGTTGATATTAAGTGGCACTTCCGGTTAGCCGATTTTAAGGGAAAAGTTGTTGTCAGATACACTAGCGGATCCAGGATTTAATTTTGGGGAGGGCTTCAGCCCGAAAGCTTTTTTTTTCATAAAAATAACGATAATTTCTTTGGAAAAAAAAGGAAGAAACTAACTACCTCTATGAAATGGCGTTTAAGTGATTCCTAAAGCCCTTTTAATATTAATCACACGAACAATAATACTTTAAAGAGATACTTTTTTTCGATAAAGCATGGTTATATTTTACCATTTTTGGGGGAGGCTTCAGCCCGAAAGCCTCCTCCCTCCCCCGTAGATCCGCCCGTGGTCAGATATAAGGCATATACCCATCTTAAATACGTAATATCATTTTCGCACGACTTTTCCTTTTTGAGCTAGACTGCTAACATACCCACACACAGACACATAGACACACAGACCATTTTGCGGTAGGTGGTTATTGGGACTCAGGATACCTCAAAACGCGTATTTCCGTTTAGAACTATGCTTCGGATATTTTCAAGATCGCAATAATTTAATTACTATATATTACATATATAGGTAAGTGAAAGTAAAAATGGTTATATTTTATCTTAAAATTATCTAACATTTTCGTACATAAAAGTTTTTTCTAAACCCAGCAGAAAGCGAGCTATCGAGCTTTCAAAGTTTATCAATTTCAATTTCTTCACAATAGTGCTCTTTCAATTTCGAATGGAAGAATTGTGTAACTCCATTTTGAACCTCATCCAGAGAATTTGGGAGTTTTCCTTGAAGAAAATGAATCATTGACTGGAACGGTAGACGGTAGTCGAGAGGTGATTTGAAAAATATGTTACACAATGCACACTATCTCTCTACCGTGCACCTTCTTCCTACATCCCAATAAATTGCAAACAGTTGTGTTTGCCTTGCAACTATTTATTAAAAAAAGCCAATGTTACAACAAAAAAAAGTGGCTCACTGTCCCAAATTGTTGTCCAAGCATGGCGGATTGACGTCTCTGACTTAAATTAGTTTTTCGATCACTGAGATTCAGTATTTAGCTTAATGTCGTCATAATTGGCCTTTTATTTACGTTGGATAGTTAGAGAATAATAAAACATGAAAAATCTAAATAAAATAATCGGCTTTGATAATAATAAACACCAGTAAATTAATTTTTTTCAATTCCTTCAAATTGAAATTTAAAATCAAGTGTCGTTTGTAAATAAACGGCCAACAATAAAGAAAAACGTCCCAAAATAAAACATCTGGAGAATAAAGTTCTTTTTCTAAAACACTGATTATTGTGTAAAATATTTGAAACAGTTACTTGGAAAATACTCATCATCGGCAAAAAAGCTGAACTGGCATAGGCGCCTAGAGTCCTCTGCTACCATTCAGTACTCATGAATGGCATAATAACGTTATAATAACTTAATAATGTTTTTACTAGATTATTTTTATTGTATCAACGAAAAAATATTAATACAATAATTATAACAAACAAGAAAAACTAATTGGTGATGACCAATTTCATTAAAATAAGTGGAAACAGTAAAAATAAAATTATAAGGATTTTTTCGAATTTTAAAACATTAATTTCTTTTGGGCGATTTGTATTTAAGTTTAGAAAAATATGTTGAGATTAAAAAAACAACGCAAAAACAGATAATTAGTTAAAAACCAAAAATCACACATATTTTTTGCTAATTTTCAAAACTTTAACATTTTGAAAGCTCGATAGTTCGCTTCCAAAGTGACATCAATGGGGATAAGACCTAATTGATATTAAAGGCCACTTCATTATACAATGATACACCGAGTTTAATCAAAAACGTTGGGGCCGTTTTTGAGGAAATTGTAAAAATGTGTTTCAGCGATGATATAAAGTGACACTTTCGTTTAGCCGATTTTAAGGAAAACGTTGCTGTCACATCTAAGACATATACATATCTTAAATACGTAATATCAGTTTCGTACGACATTTCGTTTTTGAGCTAGACTGCTAACATACACACACAGAGATACAGACGCAAAGAATATTTTGCGGGACTCGGTTATTCGGACTCAGGGCACCTCAAAATGTGTATTTTCGTTGAAAACTCGAAATTCGGAAATTTTCACGATCGCAATACTTTCCTTAAGTATATATTACATAAAAACGCTGCAAATTATTACAAATTGGTTTATTATTCCTAAACAATTAGTTATACATCTAACGTAATTATAACTTCCCGGTAATATAAATAAAAGGTGGTTCCTATTATTAGCCTAAATATATAAGAAAAATTGTATTGCTTCAATTAAAATTCAATCCAAAAAACCAAAACAAAGGATACAACTTTTGCAGCAGAAAATATGAAAAATATATAGAACACCATATCTTTGCTCCAAATTGTCCGATTTCAACTTTTTTTTTTTGTTTCTTAGGCAAATTCGTAAACTTTTAAATGACCATAATAATATTAAAAAAATAAGTTTACTTTTTGAGATATTTGAAAATCTAATTTTACCATCCCTCGTAACTTTTATTCCTGCTTCTTATCGTTATATATATATTTTTTTTTAAGTCGATTTGACAGTTCTACGTATCCTGAAACGTAAAATATCAAATTTTTAAGGGTGGGAGTTAAGTTTTTGGACGATTAAAATGATTCATTATTAAAAATAATAAACCAAAAATAAAAAATCAAACAGATATTTTATAAAAAAAACAATTCCATCCCAAATCCCCCCCCCAAATTTGCCACCCGGAGCAAGTGCCCCCATTGGTGGAAAGCAGGGGAGTCTTCTGAATCAGAGGTTCAAGTGACCAGGTATTAATTGAGTTTGATTGAAGATGTTTTATAAAAAAAAAAAAAAAAAAGTCATTCAGGTGTAAAATGCAAATCAGTATAAATAAATTACTGTATATACTTTTTGTTTTAATGATTTTGTAAACAAAGAAAAAAAAAACAGTTTTCAAATTTTTCTTTTATCACCCTCATACATTATTTCCAAAAAAAAAAACGTATGTATCTCTAGAAAAGAAATATATAGACTTTTTTTACTCTATTTTCATTTTCTTAGTTTCATTATATCATAAAACATCCGAATGATGATTTTTCCACACAAAAACCACTTTCACTCCTGTCATTTTAAAGCACACTTTTATCATAAGTAAGTTTAAAACAAATTTTTGCTTACAATTTGTGAATATTATGATTGAGCAGTAGGAAAAGCAGTAATAATAATTCTTCGATTTTATTTTCTTATTTTCTTTCATAGTTTTCATACGTTTTTTGATCATCCAAGAGTGTTAACTTTCGGCTCGAATACATTAAGTCGTATCTAATCTAATGGATGTGTTGATGAAATCGTTCTTTGGATTAGCGCTGAGTTTAGGAACTTGCCTGCTCTCTTGAAGCTGGGCTCTTTGGATAACAGTTATAACCTTCACAGAGCTGATGTTTGTTGTTCAACTGTTTGTTGACATTATTTAGAGTAACCGTACATAATTATATTTCAGGATGAGGTATTCTTAAATAAAATATTTTCGTTTGATTTTTTGTATTACAATGAACTATGAAAGTTGTTTTTTTTCTCTAGTATTCCAGGGACATCAGCCAATCACGCTAATGGTCAAGATACTAAACCTACTATTACAATGAGTGCAGGACAGATGGTATCAAACCAGTCTTCCAGTATTGGAGGTCAACAGTTAATTGATTTCTTACCATCATTAGAAGATTATACTCCAACTGTAAGTAATTTTAATATTGCTTTGGTGAGATATCACTTTTAAAATAATTTGAAAATGGATGCTGGAAGTATCCATGAATATAGTTTAAAAAAATATGAATTAATTTCTCTGTTTTTAATGTTAAGTATGAAAATTATACAATATTTTCTTAACAAAATATTTGACTATCCCTTTCACAAAATTAAAAGTTTGTGAAAATAAATTTTTATTTAGAATTTCTTGATTTTTAAGGTAAAAAATGAAATCATAATCTAATAAACTTAAGCCATACCATTTATTTCTACATCCAGCAGGTTTCAGCTAGTTGACGCTATAAATAGATTTATTTTGATTGTTTATCATGTTGCAAAACATTCAGTAATATAATACATAATTTAAATAAGTCTGTTACTATAAAATGCTTATAATTTTTACTTTCACATATCTAATATATAGTAAGGGAAATTATTGAGATCATGAACATTTTTTAATCTGAGTTTTTAGCTGAAATACAAGAGGTCCCATGAGTCCAAATCACCAAGTCCCTCAAAATGGTGTGTATTTGTGTGGTAAGGCACACCTAATCATGCAACAGCATTGTTTAAAAAACCATTTCATAGTACTTATGTGAAAGAAGAAGTGAAGTATAAAAATATTTGATAGATATGTTTATAACCTTAAATACATTTAATGTAGTTTAATAACTATAGATCAGATATCATATTTAAATAATTAGATATCTATCATCTGTTTATTCTGAAAAATCATCACCTAACCTTTTAGAAAATTAAATTAGTAAATAATTTGATGAATTTTCCCTTTTTGAAATCCCAACATTATTCACTTACAATTAGTTAGTTACAATTTTTTTTTTTTTTCGATTGGCGCTACTGACCATGATGATCTTTGACCGCGAGTGTGTTCTCCTATACCACATCCCAATTCCCGATTTAAAGTACGGGTTAGGGTCATCAATTCTACGCCCATTCAGGGAAAGACATATAGGTCCTCGTGCACCTGCTGACTCCGAGCACCCATAAACCATGGATCTAGACCGATTTGTCACTGTCCTTGAACCGAGAAAGTCGGTGGGAAGGACATTGCCAGATTGGCCCCAAAGGGAAAGCTACGGGTTTATATATATATATATATATATGTATATCTCAGAGACTGGAATTATGTGGTTTACAAAAACAGATGGGGTACCAAGATTTTTATTGTCTACTATTGATATAATTAATAGGGTTTTGGTTATTTTAGTGGTTTCAATGATTTGTTAGCTGTAATGTAAGCTTTGAGCTACAGCTCCATCAAAGGCGCACTTCAAAATTTTTATGATTGCTCAGCATTGCCAGAAAACAATTTTTGTTCAAAATAGAGAGGTTGAAAGGTGTGTATTGTGCACATCAGATTTTTATGTTTAAGAAAGTTCAAAACGTTAAATGCAGTTTTCTTAAAGAGAATTTTATGGAATGTGCTCCTTTCATTCTAAATGTGTAATATGTATAATTATGTTTAATATTGTTTGTAATTGGTTTTTTTAGTATATATGTATATATTTTTTAGATACCTGATGCAGTTACTGGTTCGTTTTTGAATTCTGCTGGATTCGCTTCAACAGATCCCCGAGTGTAAGTCAACATTTTTAATAACGGAGAAGTAAATTAAGTAAACATTTCAAAATATAACCTTAACCATTAGAAAAAATCAATAGTAATATAAGATCATATTTTATGATATATATAAATGTTGATGATTTCTGTATTTTGTATGTACTTTTGTTAATGGAACAACCCCATCCCATCCCAGAATCAGAGAAAGCTTTCTCTATTTTGTGCTACTTTCTTTACCTCCAGGTTCCAATTGATCTTGTTTTTAGAGAATTAGCTAGATAGCATCCTGACATAAAATTTTTGGGAAATCTATCAGCCCTGTTATCCTTTTATTGATCGTTCATCACAAGTATTGGTTGTAAACAGGTTACATTTTTTCAACCAATAATTTAAAATTCTCTCACTGCCTGGTGCTTTCCAATTTTTCATTTGCTTTGTTGTGAGGACTACATCTTCTATTAATATGTCAAAATCGGGCATTTGAAGCACCTCCTGAAGTTCACTGTATACTTATTTTAACCAGTGTATTTTAACCATTTTATTTGGTCATTATGATCTACATAGATTTGTAGTAATCTACATCATACATCTACATACGAAATCTGGCTTTCTTCCTGGTTACTCAACGCAATCTGCTCTCCTAAAAATACCCCATAACCTCCATTGCTTTTGACACACTTGACCACAGCATCCTCCTTGCTAACTAAACTGCAACATCTTCTTTTATCCAACTGTGTCCTGTGATGGTCAATCTCCTTCTAAGACACTTTCCCTCTCCTGCTGCGTCCCTCAGGATTCCTCCCTATCTCCTACTCTGTTTGCTATATACATTAATGACCTTCCTCTCCTGATCTACTACTCCCAATACCATATTTATGCAGATGATTTCAAATATACCTGTCCTTCCCTCCTTCTGACCTATTAGCAGTCACATAAAAACTTCAAGTGGACTTAAATAGAATCTGTGAGTGGGCGGATGCGAACAAGTTGAAGTTGAATGCCGAGAAGACCAAGGCAATTTTGATAGGCTCCAGTCACTTCCTTAAAAATGTTTCTAAAATACCAACCCTGTTCCTACATGATAATCCCATCAAATCCCATTCCACTGTCAAGGACCTTGGAATAACCTTTGATCAAACCCTTTCCTGGAAAAACCATGTATCCGATATTTCCCACCACACCTTTAAAACGACTAAATTACCTTTGCCACCTATTTCCATTTAAAACCCGTAAACTCCTAGTTACTTCCTTAATATTTCCCCACTTCGACTATTGCTGTACAGTATATGGGTGCATCTCCAGGGATCTTGAGGCGAAACTAAAACGTTTGATAAATTGCTTTGTATGATTCATCTTCGGGATCCCAAGGGATGCCTCTGTTTCCTATTATTATGAAGAGCTGAAAAAATGTATCCTTCCCACCGACGTAAATATTTCCTAGCATCCTTCCTCGTCCAAGTCATCCAATCCTGCCGTCCTTCATACATCTCCTAGCTCCTTCAATTCAAATCCTCTGTCCCCTACTGCAAAACCTATTCCCGGTCTTCAGATTTGTATACAAGAGCCCACCAAACCGCTACTTTCATTGTTAGATCCTCATCCCTACGAAATTCTATTCCATCCTACATCCATCGCTCCAATACCCTCCCCACCTATAAATTCCACCTGTTCAATCACTTCTTACCCTTTCAGCTCTCGTAAAATTTTAAAGAGATGTTGTAAATATGCATATAAATAATTAGTCTGTTTTAAATACTTTATTTAATTTTTTTTCTTAATTGAAGTTTGAAGGTAAATAATACTCTTCTTTTTTTTATTTATTATATAAATCTGTTTATTTTGTGATTATTCTCTGAGACGCCAAAGCCCATCTCGATCTCTATACATTATTCTAAAGGGACTTGTCCCAGAATAAATAAAGAATTATTATTATTATTACATTGTGCACCGAAAGCTTTTTCCAATAGTCTATAATATTGTCAGATAGTGATAAATTTACACATCTGTTTTTATTTTCGTCATTGTTCTTAGAACTGCTTCTCACTGTTTGCGAATCTTTCATTCTGCTATTGAAATAAAGAGCATCAACATTTATACAGCTGTATTCTGTTTGCATTAACTGCAAGTTTATGCATTTGTATATCAGCAAGTAAAACCAGTTTCAGTAAATTCAGATTCTAACAGCATTCCTATATGTAGTACAACTATTTCATCAATCCTGCTTCTTCCTTATGTATTTTCTTAAGCCAAATTCCTAATATAACTTATAATTACCCCAATGTTTGCCCTTAGCGAAGCTATTTTATTTTTCTAATCTCCTCGCCAATATGGGAAGTTTGTGATGCCATTATTTTTCTTTGGTTTATCTTATCTGGCCTAGTTCAATAATAAGAACCCTAGCTGGAACATATACCCATGTCAAACAGCTTTGATGTCCATTTCGGGGCAGTCAATAATAGGTTTACTTCAAGATTCATTGACGTTTTTCACAGTCATCCGTGATTTAAAGCTGTAGAGAATCCTTGCATCTTTTTAGGATTTGTCTCGCATCATTTTGTATTCCTTCTCAAAGCACGTGCTGGGTTAACAGTGACTGTATCAGTTTTTGGACCTCTTCCTCTTCTTCTTCAGGAGAAGCTGCCTCTATTGCCAATGATCTTTCTATATGAGATTCGGTCACTCTTCATTTTCAACAGTTACTATCCCTAGTCATTCAGATACAATTGCTTTTATGTTTTCCATTTCCCCTGTTGATAGAAATTTTCTCGATCAGATCACTCAAACTTGATCACTGAGGCTGTGTGTAGTTGTAGCCATGTGTGGATTGACTCTTGCCAACACTGTTGAATCCTGATGAAGTATCGTTATTTTGTCTTGTCTGTTTATTACTTTGTTGCCAAAAGATATGCCTCGATGATAGTCTTGTTCATTTCTGCCATTTTCATCCTCCGAGCACCTCTTGGTCTCTGTTGGCAGGTTCATGGGTAAGGAGAAGTAGTCTCCCTCAAGCCTGAACTAGTTGCCGGTTCTTGACTTCTTGAGGTCCTTTGTGATAGGGTGGCACCACTTTCTTTGCCATTGCCTGAAAGAAGCTTTCAAAGCCCACCTGGTGCTGCTTTATTTCCAGCTTCTTTCAATGCTATACCTGAACTACATTTTCGGTGGTTGATTATATTTTAAACCTTCTGCCAGGTCGTCTTAAGTAAAGTTGCCCGAGGGTAGGTACTGAAAATGTTCCTATTAACCAACAATTACTAAATGGTTTCAAGAAATGAGCCAATGAAATAAAACAGAATAGTGATGAATATTGAAACAAAGATGTGTTAAACAATATGCTGTTCCAATAATCAACAGCTACCGGAGCCAGTGATCAACGTCCTCTGATGAACACTGGATCCTGTTACTTTTTCCAAAAAACTTAAATAAAGTTTATAATGTTCTGTAGAAAAAAACAAATAGAATACAATCATAATAAAATCCTTTGAGCTAGTTGTCATCACCTTTGGTGATAACTGGACCAAGTGGTACTTTGATGTACTGGTAAGGCAAATCCCTGTCATTTTTCCTAAATTTTCTCTAAAATCTGAGGTTGGAAAAGACAGTAAGGCTTTTAAAAAAAGAATGGAGACATATATAAATTACACAGTGCAAAAAGTCTACCAAAAAAGTTTGAAAAAGTGTCTAAATAAGATTCACTTTCTTGACAAAAGTGTTAAATAAGAATCTGGTCACAAACTCTTTATCATTATTTTATTTTGCTACTATCTGCTGAATATCTGTTGAATATGGCTGGTGAAAATGCTACCAATATCTTCTATAAATAGACACTTCCTCTTTGTGCTATTACTAGCGTCGAGGAACCTCTATCCAATGCAGCCACGTCTCTCTGTCCCTACTAAGTCGCCTCATTTCCTGGAGGGTTTTACCTCTCTTCTCTCCAATCCGCTGCATATACTCCTGATAGGAAATTCTGGTGCAGCCCCTCTGCCTCCTCCCAGCGGGTCGAACTTCCAGAATCTTCCGCGGATCTCTCTCCTTCTCCATCCGACAAACGTGGCCAAACCACCTCAACTGTCAGTTCTCCAGTAATGTCCTTAGCTCCGCCACCTCCCCGGTCCTCTCTTATGCGTTCATTTCTGACGCAGTCTCTCCTGGTCTTTTCAGCAGCTCTCCGCAGATTCTTCATCTCGGCTGCTGTCACACGACTAACTTGCTTGTCTAGCATAATCCAGCTTTCGCTTCCATACGTGAGGGTTGGAAGGTATACCGACTTGTATATGTTCCTTTTTGTTTGCTTACCAACTTCCCTGTGCCCTACTATACTGTTGCTGATAGGGCACTATACCTGATTGGCTTTTTATATCCTATTCATTACTTTTGCGTCAATCTTCCCCTTGTTGCTGATAATTGTACCCAAATAGGTGAATTCTTGCACAATTCTGTCCCATGCTTTCTCTGCGATGCCTCTTAGCACATAAATGTGATCTTGAGTCTGCCTCCCCAGTCGAAAGCCTGCTTGTTCGCTCTCAATTTGGTTCTCAACTACGAGCCTTAATTTTCTTTCTAAGATTAAGGAGTATAATTTGTAAGCCACTGAAAGTAAGCTTATTGGCCTATAAGTTCACAATCTGTGGAGCTGCCCTTTTTATGAATAGGGACAATTACACTTAACTCCTAATCCCTTGGGACTATCTTTGTATCCCATACTTTTTGGAGGATTAGTTGGAGAAATTTAATTAATTCCTGTTCTCCAAATTTTATTAATTCGGGGGCTATGCCATCCCTTCCCACCGCTATACCTATTTTAATTTTTTGGATGGCATATTCTATATCGTCTTCCTCAATGACTTCTAGACTTTCCAGAATATTATTTTCTACCAGATGTTCTTCTGGGTCAGTGTTTCCTCCTCCTGAGAAGTGTCCCTGATAGAACTCCTTCCACCGTTCAAGAATTTTCGCTTCTTCGGTGACCATGCTGCCACTAGAGTCTTTGACATTTCTAACTGGCTCATTTATTTTTCCTCCTTTTTACTTTTCGCCAGAACTTCTTAATACTTTTCTGGTGATCTTCATCGAGACTTTTTCTGAATCTTTCCCATGACTCTCTTTTCGCTTGCCGGACTGCTATTTTGCATTGATTTCTGGCTTGGTGGTATTCGTCTAGTTTTCAGGTTGTTTTCTGTTGATGATGAGCTTTCCACGCCTTCTTCTTTGGTTGAACTAAACATCTTACTTCCTCATTCTACCACTCTGTGCGCTTTTGTTTATTTTTTTGCGTGATATTCTGCGCAAGCCGCAAACTTCCCTTGCAGTTTCCAAGATACACGATTTTAAGCAGCTCCATTGTTGTTCTACATCCCCCTCTCTACTCATGGTTGTTAATTTTCCTTCCAGTTTTTCGGTATAGGAGGTTCTCTTTTCTGGATCATCTAGAGCTCTTATGTTGACTGTCTGGTAGCTCTTTTGTTTAATTGGCCATTCATGTGGAATTTTGTTTTCGTCTATTCGCAGCAGATGATAGCTGCTAATTTCAGCGCCTCTTATAACTTTTATATCGGTAAAATTTTAAATAATACACCAAATTTTCAATTTGTTGGCCCCTGTTTTAAATTCAAAGCTGGGAATGGCAATAACAAGTGCACTGATGAATACAGGCTCTTCCCTAATTTTGACCGTAAAAATAAGATCTAGTAGAACCAAACTAGGAATAATTTCTTCATTCTATATAATTGTATAAGCTGTGTTTTTACAACTACATCGGATATTATCAAGTCATTCATTGAGGTTTGTGTTGCATAATGCAAGGGATGTAAAAGGATCACTCTTCAGTTCTGTTTATATTTCGAACCACTATATGACAGTGTAAACCAAAGCTTCGTCAGGTTCTCAGAACCGGAAACTGTAGAGTTGCCAATCGGATTAGGCTTTTAAAGGGGACTTAGAAAGGATGACAATTTGTAGCTGAAGGCATCAACTATAATTTTGTCTTTTCTTTTGTATGTTAAAATCAGTCAATTGTACCATTGTAATTTTTTTTTTTCTTTGTTTGATTTGATATAATGAAAGTTTTACTAATTAGCTTAGTTTTTATTAACATTTTAAGGTACCTATTTCTTTGATTTTTGTAAGATAACTAAAATTTATTTATGTTTATTTATTTTAGTGTACGTCTGATTTCATTAGCAGCACAGAAATTTCTCTCTGATGTTGCAAATGATGCCTTGCAACATTGCAAAGTTCGAACATCTAATCAGTCATCAAAATCTAAATCAAAAGACAGAACATACACATTAACAATGGATGATTTGACTCCGGCATTAGCTGAACATGGTATCACAGTGCGGAAACCACCTTATTTTGTATAAACACATTTTTAGAATTAATTTTCTTTTATGCTAATCTATTCTGTGCTGTAGAATTTTTCATTTCAATTAATATATTGCTGTTAAAGTTTATGTTAACTCATAAAAAGTTTATTTCATTGATTTTTTTTCTAATTGATAAGGAACTTTGTAACGACTGATAAAGACTTAATTTTAATAAATATTTTTTTGCAATATTCTTTTATATCCTCTCCTTGACTACATTGGCTAGAACAGAAGATGGTAATTGAAATCATCAAATTCATTTAAGAGATGATAGATGATTGTCTGTCTGCATTAGATATAACTGGAGCTAATTAGTTATAGATGTAACTACAGCTAATAAGTTAATCAAGCATTTACAAGAAACAAAATGCTAAATTATTAACACCAAACATAACACCGAAAACCGCTGACTTCCCCTCCACCCCGATACACTCTTGGCAACTTTCACTGATGACACTGCTATTCTATCTTCTGCCTCAGATCCTGAAACAGCATCCATAAAGCTGCAACAGCACCTATCCCTCATTGAACACTGGTGCAAGAAATGGCATTAAAGTCAATGAATCCAAATATAAACATATACCCTTCATCCCTCGTCGTAATTCCTATCCACCAGTTTACTTTAGTTCCATTCAGCTTCCCTTCTCACAGTCCGGTATCTTGGTTTTCTCCTAGACAGACTAACGTGGAATCCCGCATACTAGACTGAAAAGACAGGAACTTCACCGACGTTATGGCCAGCTATATAGACTACTTAATAGAAAATCTAAACTTTCTATTGAAAACAAACTACTGATCTACAAGACAATACTAAAACCCATCTGGACCTCAGACTAGAACTATGGGAGACAACCAAATTTTCTAACATCAAACGCATTCAATCCTTCCAGTCTAAAGTCTTCGTACAATAGTCAATGCTCCCTTCTATGTCACCAATAAAACTCTGCATAATGACCTTAATATTCCATTTATTCTTGATCTTATCTCAAACAAATTCTCCGAATTTCATCAGAACCTTACCCACCACCCTAATCCCGTAGCACAGTCCCTATCTAGCAACACCCATCCCTACAATCCTCCTCGCAGGCTAACAGTAGTGGCCCCGTGACCTTTTGTAACATGTATATATTGGAGTTCTGGCAATGGCCAGATTCTCCACTCAAGTCATGAGTGTCTGTGGTTGTAGCGCCCTTACTCAGCCTCCGCTGGCTTTTAATACCAGTGAAGTGGTTGAGGGAGAAGCGCAGGGATCTCCTGAAGCCTCACTTTTTCCTCCACAAGTGGGGGGACAAGTCTGGTTCGGAGTTCCTATAACCGATTGTAAATAGGTATGCCTGCGTCTAAGATGTTTATTTTTATTTTGTTCTAATTTCGCTATATATTATTTTGAAATTACCTTATTTATTTTTTTGATTTTGTAAATATGGGGTAAATGTGCACTCTGAACTCTATTATAAATGTCCTTTATTGAGGCTGTAATATTTATCAATAAACAAGTAATCCAGTATTTCTTGACATACAAAAAGCATACGATACTGTTCAGAAATACATTCTTGGTAAAACTATGATTAAGATTGGTATACCCCATAAATTTACTGAATTTTTAATTAATTTACTGGATGTTACCTAGTTATGCCACAAATACTGTTACAAAAGTTGAACTTTTTTTTTGTACTTTCTTTTCACTTAGTTAACATGGAATGGGAGGATAAAGATAACCGAATAGCTCTGATCACCTTACACAAAGTTGGAAAAGGTAGGCAAGAGATTTTCATCATTTTGAAACTTTTGGGTATTAGCCGTATGTTCATGAACAGCACTATAAATAGATATAATGAGAAACTATCTGTATGTGACAGATCTCAACCAAGCCGTTCCCGCACTGTGGGAACGGCAAATGCAGTGAGAGCAGAGACTGACAGGACAGAGGCTAATCACTCTGCTCCCTCCCCCCAAAATTATAGTGGTTAGATGCAAAGTGCTCCTTGAAAATGTTTACAATTGAAGAAAACTTTAATCGCCAAAATGATCGTGTGTACGCACACATCTCTAAAGAAGCCCTCGAACTCATTGGAAGAATGGAAAGAGGTCATCATCCTTCCTCAGTGATGGTTTGCTTTGATGGTACCATAAAGCTCCATTTTTGTGAAAAAGGAGTTAAAACAGTCGCTATAAACTACCAGGACGATATTTTGGAACCTGTTGTCAAGCCTCCAATGATACTCTGTTTGCTGGAAGTCATTGGATTTTCCAGCAGGATTCTGCTTCAGCTCACAAGACCAGGTCAACTCAGCAGTGGCTGCAAAAGAACATTCCAGAGTTCATCTCTGTCTCAGATTTGCCCTCAGAAAGCCCTGATCTCAACTCACTAGATTATCGGCTTTGGTCCGAACTGTAGAGGATGGCATGCCACAGAGCACACCCTAACTTGGAATACCTCAAACAACACTAGTTCGAGCAGTTGAGCTCTTTCCTCAAGAAGTGCTGTGTGCTGCTAATGATGACTGGCCACGGAGATTAAATGCCTGTGTCAAGGTAAAAGGGGACATTTTGAGTAATTTATTTTTTACTTTACTTTCTACACCAGCGTATCCAGCAGGGGAGCTCGCCCCCCACCCCATGGGAGCTGGAAAAAAATCCAAAGAGCAGCTAATTTAAGAAAAGAAAAATATAGGGAAAATTCATTCTCATATACGATGAATATCCTAATGTAATATAAAAAAAAATTATCGTGCCCAGCACTAGTGAATTCTGCCAGGGGGTACGCCCTCCCTTGGGTGGGGTCAAAAAAATTCCGTAATAGTAACAAAACACCTATTTAAAGAAAAGAGAAATGTAGGGAAAATTCATTCGCATACAAGAATTTCATAATGTGATAACAAATATAAATTATAATCGGACTAGCACTAGAGAATTCTACCAGTGGGCGTAGCCTCCCTTGGATGGTGGAAAAAAACGTCTATTTAAAGCAAAGAGAAATATAAGAAAAATTCGTCCTCTAAGACGAATTTTCTGTGATACAAAAAAATTATTATCGTGAACAGTACTAGCGAAACCAGACAGGGGCGCGCCCCTCTCTCCACTGGATGGTTGGGGAAAAGTTCCAAAAAGCAGCTATTTAAAGAAAAGAGAAATATAGGAAAACCTAATCCTCGTAGACGAATTTCTAATTTAATATAAAAAAAAAGTTATCGTGTCGTGACCAGCACTAGTAATTTCTACCAGGAGGCGCCCCCTCTGGATGGTAGAAAAATAATTTCTTTAGAATTCTAAATTAAAACTTAAAAATTTAAGTTGAGTTTTACCAAATATGTCAAAAACTGAGACAAATTACTATAAATGGCCCTGTAACTTGAAGGAGTTCCCTAAGAGGAAAAACCCATAGAATCAAAGTTGTAGAGCATCAAATTTCGCGTATACTCAGTATCAACTAATTTAATGTAGGTCACTTGCTGCGAACAAAATCGGTAATCTCCAGATGGATTGGTAATGAATGTGAACGTGATTTTAAATATTTCAACAGTATGGGTGTCTATTCTACTGAGTTAGTTTTGTTTAAAATCTGTTACATGCAGTATATGCCTCTTTTCCGCCTCTCAACAGCAAAAGATTTTGGTAAACGATGTGCCGAAAGATACCTATTTTATAAAGAAATAACGAATCCCGATTTCAGATATATAATTGGCCAACAATAAAAATGTCAGTACCCAGTAAACGCGAAATTTGATGCTTTACAACTTTGATTCTATGGGTTTTTCCTCTTAGGGAACTCATTTCCAAGTTACAGGGCCATTTATAGTAATTTGTCTCAGTTTTTGACAAATTTAGTAAAACTCAACGTTGGTTGACCGTGGTTTTATACCTTACCGCGAAACCGAATTTTAAAGTTTATGTACTCTTTTGACGCAAAATTTAACTTTCTTTAATTTATTAAAGAACACATTTTTCGCTTTGACGCATTGTTTAGGAGTTATACATGAAAAACCCCAAAAAAATCGAAAAAATCTGACTTTTTTGGCTGTAAAAAGTTTTCCCTTCGTGGTCTGCGTTAACAATTTTGTTTTTTACATGTCTAAATTCATATATACAAGTTAAAAAAATAGAAACTTTTCTCACATTTTTCGCAATGGATTTCCCGTTTAGATCCTCAAGTTATTGGCCTAATATTCTTCAAGTCAGCCGCCATTTTCGAAAGCAGCGGCTCCGGAACGGCAGACAAGGTTTTTTTTACTCAGAATAACATACACTTTCGTAATATACAATCAAACCTTCGCCTGCGATCAGGTCGATTTTTGGGCCCTGGCTCCATGGCTAGAAGGACCTTCCTTTCGAAAACTAATATTTTAATCATTTTCTTTAATGAAAAGATTAATATAGGAAAAATTCATTCTCACAGCCGAATTTTCTAATGTAATATATAAAAAAAATATCGTGACAAGCACCAGCGGATTCTGCAAGGGAGCGACCCTCCCTCTGGGTGATGGACAAAAAATTCCAAAAAGCAGCTATTCAAAGAAAAGAGTGATGCAGTTTTAAGGCCGCCATGAGATGCGAAGGCTAGTGCTCCCGTCGCAGTTTGTTCCTATTGACTCCGAACTGAAATATATCTCGTAGGTGAAATACATGATGGAGGAAAATTTATTTTAAATAATATGCACTTCATTTATTCTTTCGAACAACCTTTTATTCGAGCCCAAGAAAATACGGGTTTTCTCACGGACCCAGTTTTTATTCAGTTCCAATAGATCTGAATGAATTACAACCTAAAGCAACTATAGTCTCCTTGAACAATTCATAATATTGGTCACTATAATAATTTGTACATTTCTCATTAGAAGGTGTTGTTTTTTTCTTAAAATACCTGCTGTTTGGGACTTTTCATAAGGCAAGATACTAATTATTTGGTCTCCTATTTGATCGGAATCTGATTTTGAATAGGAAGAAATTATTCTGAGTTTTAATTCTCAGAGAACTCATTTACAAGCTGCAGGGCCACTTATTGTAATCTTTTTCAGATTTTGACAATGTCGGTAAAAATTAGCGTTCATTGACCGTGGTTATCGATCATATCACTTAATCAAATTATTAAGTTTAGGTATTCGTTCGACGCACAAAGTTCATATAAGACAAAAAAGTTTATATAAACAATGGTTCGATTTTCAGCAGAAAAGTAGGGAATTAATGTTTTGTGATTTTTCATGTTATCCACGTTTTTGTTGAATAGGAACTGATAAAAAAAAACTATTTAATTTAAGTAATTAACGATTGCTTCACTGCAAACTAAATTTACTTTAAATAAAAATAGAGTTTGCTTATGTTAAAACCATTTAAAGAGGACTTTTGAGCGGCTAAACTCAGTTAAGGAGTGGGGGGAGACGGATAGGGGTGGGGAAAGCACTTGGTACAGAGGTGCGCCCCCCATGAGAATATTCCTAGATCCGCCACTGACTCTCTATAGATATACATTTTATTTTCTAATAAAGTTTATTTTTTTAGCTTATTTAAAAATTAATTTTTCTGTTGCAATCTGTATTTATTTCCTTGCAACAATATTAATGACAAGACTAGATATTATTATTTTATAGCTCTATGGTCCACATGCTCAATATTGGCTTGCTCCAGCATTGACTGCCAGTTAATTTAATATCCTCGACCAGATCAAAGTCGTTGTTTAATTTAATAGATAATAAGAAAATATATTAAAAAGTGAATAATTCGATAACGTCATCTAGGAATGTTAGAGTAGGACTACCTCAGAGAGGAATTCTGAGTTATTTACTGTTTATAATTTTCTCATCTCATTTAAGAAAGTATATTCCAAGATCAAGTTTCAATCCTACAGTTCGCTGACGGCATATGTCTATCTACTTCAGATAAAAACACAAGTGGAGGTCTAGAACCATTAAATGAAGCTATTAAAGGTTTTAAACAGCGGCAACTTGAATATGGCATGGAAATTACGCCAACAAAATTAGTAGTCTGTCCATTCAGTAGGGAACATGTTTTTCCATCAGGGGACCATGTAGTTTTGAAGGGAATAACTTATCCATGATCTACTGGTGTCAGATTTCTGGGGATGTACTTTGACAGATAATTGAATTGGAACAAGCATATTGAATCCTTAAAAAAATATTAATATTCTGCGAATAATAAGTAAAACTCCAAATGGAGTGCGGACGCAAATATATGTCAATTATAGGTCTACTATAAGGGCAATATTACACTGCGGGGCGATTATATAAGGCGAGGCTACAGATACATCATTAAAAAAAATGTATTACAAAATAGATGTATAAGAATATTCTTAGGTCTCTTCAAGTTCACCCCCAATAGATATATTATTAAATTATGTTGTTGAAATGTAACTAAAAGTCACAAGTCAAATACTAAGCCATAAAACAGTTTTTAAGATAAAAGCAAGAAATCCTATTTGCTATACTAAAATTGTAAACCTATGCGTTTTAAATTAAGTAAGACTTTTTAGTAGAAACAAAATACAAGCTCATTATTTACAATAGTTTTATGAAATATTTAAAAACGCTGAACCATGTTTATCCGTCTAATATACTACCTCAACTCTTCGTTGACCTCGAAATGCTTTATCAAAAATTCAGTATATTAATAAACAATAAAATAAATTCTTTACCTCCCGAGCAAAGAATCATAAAATAAAAGCCATTCTTTCAGACAATAGTATTTTTGAAGTACATTTTTAACGAAGCAATTATAAACTGTTTGAAGTGCATTTTGATAGAAAGTGGCACTTCCAGTTAGCCGAATTTAAGGAAAAAGTTGCTGTTACTTCAGAGCCATATACAAACCTTAATACGTAATATCAGTTTCGTACGACTTTTCGCTTTTGAGCTATACTGTTCACAAACACACAAACCATTTTGCGTGACTTGGTTATTTTGACTCAGGGAGCTTCAAACCACAGATTCGAAAATTTTCACGATTGAAATACTTTCCCTTACTATATATAGGTAAGTGAAAGTAAAAATTAGATTTAATTCCGATATTAGGAATTCTATTAGCAAATTTAATCATATGTACAAATACAAGGAGTATTCATTGGTCGTAGTCAAATGCTAGTAATACAGATGGAATCGGTATAAGCTAACATGTGCGATTACGGAATATAACTTTTAATCTATATTCATGAATACGTGTTGCCTGTATTATTTTGTATTGATTGGTAATCTTATACTAAACATTATTTTATTTTTAAGCCTAATATCAGTAACTATATCGTTATGGTTGTGATCTTCCATCTTATATATTTTAATATTATGTGTCGATTATTAAACATCGCGATCCTCATAAACTGTTTCTTCATCATTATAAATCATGGTGGTTCACCAATTGTGTGCGTTAAATAGACTTTATTGGTAATAATATATTTTTATAAGAATAAAAATATTTTCCTAATTTTGCTTATACAATACTTCAAATGTATCAAGGGAAAGAAGGAAGATATTTAATTAGTTGATTAGTTGATTATAGGAAAAAAGTTGTATTGATAAACGTAAAATTCGAATTTGTTCACATCGTAATATTATATATATATATATATATATATATATATATATATATATATATATATATATATATATATATAGAGGTAAGTGGAAGTAAAAAACGGAATATGTTAAACTGAATAACTGAATTATAAAATAACCTAATTAAAAACTAATATAAAATTACCAACTGAAAAAATAACATATGTAACCAAGCACAATAAATACAATATTTTAGAATTATCAATTATTTACTAAGTGCTCAATTAGTATTCATAGTAGAAGAGCTTAGTGCCTATGATATGAATGTTTTCTATTTCATTTTGGTGACATTCCCTTATTTTGAGTAAGTCTGAAATACATTTAATTATGATTCTATTTTTCCTATCACTACTATGCATCATGAAAAGAATAAGATGCTGTAGACTTATATTCCATAGTAACACAGCGTTAGTGGTGTAAGATTAAACCTTATAAATGATTGAACCCTATAGTATGAAACGATCATCTCAATAAGTTAGTTTTGACTATTAAGTCAAAAGAAGGTGGAAATTTCAATTGCGTATTTTTAGCAGAAGATATTTTCTTTATTTAATTTATTTTATTATTTTACATATTAGAAAGGCGGTTATGTAGCCTAACCTAAACAACGAGTGTTAAGTCAATGCAGCTCTGTTGGATCTAAGGACTGTCAATACTGAGCAACTTTTTCGGCATACATCGAGAATCGAGGAATAGCGTGCTCTGGATTATCTTGAAACCAGCCGCCATTTTAAAGCAGCGAAAGTGAACTAGTTCCAAAAAGGTTTTGAAATGTGAGGCCCTTGTGATATAGAATTTTTAAGTTGTGATTGCCGCACAGGTGCCACTCTTAATAAAAAATTATGGATCAAACTAACATAAGAGGGAGTATGTGATAATGTTATACTATGCCCCTTCAAATTTTCTAGGGGGCACATTTCGATGGATTTTAGGAGTGAAAAGTTTCAGACAAGGAGAAAACATGTAACAGACCGCAGCAAGTGTAATTATCTATTAACTACAATTTTTCTAATTCTATATTCGCTTGAAATGTTTTGAAAAGGAGGAAAGGAATGAAATATCTTGGAAGGGAGGAAGAAGGTTCATATCTATTAAAACTTTAAGGCTAAGCCAATAGTGATGGGCAAAACTGCTTATTTTTTGCAACAGTTTCTGCTACTTTCAAAAGTATCTTTCCAAAAAACAACTAAATTCACAGCTAAGTTCATCAATGGCTTCGTTTTGCTCAGTTTAGAGATCTATTCAAGCCATCGATGAATTCAGCTCTGATTTTAAGAACCTGCTCCTTCCAAATGGAAGGTAATCCTTGTTTCTCTTTAATCTTGTGTGAAACAGTTTACTGTATCTGTTTAATGAAAGAAACTGTTTAAATTAAACAGATTGCTACTAAACATTCCACCACTATAAGCCAATTTTTACTATAGGATATTGGTTTCCACTCGATTTAACTTCTGTAACCTGAACAGTTAAATATATTCCAGTAGTCTACTTCTTTTCATATTCCAGATTCAAAAAATATGCAATCGCCACTAATGATGTTTTAATCAAAAACAAGAACTAAAATCTTTCGTTTATTGTACCACGTGGTGCTTATAAACCAAAAAAAATGTGTTAAGAATAAAGAATGGCTTAAAAATCATTACAAAATATTTTACGATTTACCTCTATAGTATGAAGTATCATGTTCCGAATTTGAGCGTTATTATTATTTTTTTTAAGGGGGTGGAGAGGTTGATGTAATTAAAAAACAAATGAATTAATAGTTACTAAGTGCTAAAAGTTTAGAAAATGATTTTTTCTGTGTCATATTATAGCTAAAAATATATTTTTCAGGTTAACTTTATCAAGTCCTAACACACCAGATACTCAAGAAAATGTTACTAAAGAAAATAGTTTGTGGACAGTGAAGTAATATTTCAAGAATTATTATTTTATACAAAATTTCGATAGCTTAAAATAGGACATTTATAAATAGCACAGAGCATCATCAATTCCTACCTTACTGATAAACACTTTAAAGTAAATCAAAATAATGTATATTCATCCCTCTTTTGTCAATCTGCTGGTGTTCCTGAAGGTAGTGTCAAAACTGGAGGATTAAAATAGATCCTATCAAATCACCTTTACCTTTCCTCTTAAACTTATGTCTTCCTGTCCTATAGTAATGTTTAATTACATCCCACTTATCCCTGTTGAAAAAATCCGATATCAAGGACTACACCTGGACAAATGTCTCACTTGGAATCCTCATACCAGACTGAAACGACAAGAAACTGCTTGACGTTTCCGCTTACTCTAACACTCACTAGACAAACGCTCTAAACTTCCAATTAATTACAAAAGATTCATATACATGACTATAATAAGACCTATTTGGACTTAGGGAGTTGAGTTATGGGACTCCACTAAACCATCAAATTCCTCTCGTATCCAATCCTTACAATCCAAAATCCTACGTAAAATCCTCAAAGCTCCTTACTTTGTCACAAATAAAATAATCCATAAAATCCGTAATGTTCGATATGTTTCCGATTTGGCCCAATTCAGATATCTATCCTTCCATAATAAACTTTATAACCATCCGAATCCTCTCGTCTCTAACCTTGCTTCCTCTTCGATTCATGATAATCCTCCGAGGCGTCTGAAATTGTGTGGTGGGAATAGCGCTGAAGTAGGAAATCCCGTTCCTGGTTATGGCTAAGAAACTCATACAAATATTGACAGATTTTATATGTAAAATAATAAAGGAATACTTAATGTATTATAATCCTGTGATCGTGCATTAAGTACGTTAGCACGGAAATTATTGAACTATTCTGTATACGCTAGTTATTTTGAAGGTCTTTTTTTGCTATTTATCTTTCGTTAACTGGACTATTAATTAGACTTAATTTTATGCACACTTTTGTTTTCATGAATTAAACTTTTTATCAGGAGTGTTGTCATTCCACTGTTGGACGTTGGCGTGCTTTGGGCAGAAGACAGACTAGTAAGAAGCAAAAGAAACCTTTCTAAACGGCTCTCAAAGAGTTCTGTGGGACTTATGAATAGCATTATACAACAATCAAAAAATGGAAATCAGGTAAAACTATTAAAATTGGTTAGGTCACAAAAGAAACTTATGCTGCTGTAAAGCCGGTACATACTCAAGATCGGAATGGCTTCATGAATCACACAATGTTACTATATGAGTCGAATCTATTTGAATGATTAGAAAAATAGACGTGAATATTTTTTTAAATTCGTTAACAAATCGCTCAGTTTTAAAGTTTGTACCGACTTTAATAGCTTTATAAGATTGACATACCTGTTGACTTCAACATTAGTATGAAACATAAGCAGAGTATAAAAAATTATATTTTGTAAAGACAGATTCCAGTGATGCATTCGTAGACTCATTGGTCTCTTTAATGTCGAAATCGGACCCTGCACTCTTGTTGAAACTTCAAAAGAGGATTGAAGAATTTGAACAAACACGACCTAAGACCTATAGAAATTTCAGAGCAGAAAAGCCAAGACCTCTCATTCAGTTCTTTAATGTAACAAAGATTTCGGTATCATCAGATGATGATGATGGTAAGTCTCATGTGATTTAAGAGTAGTAATTCCAAGAATTAGCTAAAGACTAAAAACTTTCAAAAACATTTAGTCCTATTTTGACAAAAAAAATCTTGAACTTATTTTTCAGTTCTTCAAAATCTAAATGAATGGAAAATTGAAACACGGTATCTCATTTCAACAATTTATGAATCCAAGACTGTAAACATTCAGGATTTTTTTACCATCTCTATGTCTCTATTTTATTTTAAAATTTTATTTGTAGAGAAACTTTGACTTTAAACATTTTAAATTATACAAATGTCAAATTAAAATATTAAGTGTATATTAATTGCTATATATATATATATATATATATATATATATATACAAGTGTGTGTGTGTGTGCATGTATATGTATATGTATATGTATAAAATGTTTTCTTATGTTCCAGATATTGCCAAATCAAAAAATGTTGAGAGCAGTGTAGCGTCTAAAAATGAAGACGACCAAATAGTCAAAGCAGGTATAACCAGCTTATAGTAAAAGCGGGTATAAGTAACCTAATGACATAAAAATTTAGACATTTGTAGGGTTTTTTTTTTTAGTAAATGCATTCACACGTTTCTATTAGAACAGCAATAATGGATGATCTTATAGTTTACCAACCTATACTTATATAACGCATATTTATATAACGCACTCGACAGGCAACAACGGTCAACTTGTAGCATACGGCAAGGAGACATATTTAAACATAATATTGAAGACTTACATTTTATACGCTCATTCCCTAAAAATAAAATTCAGTCCTCACAAATGAGAAGATATTGTTCCAACAAGATCCTTTCTCAAACTATATCAAGCTATTCAATTCGATACCAAAGCTGTACACAGACAATATGGCCTTCTACGAGCCGCACCGATCCGTTGGCTGTTGGATAGACGACGACACTGTTCGATATGTGGAATGACTTGTAGCATACGGCAAGCAGACACATTTTCTTCGCTTTGTAGTCCTTCTATGGAAATACTGTGTATAGGCATACGTCAATGCCGCATGCTACATGTTGCCTAAAAGTTGCCTTAGTGGAGTAACGCCTGTAGTTGTTGAATTCTTTGCGAAGCAGCTTAAAGCGTGAAGGCACTGGTTTTATTCAAGCTTCATTCATGAACCATCCTCATTGATTTTGATCTAGATTATTTCCTAACTAACGTTGGATTAGAAGGTATTCGCCAAGTGAATGATGTGAACCTTGGTGGAAGCTTTGCCTTAGTGAACCTTGCTTTGAAGTTAAATTTTGAAGAGAAGTTTTTCGTCACTTCCTTAACATAATTAATATACAGTAGGTCATCAAGAGTAACGGCATATCTCTCCAATTTTGAGGATCAAGTTATGAGCCATTTAACTGTTAAATAATACAGTTCGTGATTTCGTTTTATTAATTTGAAAGATGTACGTTTACCCTTCTGTAACATAGGCAGTGGGGTCATATCTAGTCACATAGGATGTGTCAATTACAAAACTATTTAATTTTGTTTAAACGGAACTCCTTACCATTACCAGTCGGTTTCGATCTAGAGAAAAAAATAACTGGAGGTAATCAATGCTGTGTGAGGCTCATGAGGAATTAGTTAACGCCGACTTTTAAGTACTACTATAAATGATTTAAAAGTAGAGATTTTGACGCAGAAGAATGCAATTTTTATAAAACGCTATTGGAAAACAAAATAAAATAACGTTTATACACATTCAAAAATATACGTAAAATTGAATTATGATGTTATAGTGATTTTTTGTTCAAACATACTTCAATAGAAATAGAATATATTAAAATGCTTCAAAATTTGATTAATTTCTGTAGATCTCAATCAAAGTTGTTATAGAAACAATCATAACTACCTATTCAGCCCGAACTGTAAGATACCATTCCAAATTCAGCTTTAAGATACCACCATGTTAAGCAAACATTAAACATTTTATTTGAACATTCCTCTTGCTTAGTACTACAAACATAGGAAACACTATTTTCGATTAGTCAATAGTTCCAAAGTTATGTTGAGATGTAAACAGGGTTAGAATCACGAAAATTTAGCTTTTTTAAAATAAAATCAATCAATTTACAGCTGGTTCCTAATTTGTTGTATGATAAACCTCGATGGATTTTAAAGTATTATTGTCGATTATACGTATAAATATTTCCAAAATTCAGGATCAATGGTTTTTGACGGAAATATGAGATACAACATTACGTAAGACAGGACAGTAAGTGCTAGGCGGCCATCATTGACCACCATTTTGGATAGAAGCGGACAAAGAAAACGAGGGAAGATTTCACGATTTGTTCTAAATTCGACGAGGAACTAATCTCCATATTTACGGTTCATTATGAATTATTTTGATATCGACCTAGTTTTTCGCCTAAATTTACTAAGCTATAATATGCTGTAAACCTCAAATATAGGTATATAAGTAATAAGTAAGTCAAACAAATATTATTTTACTAACTTTATTTGTATTTCATCAAAAAACAAATAAATATTGTTACGAAAAAAATAAATAAGTCTTCTTCAAAGATGAACATAGTAAAGTAAATAATTGTATAGATCCTGAAGACAATGATTCAGAAATAATTGCAAAAACAGATGTAACCACATTATTAAAAACTAAAGATGGGAAGATTGCAAAGATACAAAGATCAGGAGACAAAAAACGCTACAGGCTGGAAATAGATTGCAGTACAAAAGTTTCATCTGAAGGTGAGAAAAATATATTTTAATCAACAAACATAACGAAAAGAAACAAGAAATGTAATTAATCCATCCCCGGACTTGTCAGAGGCTAAGAGAAATTCTAGCACTGCCAACCTCGGTAATATTTCCTAAAAATAATTGACTTATAGATATTTTTTATAGATTTTTACATATTTTGTAAAATATACATTTTTCAAATATACGATTTATTTTAACTTTTGGTAATCATATATTTCAAGAAGTAATACAGTGGTTAAGAGCGACAACTCGTATTATAGTTAAACGTCACTAAATGTAACTTTTTTTCTTTTTTTTTTTGTTCTTTCCTTCGCGAGGAAAGTGAGCTTTTAGGCTCTATTCCCGGACAAGGGGGTGAGGGCGGGGGATTAATGGCAAGTTAAAAGACCCCCATGGCACCGGGACGCGAACTCGCGATTATTTAATCATTTAAAATCGTTTTCATGGAAATAATTGCTATCAGTAGGCTTCTTTATTTTAAACGTCAATTTTAGGACTAGAAACATTATGTTTGTCACTGATTGTGCTGCTCAACTCTTATGGCAGAAATCAGGGAGAAAAACACAATTAAATAACCACTTTACAAGAAAAATATTTTTAAAATCGTTATTTTTACTTTTATTAGTGTAATAAATAAAATATATATTTCGGCAATCATTTTTATAACACGGAAAAACAATAAATAAAAATTATGCAACAGTTAATTGTAGTCGTTTCTGCTGAAAACAAGGGTACTTTTAGGAGACTGGATAAAAAATAACATAATTTCTTTACTTAATTTAAGGTGAATCTGAGGTTTTTGCCTAATAAATATAAACATAGACCTTATTAAACGAGGTAGTTTTTCTTAAATTGGGGTAACAGTTATAGTATAGTTGGTTGATAAAAAAAAATTGCGAATAATTTATGATTTTTTTTAAAAACAGGCCTAGTTTAGCCGTTCAAGTGTCCTCATTAAATGGTTTTAATAATGACTAACTCTTTTTAAATTTATAGCAAATTTTGTCTAGTTTACAGTAATGTAATTTTTAATAACTTAAATTTAATATTTCTTTAGTTATACGCTTCCTATTCAACCAAAAACATGACTCACTTAAAAAACACAAAACTTGGATTTCCTACTTTTCGGCTCAAAATTGGCCCATTGTTTATATTTACCTTTCTGTAGGTGTTGAGGCCTCTTATTGCTCCAATCAAAATGTCCCACTAATTACGAGACACCCTATACATATAGCTAAATCGCTTGTCAAAACAGGTTGAAAATATTTGAGTATTGAGGCTTGAAGTCTGCTGTGCATCTGGTGGCTATTCTATCTATCTTATATGGTTATTACACTTCTTATTTCTATTCGTTATGCATCTAATAAAATAGTTAAATTAATTTCCAATACTAAATATAATCATAGAATAATAAATATCACTGTACACTTATAATTGACTACACCCAGCTGTCCAGTCAAGAACCTGAATGTTGTTTGCATTTACGATTTTACGCACCATATTTATAGTATAAGCTAGACATAAAAATAAACTTCCCTTCACTCGTTAAAAGCAATTTCACTAACATGAATATTTACCACTCGGTTTAGATAGCGTTGAGCTCTCAAACATTCATTCAGAATCCAAAACAAACCACTTTAATGTCGTGCATGCTCGTCAAAGAACATTATAAATAGCAATGTTTTTTTTTTAAAAACTATGCTTGCTATAAGTATCCTATGGCAACCAAATCAACATAAAACAGTCTGTTTTTGTTTAACAACACTATAAACACAAGGCCTAGTATAGTTCCTTAAGATCTCTCTTTCTCATGGTAATTATTCACAATAGGTTCCTTACAACTAATTGTAAGTTGAATCAACAAGAATTATTCCCTTACAATTACCTCGTCGTTAGCTGGTTCTTTTACTTTTAAGTAAATAGATTGAATAATATGAGAATTCAAATGGTCTAACCTAAGGTCAGCAAAACAGCTGATACCCAGCGCAAACGGAGGGTACTGAATTTCCGAAAAATAACTAAAAATCCAAAATTAAGGGTTTACAATGCTATAATAAGCCGGTTGCGAGAAATGAACTTTACCCAACACCCAAAAAGGTATTAAAAGATTTTGGAAGAAGATGAGGGGGTACACCACAAGTGTACAACTTAAGTTTTTAGGGTTTAAATATTCGTAGATGTCAATTGCTGAATCAATCTACCAAGATGTTGAAGTAGATGTGAAAGTACATTCTCTTAGGGTCGATAGAATTTCTCAATTTCTGTAGCCGTTTTTTTTAATTCAATTTTTTTTTTACAATATTTATTATTAGCTGAAAAAGTAATATAAATTTAGAAATCATTAATCTGAATAGAAATCATTTAGCTGAAAAAGTTATATCAATTTAGAAATGTTATGAAAGTTGTATGCCTTTTTCCCTTTATTTAATCTAAACAAATAGGTCATATAATCAAGTTGTTTTTTTATATAGATATTTTCAAGTATATATAATAAGTAAAAAAAAAAAATTTAAAATGGCACTTCCAGTTAGCCTATTGTAAGGAAAAAGTTGCTGTACCATCCTAGGCCTATACTTACCTTAAATACGCAATTTCATCTTCTTAGGACTTTTCGTTTTTGAGCGAGACTGTTCACACACACACACAGACCATTTTGTGTGACTTTGTTAGTTGGACTCAAATGACCTCAAGACGCGTATTTTCGTTGAAAACTCAGATTCGAAAATTTTCACGATCGCAATACTTTCCCTTACTATATATTTCATATATAACTAAGTGAAAGTAAAAATAGGTATTTTCATCATTTCATGTTTTAGACTCAAAACATCTAAGTCATTAGCGCCCGTAATAAAGTAATACTACTATTAAAATATTTAGCTGATAGCAACTAAATTATTTTTTTTTTTTAATTTCTTAATGACATTTACAACTGTATTACATAAATACATCAAGTAAATTTGGTCATAATAGATATAATGACATGAATACACTTGCTGAGTAACTACCCAATGGTAGCACTCTAATGATATGACTACATTAGGAGATCACGGGGCCATCTTCTTTTCAGACGCCTCGGAGGGTTATCAGGAATTGAAGAGGAAGCAAGGTTAGAAACGAGAGGGTTGGGATGATTCTGAAGTTTATTATGGAAGGATAGGTATCTGGATTGGGCCAGATCTGAAACATAAGCAACATTGAGATCTTTATGGATAATTTTATTAGTGAAAAAGTAGGGAGCATTGAGGAATTTACGAAGGATTTTGGATTGTAAGGATTGGATGCGAGAGGAATTCGATGGTTTAGTGGAGCCCCATAGCTCAACTCCGTAAGTCCAAATAGGTCTTATTATAGTCAAGTATATGAGTCTTTTGTAATTAATGGGAAGTTTAGAGCGTTTTTTTTAGTAAGTGCTGAAGTAATCGGAAACGTCGAGCGGTTTCTTGTCGTTTCAATCTAGTATGAGGATTCCAAGTTAGTCGTTTGTCCTGGTGGAGTCCTAGGTATCGGATTTGCTCAACAGGGATAAGTGGAGTATTGCTAAAGGAAACTGTAGGACAGGAGTAATTATATTAAAAATCATAAATGGTATAGCATATTATTCGAAACAATTAATCACTATATGTTTTTTTCGTATAATATATTAAATGTATGCGTTTTTCGTCACTAACCATTTCCTTTTACGACTGTATGTTTTAATTACTTATTATATAATTATAATAAATAATTAAATACTACGAATTATTTTTATTCCGACAAGAAGGTCAATAAGATATTCATTTATGTTTCATTGTGCGTATATTTTTTGTTTAAACACTGTTATACAAATTTTAATTCTTATATTTCTGTAATCTATACATTCAAATAGTATATAATACCAGCGCTAGCATTTATGAAAACAGTACATGTATAAGTAAATAGTATAATTGAAACCCGTCCACCAAGCTTGAGGGCGCGCTAGATTTTTTCGGCAGTTCCTGGCTCCACATTATCACCTTTAATTCCATCTTTTATTTCTCCTTTAGTTCTTGATCAAATTTTTTCACTGTTTATATTTAACCATTTTTATTCATTATCTGAATTGTGAAATAGTTAATTTTTTAAAACAAACAAAATTAAATGTACATTAGACAAAGAAATATTTGAAAAATCAACATTTACGCCCTGTTGGAGTACATCGATTAGGATAAAACCTACCTTATATTAAAAAACAATTAATTGTGCATTACCATAATGAGTTTAATCAAAATCGTTAGAGCCGTTTTATAGAAAATCGAAAAAATAGATTAAATCGATGATATGATATAAAGTACCACTTCCGATGTTGACAAAAATTTTGCAGTAACATCCCAGATATATAAAACATATATATATATATATATATATATATATATATATATATATATATATATATATATATATTTTTATACACATACGTACGCACGCACCATTTGTGGAATTTGGTTATTTGGACTTAGGGAACCTCAAAACATGTATTTCCGTTGAAAGATCAGATTCGAAAATTTTCACGATCGAATACTTACCCTTACCACTAGCGGATCCAGAATTTAATTTGGGGGGAGAGCTTCAGCACGAAAGCTTTTTTTTTTTCATAAAAATGACTATAATTACTTTGGAAAATAAGAAAGAAACTAACTATCTATATGAAATGGTGTTTAAGTGATTCCTTAAGTCCTTTAAAATGTAATTACACGAACAATAATACTTTAAGAGATAATTTTTTAATATATTTGTCCATAAAACATGATTATATTTTACCATTCTGGGGGGGGGGGCTTTAGCCCAAAAGTCCCCCCCCCCCCCCCCGTATATCCGCCCGTGACCCTTAGTATATATTACATATATAAGTAAGTGGAAGTAAAAAGGGAACATCACGTGCAAATGTAGACGATCTGAAGTTTTCTAATTCTAGTTTCACTTCGACTGTTTTTAAGAAAAGAAAACAATCTATGTGAACTTCATAGTATTTTTTTATGCCTACTATCATTTATTCAAATATTTCCTATTATTTACTGGTTACCCTTTATAATAAATTTATTATAAACTAATGATAACTGGGTCTTTAATAACACATTTTGGGAGTTGGGAACATACGCACAAGGTTAATAAAAAAATGTGCAATAATACTGAAAGGGGGTTGGCACTAGTAATAACACGTTCCTGACACCTATAGGTGGAATAATATTATAATTGAATAATTAGTATTATTCAACGATGTAACTCAAAAAGAATGACCAAAAATAAAAAAAATCAATACCATAAATTTGACGGAAAACCAATGTTTAAGATGTAAATGAAAATGAAGATCTTCAAGCTGAGAGAAAGAAAAGAAAAGTAAAACTTTTAAATCAACCGATAGTAACAGAAAAATTCATGGGATACTTGAAAGGTATTGTAGGAAGTAGCTCTGATGATTTCTTCGTGAAACATTCCTTCCCACTTCATAAAGGATACAATATAAATTCCTTCACTTGATGTTTAAAAGAATAAAATACTTTATTCCATTCCCATATTTTTATATGTTTTATTTTAAAAAACAATTATTTCACCACTATTCTATGGTTGAAAAAAAGATATATTGGGTTGTCCCGAAAATAATGCTAGATTTGGATTTTTGTATAAAAGACAGATTTACAACTGTTTTATTTAATCAAATTAGTCTCCACTACTATCAATACATTTCTCATCTTTAGAATTGATAAAATCCAAAAACGCATTTTCTAATTCTCTTTATCCATTATTTTTTTCACGTAAGTGGGGGTTCAGATGTCTGAAAAATGAAAATCCATAGGCGAGAGGTCCGGAGAGTAGGGCGGATGTGGCAGAGTTTCATATACAAGCTGCAACAGTTTTTGTGACGTTACACGTGAGACATGTGGACTGGAGTTGTCATGCAACAATATTTGCCCCTTCCGATTGACCAAAGATGGCTTCATTATTGCCAATTTCTGATGCATTGCATTAATTTAGTTACAATACGATTCGGCATTGATGGTTTCTCCAGGAAAAGAAGAAAAGCTATAGTGTATCAAACCAAATGAAGCTTACCAAACAGCAACCATCATCTTTTTTAGATGAGTTGGAGGCTTTGGAAAATGTTCTGCTGCTTCTCCTTTGTCGAGCCACTGTCCAGAACGTCTACAGTTATCGTTAAGTATCCACTTTCCATCACAAGTAACAATTCTGGAAAGAAAAGGGTCGTTTTCGCTTCGGCAAAGAAGTGCAGCACAAACTTCATAACACTGTTTTTTTTATTTTATTTTTTTGAGGTCGTTTAATGTGTGTGGAAGCCAACTTTCAAGATTTTTACCTTTCCAATCGCGTTGAGGTGGTCATCGATGGTCGATTAACTAAGGTTAAGTTTCCCAGCAAGTTCTCGAACAATTGTTCGGAGTTGCCATCCACCAATCCCCGCAGAACATCGCCATCAAGAAAGGACGTCCTTCCAGGCCCTTCTTTATCTTCAAGGCTGAAGTCTCCCTCCCGAATTTTTTTTTAACCACCGTTGAACAGTGACCTATTAATGCTGCTCTCGCCCCAGACTTGATCCCATTCCGACCGAGTTAAATCTCCTAAAACAAAATTATACGAAAGTCATGCCTTGACATCTTAGTAAAGATTGAATTATTTCTAAGCAGCGAAATGCTACCGAGGTAAATAGACATTATCGTTTGGGAAGATATTAATAAGTGTTGACATTCATACAAATAAATAATCCAGTAAATGTAAACAGTTCGTTATACAAAAGGGTATTTAAAAAGAAAAACCAAAATCCTGCCATATTTTCCGAGCAACCTAATATATTGTGCTTATATTCAATTATATCGAATGTAGCTAAACTAATTTAGTATTAGATTTTTATTTGTAAATTCATACTGTCATCATCATAAATGTAATATTTTGAATAAAATTGTAATTAATATAATCAACCCAGGATTTTTAAAAAATGATTACTATGCTCACTCTGAAAAATGGTACTCCGGAAATTATATGGCGAAAGATAACACATACATGTCTTCTCCGACTTTTGAAGGCTAGATTGGCATCCAAAACTGAGGTAAGGAAGTTTATAGGTCCCAAGATGAACTTTCATCCTAAATATTTTATTGATACGATTCAGTCAGGGGTGCCAAGAAGTGGGTTCCATGGCACAAGTTCGCCATAAAATTTTTGAGGGGGCATATTTTGAATTTTTGAGGGGAGACAAGTTTCGGAGACAAGGGTAGCAAATGGAACTGACCGCAGAAAGTGTATTTATATATGATCTACGATTTTTCTAACTCTACCTTGCTCTGTTTTTAAGAAAGGTGGGGAATAAAATATCTTGGGAGAGGGCCGAATATAAAAATCACAGAGCCTCAAATGACAAAATACTAAACTGTTGAGGACTTCAAAAGCGAACCTTGTCAAATTCAATCTCTAGATTTCCATAGGTTTTCCTATGCACAAAGAGAATAATAATGATCCTAGAGCCCGTGCATGAAAGTTGACATTAGCTGATAAAACATTTGAAAGCATTTTTTTTTATATTTCTATTTAAAAAATGGGAGTCTGCCAATCGGACTATATCACTTGAAAAAATGGGAGCTTCATAAAAAGGCCAATTTTTCGAAAATATGCATTACATGATGACGGTTAATTTCTGTTTCAAGCAATACTGTACTACTTCCTGAATCAAATGACGTTATTCTGTCGGCTTTTGCACGCTACCTGCGTCCCGCAGAAACTTTTCTAAAATCGCCATTTCGGAATTCAAAAATATAATTACGTGAAGACAATTAATTTCTGATTTGAACAATACTATACCACGTCCAGACCAAATGACGTTAGTCTGCCGACATGCATACATGCTACTTGCGTCCGGTAAAAACTTTTTTAAAACCGCGATTCTGAAACTCAAAATTATTTTTACTCCTTGAAATTTGTGTTTTAGGTCGCTTTGTTTATGGCTAGGAGTATTTTAATACTGCTACTTCTTTTTAAACAAAATGGACAAAATATAAAATTTATACATATTTTAAAAGAATCTTGACCAAGTACGAAAGCGTAGTATTTTTAAAATAAATGATACTTTAGTTTAAAAAAATCTTATTTTAATCATAATTAAATAAAATAAACAAAAATGAAAATTATTACTTTAAATAAATATTTACATAAAAAAAAATAATTTTTGCTTTTTGAAAATTTTCTTTTGAATACAAACAAAATTATTTTGAAACATCATCAATCAGAAATGGATCTTTGTAAATTTAACTTAAATCTCAAATTCGGAGGGAAGTTAGGGATTGGTAAATAAATGATATAAAATATATACCAATTTCATCAAATCCCATTGGCTACTTTCAAAATATACTTCCGCTTTCGGATCAGCAAATGTATTATTTTGACATCCCTATAGTTAGAAAATTTGACCCAACCTTGGAGGATATTTGAAGCATAGTATCAAAATTGTCTAGTGTATTATTCGCAGGTCGAAATTAATCTCTGCCTTCTAGCCTTTCTTTTCACATTTTTACATATATACAATTTCTCACTGCAAAATACCGTTTTTCCCAAAGCCTGAAAAATAGCCATCCCCCTCTGTTGAACGAATTTCCTGCTGGTTCATCAGCTTCTAACTTCAGACACATCACCATTTTATCCAAGCCACTGGAAAGATTACTCCACTATCAGTTGAACAACTTTCTCGTACAAAACCGTCCCCTCAACCCTTTACAAATCGGTTTCCGCTCCCATTATTCCACCCAATCTGCCTTGCTTAAGATAACCCAAGGACCTCCTTACCTAATCCTTTACGACTTTTTCGTCAATCATAAAATCCTCCTAACAAACTCTAAAGCCTACCCATACAAATAGCGTTCTAAAATGGTCCCTCTCCTTCTTATTCCATTGCTCTCAGACAGTTGTAATTCTTAACAAATCTCCATCGCCACCCCTTCATTTAACACGAGGTGTTCCTCAGGGCTCCTCACTCTCTCTAGTCCTTTTCTCTATTTATAATAGCGATCTTCCTAATACCATTCATCGTTACCGTTACCACTAATATGCTGATGATTTCAGAATTTAATCATTCCAACCTTCTGAGACTTTCTACCTGAAAGTCACAAGAACATATTGAGAGTATCAACCTATGGCAGAAATAAATGATTTGAAGCTGAATGCAGAAAAAACTAAGGCTATTCTCATCGTTTCCAGGCATACCATTACTTCTCTTCCTCACTCTCCTCTACTTCCGCCCCATTCATTTTCTATCCATAGTCAAAAACCTAGCAGTAATCTTTGATCAGAATATTCCCTGAAATAACATTATCTCCCAGATTATCCGAAAATCCATAACTGTCCTTAAACAACTCCTAAGATTCCATGATTCAATTCCTGTAAAAACCACACAGCTAGCTCCTAGTAATCACCCTCGTTTTCTCACACTTCGACTATGGTTACTTGGTGTATAAAAGGCTATCTGCAACACTGGAGATGAGACTGAAGAGACTCATAACATAAATTTTTGGAATTCCCAGGCGCTCTCATGTTTCTTTCTGGTACACTGAGTTGAAATGGCTTAATCATACTTTCTGACAGCAATTTATTTTTGGTCCTCAGAACCAAACATCCTCCCTGCTTCCTAGAACTCCTTTCTCTATGTTCCTCTATCCACTCTCTTAATTCAAGATCTCTACCTATTGATCTATATATCCCTTCCTATAAAACTACATTCCTCAGCAAATCCATCATTCATGCTATCTCCTTAAGGAGCTCTTTACCTATCGGTATAAGTCAATCTCCTACTTCATATTCAAACTCCCTCAAATACGTTAAATTTATTTCCTTCTGTACACCATATAATTTAATCAACTGTGAAATTTCAATTGCAATTAACATTTAATTAAGCACCATTTTGTATTCATCTTAGCCAGACTAATGCTTATAATTATGGAACTGTAATCCCAGTACAAAATTATTTTTTCATTATATTTTATTTTGTCTATTTCATTGAATTCCATTTAATAATTAAAATAATTAAGAATATAATGGCTGTGAAATTTGGAAGGCATTAATCATTGGGGATAGGAAGTAAGGTAAATACTAATAATAACATTCCATAATTCAGTCAATTTGTTTGAGGTTATAAAATTTTAGGCTGTATTGAAAAAGTAAACTTAAACTGTATTCTTTGATCGATTTCATATTACTGGCATGACACTTACTGCCATTACATATATCTCATGTAATTTTCATTTAATTTATATTAATTTTTGCTATACTTACAAATCTACCAATCAGTCCATCTTTCCGAGATGTCTGAGGGAACCTTAAAATTACAAGAAGATATTGATTGTATTAACACATGGGCAGAAACTAATGGATTGAGGCTGAATTATTAAAAAAAAAACCAAGGCTTCTCTGCTACGCTGAAGAAACTAATGCATAGTTTCATAAAATTTATATTACTGTTCTCAGGCAATCCACGTTTCTTGTTGGTACATCGAGTTGATGTGGCTCTATCCTATTTCCTGAAGGCAGGCAATTACTCAATATCTTTCTGTTCCAGGCCTTAGAACAAAATAATCTCCCTGGATCCTAGAATTCCTTACTCTTATGTTCCTCTATTCACTGTCCAAATACTAGACCTCAACAATACAAGGATCTATAAATCCTCTCCCATAAAACCGCTTCCTTCAGCAAATCTTCCATCATTTGTCCTACCTCCCATTGAACTTCTTCATCCATCTCATAACACTAATCTTCGTTTATAAATTCCTTTAAACAACTCTTATTCCATCACTTACTTGATATTTAAACTATTGCATCAATGTAAGATATTTATTTCTGTAATTACTACTAACATATAAATGACAAATACTAGTTGTATTTTGTATAGTTAACTTAAAATATACATAAAGACACTAACAAATCCAGGATTTAATTTTGGGGGGCTTCAGCCCGATTTTTTTTTGTATAAATATATTAGGATAATGACTTCAGAAGAAAGAAAGAAACTACCTATATGAAATGGTCTTTAAGTGATTATTGAACTTGAAACCTATTAAAACCCGATACCACATCTATGCAGATGATTTCCAAATATACCTTTCCTTTCCGCCCTCCGACCCGTTATATGCACAGAAAACTTCAGATGACTTAGATGGAAATTTGTGACTGCTAAAAGAACAAAAACAAGCTGGAAGTTGATTGCGGATAAGACAAAGGCAATCTTATTGCTCCATTACCTCCTTTTTAAACAGCCCTACTTTTTCCAACTGTGTTCCTACATAATAACCCCATCAATTCACCCCACCATAAAAATCTTGGAATAACCATAATTGATCAAACGCTTCTTGGGACAAAAAATCTTATATCCAATATTTCCCGCGTACCATTTCACATCCTAAAACGTCTTTCTTTTATATACTCCCGTCACATATTTCCTTTTGAAACCCGTCAGGCTTCCTAGTACTTCCTTATTTTTCCCCACTTTTGATTATTGCTGTTCGGTATCCTTGGAGGGGCCTCTCTGGGATCTCGAGGCGAATAATAATACTTTTAAAGATAACTTTATAAAACATAGTTATGTTTTACCATTTTGGAAGGAAGAAGCTTCAACCCGAAAGCCCTCTCCCCTTAGATCAGCCCGTGCATAAAGACTAATATGTATAAAGTCTGGCATTCATGTCATAATAATAATATTTAATTTAAGCCTGCAAATTTCACTAGTGAATCTAATATTATTACTGGTGAACAATACAGGCATTATTTTAATTTGTTGCTGAATTCTGTTATCAAAGCTCCTCAAATATTTAAGTTAGCGAACCCGAAGGTTCAATGGCTACACCACCAATCGCTTATTACACACCTCTCCACTGGTCACCGTCCAAACCCAGTCTCTTCAGTTCATTAGATTAGCCGCCATGTAATCACTTCAATTATATTAACCGGATACAGTTCATATAATTCAGCATTGTGTAATCGTCTGATCTTTCCGGTTAACTCATCCTTTTTAAGTCCGAATATTCTATGCAAAACTTTATTTTCAAAAATCTTAAGACGATGCTCATCCCTTGATCTAAGCGGCCACGTTTCGCATTCATAAAGAACCGTAGGTAGAATAATAGTTTTATAGATTCTAATTTTTAAGTTCCGGAACAAGAGGCGCGAGCTAAGTAATTTTGTCACAGAAAAATAACAAGCATTTTCCACCTTCAGCCTGACCTTAATCTGTTCTTCAATTTTGTTTTTTCTAGTTATCGTAGACCCTTATTTATTTGTTATGAATAGTATTTGTTTGTTATATATTATAGAACATACTTTATCTAGTTAGGTATTGACTACCATTGTTTTATTGCTTGTTGATTAGGTTTTACAAACTTTTAATGTTTATTTAAAAAAAAAGAAACTTATTACTTACTATATTGTTTATTTAAAAAAAGAGTCTAGAACTAAAAAAAATAAATTCAAAATGTAATTAATAATACTGTGAAAATGATATTTCTCAGCTATTTTGTTAAGGATATAAAATGGGACATATTTTGTAGAAATAACCCACATTCCTTGACAAATGGAATTTTCCATTGTCTATGGATTGTGTAACATTTATATGAATATTATATTTATTGGCTTTATGATAATAAACATGTCATTCAATAATACTATTATTCATTCATTTTAGTTAAGGAAAAGGCTATCAATTTCCAGGGAGGAAAAACTAATTAACATAATAAGTGTTCCAAATAATGCAATTTAACTGATAGTAACTTGTAATAAGGATAATTTTGAGAGAACTAAGCACACACACACAAACTACAATTAGATAATTATTTGGTACATGAAAAATTTACAAAGATGAGTATATTTTTTCAAATTAATTTTGTTTGTAAATGATACCCTGTAACTTATCACAGATTATAAAAATAACAGTATTTTTAATAACAAACATTGGTTTATTTACAACAATACAAAATAAGGCAACTAAAAGGCTGTATGTTCAATAGTATATCAAGTAGTAGTACAATATCAATTTACAATTCCTAATTAGGCAGATATTGTTATAATTAAACAAAAATCTAATAAATTAAAAGTAACAAAAATAACAAGAGAAAGAATTTTGCTGTTACACATTAATTAGTAATGGCAACAATTAATATATTTATCAGTTTATTGCAAGAGACAAACCAATTATGACAAAATTCTAAAAGTCTGAAAATTGAGGAGCTCACTTTCAAAAGGGTACATATTCATAAAAGAAAAAGTTATTCTTCAAACTTTAATTTCATTTTTGTGAACTAAATTGAATCGAACTTTCCAATAATTTCTCATCAAAACTTTCTCTTCCAAGGTTTTGCTTTTAATTTATCAAAAGAGAAAAATACATTCCATGTGATATTGTAAAGTTAAATTTTCAATTAGATCTTAAAGTAACCTCTTCAATTCATTCATGAAGTAAAAAAAAAAATTACAATATCGTTTTGACTAAAATTTAAAGATGTTAACTTAATTGAAAATAATGAATTATTACTTTACATCAGATACAAAATACAAGTTATGGTAATAATTAATATGTAACACTTAAAATAAGCAAAACTAATGTCTGAAAAAAATACTAAAACAACAGAAAAACAAAAACAAAATAGTTATTTCCTAATCACCTTTTTTTTTGTTTTTGATATTGAAATTTATCACTTTATGCAATAAAAATTATTAAATAAAACTTTTGTTTTGTTTAAAAAGAACATAAATTAAATTAAAAACCATCTAGTCCTTGCTTTAACAGCTGACTGACGAACAAGTCGCTTCTTGTCATCCAGACACTTCTGCAATCCAGCCAATACCTGGAATTATAGCACAAATTTAATATTTTCATACAATAGCACTCAATCAATAAAGCTCCAAAATATATAAGGAATAGATATTAGTTCAGAATCTGTACATAATTATATTGGTCAGACAAGAGATCTTCAGTGAATTCATAGTGGCCCTGCTTGTAATCAGTTTGTAATGGAATTATTGAAGTCAGTTCATATTCAGTCTGTCTGTTTTTTTTTATATTCAGTTTTAAGTTAGGTGAAGAGTGAACAGTTATCAGGGTCCTAACAGTGTTAACGTAACATTGGTTTGTCAACAAGTGCATTGCAGTGTCTGTGAATTTATAATTCAATCTGTGAATTTAGGTAAACTACAATGGTTTTATACCCATATGTTCAAGTTAAAAAAATAAAAACTTTAACCACATTTTTCACAACATAACTCTTTCCCATTTTTATCTTTAACTGACTGGCCTAGTATTTTTCACCCACCATTTATGTAGCCAACGCCGATGGATTGGCAGATAAGGTCCATTTTACTATGAATAAAATTGAACTTTCGTTATTCACATTCATCTCTTAGTATGAGTATCCCTTTTAGATAACATAGCTAATTGGAGTACATAATAGCCAGTAGATGATGGAGTCAATAATGGACAAAATTTTAATTCAATTTAGCCTGGTTGTTTCCCATCCTTGAACCAAGAATTTAGCAGTATGTTCACTGATGATGTAATACTACCTTCAATTTTAATTGTGGTGTATGCCTTGAATTTTCAATAATATGCATGTCTGATTGAGGATTGGCATACAGTTGTCTTTGCATGTAGAACATTAACCAATTTTTAATTTTCAGGACCATATGGGTTTCAGATCGTCTAACCACATCTGATCCCCATATGTTTAGCACTAGCACACAGGTTTTGGAGCAAAATATTAACATAGTCCTCTATATTTAAAATCCTAAAATAGACAAAATATTTCCTTTTCTATGCCATTAAACACAATCACATGTTTCACATGAAACACAGAACAGAAATGTTTTACTTCTTAAGTTCTTCCTTAAGCTGACATCAATTACTAATTGAACATGCTTTTATCAGAAAATATAATGTTTACACACAGACTAAGTTGCAAATTTAAATATTTTCAAAAGCACCATTTATACACAACTTAATGATTAAATTATGAAATTTATACTTATAATCATTTTATTAGAGTATTGTAACAATAATAATTAAAATAATATATACGTTTACTAGTACCAATAAAGGTGCAAGCTAACCTTGGTTTTGTAAGGAAGCATATCCATGGAGTCATATTTTCCATATAAGTAAATGCAGTTAAGAGCTTCTTGGCGAACAGCCTTGAAAGATAAACACCAAAAATATTAATACTGAAATACACATGATTTCAAATAATTATTTTAAAATTAATAATAAATTAAAGGCAGCATATGGATCTAAAAATAAAAATAATTATAATAATAAATTTGGAGGTCCCCTGTCCTCCTAATGGCGGACAAACCCCCATTTAACAAATTATACAACTGTTAATTTAATTGCGCTAGTCATAGCTTAATTTGTATAACTGTAATTTACATGTATTCTGTAGATCAGATTGTATAATTTTTTATCAACATAAAAATCTATACTAAACATCGTACCTTATTGTCAATTTATATTATTATATAATTATAGTTATTCTTATTGCCAATCTGTAACCTATATATTCAACTTATCCAGTTCCATATAAGCCTAACATCAATTTGAGCCTTTTATTTCTAATATTTTCATGTACATTTTATTGTGCTCCCTTTTTTATTTAATAATAATTATAATTATATCACAATATAATATAAATAATATTAGGTATATATAATATAATAATTAATACATTGTAACCAAGGGGAAAATGTTTAGATCGAAAAATAACTGCTGTCATCTAGGTAAAATCAAGCTACCATCTCCAGATGAATACATATCATTTTCGTACAAATGTTTGGTCTAAAATCTTTATTTTATATTAGGGGAGTGGGTGGTTACAGGAGCTCAATACTGTAACAAAGACACCAGGATGTAAATCTCTATTTTGTATTAGGCTAGCAGGTCACAGGAACTCGACAAATATGTAATTATATAAACAGTTGTATAATCAGTGCTAATTTAAAGCTAATAGGAGAGCTCCTGTACTCTCTTAATACTAAAATAAAATAAAATATGACAATCACTAAAAACTTTTTTATATAACAGAGAGAAATGAACTCCACGCTGGATGGCACTAAGAAGTCAAATAAGAGAAGAAGTCAAGGGGCCACCAATGTTAAAAACCATAGCAAAGAAGATGCTGAAGTGGTTCGGTCATGTTACAAGAATGAACAAAAAAAGGAAACCTAGGAATTTTCTTGAGACAAAACCTACAGAAAAGAGGCCAAGAAGAGATGACCCCGGAAAATATGGATGGTTGAAATAGCCAAGATGGGAGAGGTAAGGAACTAGCATCAAGACTCTATGAGGACGATGGCGTAGCACCAAGAAACTGGCATAAATAAATTGAGGCTTCTCCATGCTGAGAGGCTCACAAAAGAAAAAGAAGATTGTAAAAAACAATGAAGAAATTATACAGAGACTTAAAAAAATTTTGAATGATATTTCATTAGTTATTAAAAAATATATACTTTTTTTTTTTTAACGAAACTACAGAAATAATTCTATACATCCTAAAAGAATGTACTTTCATATCTACTTAAAACACGTTGGCAGATTGTTAAAGAAATTGCTATTTGGAATATTTGCTTTCAAACCTCAAACGAAAATCAAGACTTTAAGATATTGACAGACAGTGATACATGAGATGAAATTTACTTGCTATGAGCAGTAATGTGTAGTGGAAGGCACCCAACTACTGCAGAAATTTTAAGTTTATATAGATGTCAATTTCTTTAAGAATATACCAAGGTGTTTAAATAGATATGCAAGTACATTTCCTTAAGAAGGATAGGGTTATTTCTGTAGTGGGGGTATTTTTCAGTTAATTTATATTTTTATTTTAATGAATTTATTTCTTCAAGTATTGAAAATTTATAATCCGCACATATTATCACGAACATACATATAGTACGATATGAAAACAATGAAAACATAATAAAAAAATTGAAATGGTGAGGGTAAGACTTCAATAGTGGCAAGTGTGAACAATAAAAATATGTTAAGGGGAAGTAAGTCTGAAATTCAAACAAAGGAATGTAATGTTCTTCACATTTTGAACTTAAAAATTAAATTTTCATTCAAATTAAAAATTATTAAAATCACTTTTGGAGCATTCAATATATTTTTTTTTTTTTTTTTTTTTTGAAAATCAAAACAATTGTGATAACTTCAAAATGATTCCTCATGAAACATAGCAGGGATATAGGAACCTATGAACTACATAAAATGGTACAAACTAGATCCCTATAAACAAATTAGAACTGGAGATATGAAATATAAATATGTGAGGAGTTTTACTTTATTTAGTCCTTATAAAGGTATAAAATCTAAAAGTAGTTAATATGGGTTAGAAGAACAATAATTTAGCTTTTCAATAGTTTCAGTAACGTTAAATTTGGAGAAAAGTTCTGAGGAGTAATGAATGTTTTTATGAATGGAAAAATTCTCAAAAATAAAATAAAATCAAAACTTTCTATATATATATATATATATTTCAAAACAAATTGAAATCCGTCGAGTTTTAAATGTTTCTAGAAATGAATCTGAATTGCTTATTTACTTAGTCTATTTTACTAGAAGCATCTCTTGTTGTTGTTAATTGTTTATACACTTGGTTTCATTTAATATCATTAGCAATTTTTTTTTACACCAAAAATAGATTGATTGCTATATATTTTGGCTAGAAATCAATGTAGAGTAATGGCAGAAAACAATAATAAAGACAAAATAATTGGCACAATTGGCAAGAATTCTCAGACATAAGTTAATATTATTCAACCTAGTATCACCAAAAAAAAAAAAAGATTCATTGGAATTAATCATCTCATGTCTGTTACCTCCCTATGTCAGCTAGATTATCAACTAGTTATTTTTTAACTAAAAATAAAGAAATAAAATAACCTACTAACACTAAGTTAGGATAGCCCCTATGTTTTAAAATGTTCTAAAGTTATTTATAACTGGAGCATGGTATTCTTATACATCAGGATAACTATTCTATTAATTTATTTTCAATCACCATATATGATGAAGTCTGGGCAAGAAGAATAAATCTTGGTATAAACGATTCTGCTAATGTACACAAGACTTCCACACCTGCTTCCAGCAGAGAAGATAAAGTTTCCAGGATAGCCAAAGTTATACTACAATCATCTGACTCTAAGCAGTGCACCATCATACCTGTTAACTATATTCATATAAACATTAAAACAGATTTAACACAGCATCCTTTAACAAATATGTATGTTAAAATCATTAAGATTGCAATAGTGATATAAAAATACAGATATAGGATAGCACTAACATTACATTATACTGTAGTAATTTTACACATGTTTAGTGAAATTTAAGTAAGTATCTGTAACATTTATTTTTAAGTACATTTTCATAAAGTAATTTTTTTAACATTACTAATATTTAATATTGAATCATTCAAAATTTACAAAGATAGCAATTATTCAAAAATTCTAGATAGCACTGAATCCAAGGAAATGCTACATTTCAAAAGACCACCGAAGTTTCCGGAATGATCTTGGTCATCGACTATATAAGGAAATTTTTTTATAGACATGAGTTAATCTGTAGTCTGCTGCACGAAGTTAGTCTGTTAGTGAATTCATTATGACAAATGTTAGTTGTGAGTACTTATAAGTACATGTCTTAAATGCACAAATACAACCCATAAAGGGTTTTGGGTTCAGTACTATTTAGGGAAAGAACTGTTTCAAGGCCAACGGTTGTGCAGGGAGGGGAACTAGCCAGGATCAACCGCCATATTTTCTCCTTAATCAATTATTTAATTAAGGATATCCACTTAGTAGAGGCTGGGTGTGCCTCAGGAGGGTCTCCCTACCCTAGGGTCGCTCCTAGATCAATGAAACAGAATAAATAATTTTTCTGCCATAAGCCAGGATTCATGAGCATTGGAAGGTTAGTGTCCTACCAATCAGCTACCTCACTATCTCGATCTCTTTAAACGCATTGAAAAAAATAGTTAATCTGAGTAGATATATATTATAGATATACATATATTACAACTTATTCCAGTCTCCATGAATCGAAAGCCATTCCAAAATGAACAGAAAATCAAAAACCACTTAGGTCAGTTTTTTTACAATAACCCTAAGGTCTTCCAGGAATGTTGCATCATGCAGTTACTGAAAGGTAGGGACAGGACATTCTAAATAATTAAATGCGTGTGAGTGGATACACCAGTAGATCCTGCTTTTTCTAGGGGAAGTATTTCATCATCAGAGTCAATTTGGGACTGCAGTCTCAAGAAAGCAAAGTTTGATTTTGATTATTGTTTTTCCATTGGTAAGGAATTTAGAAACCTTTCAAGTTATAATGGGGATAATCAGCCATAAATAGTATATTTTTAGGTAAAGCACGAATAACTTTGTTTCTTACATTTTCCTCAGGAATCTCCCATCATCCTCCAGGATATGCTTTTTTTTCAGAACTAGAGGAGAAGATAATCTTCAAAATAATGGCTTGATCATCAGATATGATGAAGTTTTATAAAGATACGATCATAAAATGGTGAAAAAAAAATACCTTTGACAAATAATATATAAAGATTTGAATTCCTTTTTTTTGTGAACCACTATTGTCATCCATGCCCACCATCTGAGAATCAGCAATCCTCTCACTTAGAAAATGATCCAAAATGGCTTATTTTATAAATTATTTATGACTTATTACGATAAGTTTTACACAAATAAGCCCAACGTTTTAAATTTACAAAATTTTAAATCTGATAGTATTTTAACAGAACATTAATACTCACTTCATTTATAACTCCAAGCACAAGTATTGTTGGAGAATATTTTAACATATGTGCCACAGCCAAAGATGAAGACTTCTTAGGCTTCCCATCCTGTGATATCAGTAAATTAATCTTCTGAAAAATTCTTTGCTTATATAATAACCTATGAAGAAAAAAATCAATAATTCATTATTAAATAGATTCAAAGATATTAATATTGGCTAATTAGGATTTACCATTATTACATCACTTTACACATAAAAACATCTCTTATGATCATATTACAAATTAAACGTTCATTGTTAACAACATTGTGATGACTGAAAATATCTTTTAAAATTAAAAATCTATTTTTTTCCAAAAAAAAAAGCTTTGTATATGACAGTATACAAATCTATAAAAATTTTAAAATGAAAAAAACCAAAATAAAAATAAAAAAACTTACCCTATATTACAATGATTAGCTTCAGATAAATATGGGCACTCTTTTAAAAGCAAACAGACACAATCTGCAGCATTCATTCCAAATACAGGGTCAGGAACAAGATTAAATAACTATAATTTAAAATAATATGATAATTGACAATAGTTAAGAGTACAATGAAGGCAGTAAATAGTGAAATTAAAGAAATAAAAAATAAGATATGAACATTATATACAGGGTGTCCCCTAAGTTGAGGAAAATTTTTATAAGTTCATATAAACAATAAGCCAATTTTCGGTGGAAAAGTAATAAAACCAATTTTTGTGTTTTTTTAAGTTCTTTAGTTTTTCGTTTAATATGAAACGATAACTAAAAAAATATTTGATTTAAGTAATTAAAAACTGCTTCATAGTAAACTAGACAAAATTTAATTCAAAAGAAAGTAGAGTTTGTCACTGTTAAAACCATGAGACTATTGAGCTGAAAAACTCAGGTAAGTTCCATTTAAAAAAAAGTCACAAATTATTTGTGATCGTTTTTTCATTACCATGCAACTGTACTACAGTTACCCCATTCTAAGGAAAACTTCCTCGTATAATAAGCTTTAAGACCAGTTAAACATTCATTAAGTTGAGGTTTATTTGGACAAATTTTGAGATTCACCTGAAGTTTTGAAAAGAAATGATGTGATTTTCAATCCAGCCACCTAAAAGTACCCGTGTTTTCAGCAAAAATGGAAAGAATTACGTGTTGCAAAGCTTTATATCTTGTTTTTCCATGATCTGGAATGTATTGTAATAATTGCCTAAATATCGACTTTATTTATAAAAATAAAAAATTTAAAAATGATAATTTTTCAAATATTTTTATGTAAAGTGGTTGTGAATTGATCTTTTTCTCCCAAACTTTTGTCATAGGAATTAATGAATATTTATAAATGACAAACTTAATGTTTCTAGCCCTAATAATTACATTTTCATGATAATAATTGAAACAATCAGTAGGTGTTTTTATTTTAATTGGATTAACTGTACTACAGTTGAAGAGTGATACAAAAAATCACAAATAATTTTTGTCTTTTTTTAAACGGAATCTTAGCTGCTCAATAGTCCTTGTTAATTGGTTTTAAAAATGACAAACCCTACTCTTGTTTGAAGTAAATTTTATCTAGTTTGATATGGAGCAATTTTTAATTATTTAAATAAAATATTTTTCTAGTTATTGCTTCTTATTCAACAAAAAACGTGACTCACTTAAAAAACACTAATCTTAAATGTCCCACTTTTCTGCTGGAAATTGGCCAATTGTTCATAAGAACTTTTTTGTAGATCTTGAGATCTACTTTCACTCCTATAAAAATTTCCCTCTACTTACAGGACACCCTGTATAAAGTACTTGACCTCAGGCAATAACTCTGTAAGAGAGCTGAAACAAGAAAAAAGAAACAACTACTTTTCATTATTTAAAAAAATTATCATTACTATAATATTGCTATGTATCGAGGATGGCTAATATGTAAATTAAAATTTATTTTATAAAACTGGAATATGTTCCATGAAATAACAATATAGTCAGCCTAGAAAAGAATTTTTATAATAACTCCCTACATAGGTGATCTGGGGGATAGGATCTTGCTAGGTGCCTTATCTGCTTGGGTTCTCGCTGCTCAGATGGACTTACAATCATCTAAAAGAGTAATAAAGATAAGGCTTAGCCTCTTTGAAGGATCGAAGGAAAGCCCGATGAATTTCAGCTTTCTGATGGAAAAACTTAAATGTCTTTAAGTTCTTCAGACAGGTAGAAGGGAGACAGTCGCCCTACTATAAAACCTCAACCAAAACAGTCTGGAATTGCGGATAAGGTTCTTTTTACTCAGAATAACACACACTTTCGTAATTTAAAATCAAACCTTTGCCTGTGATGAGGTCGATTTATGGGCTCCGGCTCCAGGCCTAAGAGAAATTCTTTGAGATGGTCATTCAGTGGCAAGGTCAGAGAGAGAAAGTCGCTGGCAAGAGTACTTAGAAGAAGTGCCTTGCAAAAAAGGAAGAACTGGGTGCTAGGAAGACTCCACTATATTCCACACAAACAGCTAAGTCATAATATTCATTTAGAACCTATCTTTGTAAATCTGTGTCGGTAATTTTATGAGCTAAAATTATCAATACAGTAAAATATATTGAACTTAAAAACAAATGAAAGTTTAAAAAATACTGTAACACTTGATAGTTAAATTTTTCAAAATATACCTCAACTAACCAGTCATCACATGGAGGATAGTAGCCCCGAAGAATAAGTGATTTGGTAATCCAAGCAGAAAGTCTCACAGATGATGGACTAGGATTGGCTTTAATCTTCAATCTTGCTAATTCTAATATTTTACTCAGTTCATATTCTAAAAACAAAAATATCCTTTTCAACAATGATAATAGCAATGAAACAGAAAATTATTTTTTCAATATTTATATTAAGTATGGGTGATAAATATTCAGGACGCAGTCATTTTAAAGTTTTTATCGGTGCCGACATTTCAACCCTAACATGTGGGTCATCATCAGGTCATGTTTCGAGCATTGAAGGTATTCAGGTCAGGTCTTTGCCCATTTGTTCAATTCATATATTTTAAAACCTTTTTACATTTCTTTTTTTTTTTTCAAGTTAATGGATCAAGAGTAAAATGAGTTTAATTTAAAATATGAAATAAGTTTAATAAAACAAATATAAAAGTGAATATATTTTTAGAAACTACCGAAAAACATTCTGTAAAAATTTAAATAGCAAAATTAATCTTTTAAAGGATTCAATACTCCCATCATTATTAAAAATGAAAGTTTGAAACTAGATAAAATATTAGTGAAATTAATAAAAAATAGCAAATCTTAAAAAAATGTTTTTTAAAAATGGGTGTAACAATTTTTTAAATATTTTATTTATCTAGAAAACTTCAAAAAACATGTTATATACAATCACAGTTTTATGAAGAAAATAATAATTATACTCTATCCAATGAAAGTAGATATAATTGCAAATAATTTGTCTATTAAGCAACAAAACAGTAATAATTGTAAACCAAATCTAAAGTTTATTCATAAAAATATAACTTTGCTTACGCAGACAAAACTGATGTATGAGGTGAAAGATTGGTCGACCCTTGTACCTCCTACAAATATACATTAAAACCTTGTACAAATACAAGGATCCTTGTATGAACGGTAACACTGAGCCAAAGTGCTTTTAAATGAAACTCAAACAAACAAAGGACTGCGATGAATGTATTTATTTCAAACGTTTGACTTAAACAAATTAATGTATAATATATATATAAGGTTCCATTTAGTATGAAAATTGTTGTAGAATCAAAACTATTATTTCTATTTTTTTATTAAAAATAAATTTATGAACAAATATTATAAATTATAAATTCTTGAGAAATAATAATAACGAAACATCACACAAAAATAAATTAAAAATGTTAATATTTTTAGCCTATAAATGAATTTAACTAAAAAAGAATACCATTGCTCAATTTGTTAATAAAAACAGCAAGAAGTCTAGCAGCTGATGTCTGTGAAACATTAGAATGAGCTGTAATTGAGTATTCTATCAGACATGTGGATAGATGAAGACAATTTTCAATTTCTACATCCTTTCTTAGACCACATGCTAAGCCTTCCAATAAAACCTTTAACATACAGTTCACAAATAATTAAGAAACAAACAAAATTTTGAAAGAATATAGTTTTAATCATCTCTTTGTATCAAATAGAAATGGATCATACCAACTGATTACATGGGGAGTCGTTCATTGCAATACTTTTATCAAATAATTCCAAACCAGTTTTTAAAAGAGTTCTCTGCTCCCTAAAAATGAATGAAAAATATGGTAAAAACTACAGGAAAAAATCATCAATCAATACAAAATAAAAATTTACTATAATTTATAAAATTTTATTATGATTAGGATGTACTAAGTGAAATAAACTATTTTATAAGATTATATTGCAAAGCAATACCCCAATGTCACAAAATGTAAATAAAAGTTTGGTATACGCTTAACAATCAGTTTAACTATTTGAAAAATTGTCTGCCTGCAAATTCGTCACAATCTTTTTAAGGAACTTTTCGGCTTGGATGAATCCAACGCAGATATTTTCGGTATGACATTTGGCTACCGCCTTATAATATTCATTACACATCCAAAGGACTACCACAATATCCATCATTTCACACGGCATAAACATAATAATCTCTTACAGAGCTGCTGGCATAAACCTACTGGAAGTACATCTACCTTTCTTATTACATAATGTTGTATTATTCCAATTCTTATTAATAATCCTCACCAACCAAAATAAACTGATGTCTTTATCTTTCCATAATAAGGTATAAACACATTAGTTTAAACAATGTAATTCAAATCTTATAAAAATAATGATTTTTTTTACTTTTAGCTAATAGAAATGTAAGTAAATGTAAACGGTGAATTGCTAAATAAATGTGAATAATAACATTAAAAATTCCTCATTTATTGGCAAAATATCTGAAGATTGTTCCTGAAAGTAGTGGCTTTTTTTTTTTTTTTTTAATCTATTTATTGAATAATAATACATGCAGCCACTGCTGGAGGGCTATAAGCATTAGGGCTAAAAGTTCTCATTCATACAATATATACAAATAATAAAGAAATAAATATAAATATAAGAAGTAAATAAATAATACTGATGAAGAAGATAAATAAAAAGAAAATAAAAAATAATAATAATAAACAAATAAAATAAAATAAAAACTTCTAAACACAATCATAACTATATACAATATATACATTCGCCCAAGAATCTCCGAACCAGGCTTTTTCCCCCACACGTGGAAGGCAAAGCAAGACTCCGGAAGATCCCAGCGCCACTTTTCCAGCCGCATCACTAGTATTAGAAGCCAGTGGAGACTGGAAGAGGGCACTAGAGCCACAGACGCTCAGGACATGAGTGGAGAAGCTGGCCATTGCCAGGACTCCAAAGGCATATTTACAAAAGATCTCGAGGCCACTGCCGTTTCAACCTTCGAGGGGGATGGTATGGATGCTCGGAGCTGGATAGGGATTGGGCTAGAGGATTGGGATGATGTATGAGGTTCTGGTGAAAGTTGGAGAATCTGGATGGGATGATGTCATGGACATATGGGATGTTAAGGTCATGGTGTAGGGTCTTATTCGTGACATAATATGGAGCATTGACTATTGTTCGAAGGACTTTAGACTGGAAGGATTGGATGCGTTTGATATTCGATGATTTAGTTGTCCCCCACAGCTCAAGTCCGTAGGTCCAGATAGGTTTCAGTATGGTCTTGTAGATTAATAATTTGTTTTCTGTTGAGAGATGAGATGTTCTGTTTAGTAGTCTATATAGCTGACCAAATCGTCGGTTAAGCTCTTGTCTTTTAAGTCTCGTATGTGGGTTCCAAGTCAGTCTTTTGTCCAGAAGGAAGCCAAGGTATCGGACTGTGTCTGAGTAGGGAAGAGGAATTGAATTAAAAAGGATTGGAGGACAGGATCTGCGTCGAAGAGTGAAAGTTACATGTTTACATTTTGATTCATTAATTTTGATGCGCCAGTTGTTGCACCACTGCTCAATGAAGGAGAGGTGTCTTTGCAGGTTCTGGGACGCAATTAGAGGATCCGAGTGGGAGGATAGGATGGCAGTATCATCAGCAAATGTTGCTAGGAAGGTATCAGGACTTGAAGGGATGTCAGCGGTAAAAAGGATGTAGAGAACTGGGCCCAAGACACTGCCTTGTGGGACACCAGCCTCAATTGGATAATGTTTGGAGAGTTCAGTGCCGCAGCGGACTTGAAAGGAGCGATTTGAAAGGTAGGATTTGAGGACTAGATACAAGGGTTGAGGTAAATGGGTTTTGAGCTTGAAAAGCAAGCCATCGTGCCACACCCGGTCGAAAGCTTGAGCTACGTCCAGAAAGGCACCAGTGCAATATTGCTTGTTTTCAAGTGCAGAGGATATGTGGTCCACAACGCGAAGGCCTTGTTGGACAGTGGAGTGTCTTGAGCGGAATCCAAACTGATGGGAAGGGATATTGTGGGATTCCAGTATGGGTAGGATGCGTTTGAGAAGGATTTTCTCAAAGATTTTGGAAAGGATCGGAAGTAAGCTTATCGGTCTATAGGATGATGTACAATTAACAGGTTTACCTGGTTTAGGAAAGAGGATAATTATGGAGTGTTTCCACACCAGAGGAAAGTGGGTTGTGCGGAGGATACAGTTGAATAGGTATGTAAGGAATATAATTGCTTTTTTGGGAAGTTGTCTGAGGATCTGGGAAGTAAGGAGATCGTGTCCTGGAGATTTGCGAGGTTTTAGGTTCTTTAAAAGGAATTTGACCTCAGAGGGGTTGACGGCTTTAGGAGGTAAGGAGAGAGGAATCGGTGAAGAGAGGAATTCTTTAACTTCAGCAGTATGGGAGGGATGGAGTTCAGGATGAGGAGTGAAAGTGTACGATAGATGTTTAGCAAACTCTTCTGCTCTATTCTCATCTGACGAAGCCCAGGAACCATCATCACGGCGGAGGGGGTGGGAAATGGATTGGAATTTAAGGATTTTTTTAGTTACATTCCAGAGGGAGTTATCACTTGCAGATAGTGAGGAAAGATAGGAATTATAGGATTGGGATCTAAACGTAGCCAGTTTTTGTTTTACCTGCTTGGAATAATAGTTATATGATTTCCGATCATCAGGATGCCTGGTTCTTTGCCAGATGGTCCTAGAGCATCGTTTTCTATTAATAAGGTCCAGTAGGTCTTGGGGTAGAGGATTTATTTTGCGGTATTTTTTAGAAGGATAAGGTGAAGATGCAGTCCAAACTGCTTGTTGGATCAAGGTAGTCATGGAATATACTGCTTCATCTAGGTCTGCGGGTGTTTTTAAGGAAACTCTGAGGTCAATATTATCATCCAGTATTTGACGGAAGAGGTTCCAATTAACTGGCCCCCTAATAAATGAAGGTGGAGGTGGTTTGGGAATTGGTGATGTGGAGACCGTTAGGATTAGGGGACTATGGTCTGAGGAAAGATCATCAAGTCTTGAGATGCAATAATGAAGGGACCCTAGACCTTTGTGGATGAAAAAATCTAGGAGATCGGGATTGCGGTTAGGATCTGTTGGCCAGTATGTGGGAGAATTGGGTGAGAGGATGTTGCTGTGATGAGAATTAAGTGCAGATAGCAATGTTCGTCCTCGGGAATTTGTGGTTCTGGCTCCCCATTGCTGGTGTTTAGCATTTAAGTCTGCACCTAGAAGGAAGTGGTGTCCTAAGGAGTTAAGGAAGGAAGTTAATTGGGATTCTGAGATGGGTATTTTAGGCGGGGAGTATGCTGCGACTACTGCTATTGGGTAAAGGGAAGTTTGGATTATCACGGCAGTGGATTGTAGGAAATTATGGGTTAGCAAAGGGAATAGATGATGGGAAAGGGATTGATGGATAATTATGGCAGTGCCAGCATGTGCTGTTCCATCAGGATGGTCGGTTCGATAGATATGATAGTTGGGGATGTTAAGTGGTCGTTTGTTGGTAAGTCGAGTTTCAGTTATTAATGCTATATCAATGTTTTTGTCCTGTAATAAGATTGTTAGTTCGTTGACGTGATTTCGAATACCATTCGCATTCCAAAGGAGAACGGAGAGGGATTTGATTGGGGGCATTTAAGGATTTCTCGACAGTGGGATGAGGTTGGATACAACATTGGTAAGCAAGGAAATGAGAGGAGTGATGAGTGACCTGAATTCAGAGAGGAAAGAAGTCAATAGGCTTGTGAGGTCAGTGGCATTGGGAGGAGGAGGAATGAATGTCTGGTTATTAGGCCTAGGTTCAGAGATGGGATAAGGGTCTTGTGGTTGAGATGTGAATACTCGAGGTTGAGGTTCTTGTGGCAGGGCCTGAGTTTGTGTGGGTGCAGTGTCTCCTTTGAACATCTGAGCATAGGACACTCTTGTATTTACAGTTCTAGAGGGTTGTCTTGGTGGCCTGGATGGCCGTTCTTCTCTTGGAGCTGCATAAATTCTTGCTTTCAGTTCCTTATATGTTTGGCAACCCTTGTAGTTCGCTGGGTGCCCTTGGTGGCATAAAGCGCATACTGCTGGTGTTCTTCTGGACTTCTGGCAGTCCTCAGTTTTATGTTGATCACCGCACCTGACACATCTAGGAATGTGGTGGCAATAGCGTTTCGTATGACCATAAGCCTGGCAGTTATGGCATTGTACAATGTCGCGCTTAGTGTAGGGCTTTTCTACAACAACGCTAGTGTAATAAAGGCGTGTGACCTTGTAGATTTCTTCGACCTGGGGCGTTCGGTCAAGGTCAACGAAGAATAGTGGGAGCGGTATTTTATTTTTTGTACCAGGCTGTTCTCTATCTTCCTTGAATATATTCACTATTTGTCGAACACGGAACCCCATCTCAGTTAGTTCTTCTTTAATGGCATCCAGCGGTGTTGATGGGTGTAATCTCCTGATCACCACCCTGAGCGCTCTCTCTTGGCGCAGTTGATATGTGTGATAATCCGCCTTAGTGTCAGATAAATACTTGACAATTTTTCTGTACGTATCTGGGGTGTCAGGCATTAATTTCGTGTCATTAGTGCGGCTTTGGCATACGTATTTACCTGAGCCCACTGTATTATTTAATTGTTGACACATTAATTGGAAATTTTTTATATTTCTAACGAATATTGGTGGAGGTTTAGGTTCACTAGGGATGGATACTGCTTCCATTTGTTCATTCTGTGTGTTTGACAGCACTTGGAATGGATTAGCTGTAAAAAAAGGCGATTCTTCTAGCGTACCTTGTATTGGTATAACTTGTGTTGACATATTTTGTGATGATGTGCCAGGTTGATTTTCAACTTCGTCAACTGAGCTCTCTGGTGTAGCTGGCGGGGTATTTTTTTTAGAGCGTCTAGCCCTTTTCTTGATGGGTGAACTCTTTGTGGTATCGAGACTCCTAGATCTTAAAGTTCGATTGTTTCCTTTGCTCGACATTACCATATGAAAATAGCGCATCTCATATTAATTTAATTAGAGGTAACTGTAATAATTTGGAAAAAAAAAAAATGTCCTTTATCAATTACGTATATATTACGCGAGTTTGTAGAAGTCTAAGTAACGTAGATCTGCTTCCGCCAAAGGGCAGCAGCCCACTGGTCGGATTAACGAATGTATATGGCCGGCTTGTTATCTATCACTATCCTCAGGTCTATTTACACTGTTCACAATGCCGTTATAAATAAGTGATTACTCACCTTGTTTATGTCCAGTTTCAACTTAATTGTTAACTTAACAGTTTACACTACTTTTTCACATATAACATGAATTATTTCACTGTTAATAAAGTCACTTAATAAGAGACGAAATAAAGAGTATATGTGTAAGGTTAACGCATGCGCAGAACTGTCGAAAGTAGTGGCTAGAGTGCTCTGATCACTTGCTAGCTATTGCTAATAAAATCAGTGGGAAAAAATATTCAAAATAGTCATGTTTTAGGTCCATAGATGTCAATTTTCCAGTCAAGACATTGAAAAAAGGTACGTTCTTGACCACCATTTTATGGCAAAAAACTAAGTAAAATAAAGACACCATAATAGACATGTCTCTTTTATTTTTTTAGTATTTTCAAAATGGTATTAAAATGTGGGATAAAAAGGAAACACCGATCTTTGAGCAAGCACTTACATCTTAAAATTAGATTTTTGGGGTTTACTAAATTACACATCTGAAAGACCCCAACGAGAGCTATAACTTTGGTCTTTTGTAATTTTACTATATCTATGACGGTTTCCAAGATATTTCAATTGCAGCCTGCATACATGGACACCCTCTATATACATAATTGCAAATAGCATAAGTTTTTCTGAATTTTCCAGAAAATAATATTTAATATGAAATATTTCAGATAGCTCATATTTTTATGTAATGTGAGTATAGGATCTTCTCTATATATAATCCAGATGTGTGCAAAAGATATACACATACAATACTACTTAAAACTGATAAACATTTACGTATGAAAATATTTACCTTATTGCCGTTGAATATATTTAAACAATTAATGATTGAAGAACATTTTTTATTAAGACAAAATTTGTTAAATTATTGTTAACATCTCTCAGAAACTAACATAAATCAACATGGGCAGAAAATATCTAATGGATACTGGTGGATGAAGCAGCTAGACTAAATGTAAACAACCTGCAAAATTTGTAATACAATACCAGTCTCAGCCAACGAATCTGTATGCCTGATATGAATGCGTGCTTGAAACTTGAAAATCAACGTTGAACTGATGGTCATAGAGAACTTAAGTTTTCACTTTAATATTTTGTAATACAAGCAGAATAATAAAAAATAAAAACATGCATACACACTATTCAGGTCATAATTTACTCCAAGTCTGTCGGGCTAGATTTAATTTGAAACAAATTTACATCCGTAAAAAGTATGGGATCATACATCCTTAGAAGAATTTTCTTTCCTTTAAATTGTAAACAATCATTCCATGCCAAATTATCCAGGGGTTGACTTTCATCCCCAGAGATTTTAATGAAAATTTTTATTTATTAAGTAAATCCATACATAAGAAAACATGTAAACATTTATTCAATTTTAAAGAATAGTTTCAGAATTATTTTTGGTCATTTAAACTATTGAGATATCTGATTTTAATTTTAGCTTGAAACTATCTTGTATTTGTTGGTGCTTTCCTATCTATGTAAAATCAATAGTTTTTAATCAAAAAGAGTTGTTAACGTTATTTTTTTTTTAATTTTCATTAAAATATCTGGAGCGTCAAGCTGATCTTTGGCTGGATGATTTGGCATGGAATGGCTTTCATAAAATCATATATATTTTATTATAATGACTGCAGACTTACTCAATATCCAATGACTGGACGATTCTCATCACAATGGCAGCAACTGATTCTACTTCGCCATACTCCTCAGTGATATTTTGAAAGTAAAAATGAAGTAATTTTTCTGGAAAGCCACACACTGAGCTGAGGCATTTCAGTACTTTAACATCAGTTTTATTGAGATAATCTCTATAAATAATCACAAGCAGATATTATTGAAAACAGCTTAAATTATTAAATAAAATAATGATAAAAACAATTTTGATATGTATAATAAGAATGTTTACAATGTACTCAGATATATTTATTTATCTGCTTATGTTATTTGTTAATTAGAAGACCTCTTTCAATCCTGAATCCTGAACAAATGACAATATGCCGAATTCTTCACATTTTTAGAAACTAACATGATTTTAAATCAATCATTCACTCAAAGAAAAATTGATATTTCATTATGAAACAATAAGGATTAATTTTATTTTTCAGTTAGTAAAGTAATTAGAATAAGACAAGTTGTTACACACGCAAAAAAATAAATAAATAAATAAATAAATGGAAATTTCATAATCTAAAATATAAATCAATACATCAATCCAAAAAAAAATAATTATTTTTTATTGTTTTTCTGCAGAAACTTATTGTGGCAAACGCAGAAACTATTACAAACATTTCAATTATAAAAAATATTCAAGAACTATTAATTACTAAAAAACTGGATCTAAATGTAAACGGTGAGGTATACTCCTCCTTTTTCATTTTCTTATAAACTTTACATCATTGTTTTGTTTAAAACTAGAAATTAAAAATACCAAATACTTTCAGAAAAAAAGTGGCTGCGCTGCCCCAAAATGGTGTCTAAACATGGTGGAGTGACGAATTTGACTTAAATTGGTTTTTGTTGACTGACTGACAATCAACATTTATTTGGCTTAATTTCGCCATTATTGTCCTCGGTAGTCAGAAAATTAGAAAACATAAAAAAATATACAAAAGTAATTGGCTTTAATAAAAAAACACAAATAATGTCAATTTTTTTAAGTCGTTCACATGAAAATTGATATTTCAAGTGCATTTGTAATGACCAACAATAACAAAAAATACTTCCAATAAAATATATGGACAGACTATTCCCCTATAAACATCACTAATCACGTTCTAAAATATTTGAAATGGCATTTAATCAGCATAAAAGTAATAATGACATGAGCATATTCAATCTCCTACCAAATCATTGAAAACTGATAAACGGTATATAATTTTAATTGTATAGATGAGCGCAATAGTGCAAAAGTTTAATTGCCAAGTTTAATGTGAGACTCATCAGGCTATTGGAGGCAACTCATACCGACCAGGCGTAGGATTGATGATCCTAACCCGTGTACTTAATCGGGAACCGGGATGTGGTCTAAAAGGATGTTAGTAGCCGCCCTGAGGTTCGGCCCATGGACAGTCTGTTTCGGGGAAAGAAATATAGGTCCTCGTGCGCCTGCTGACTCCGAGCAGTCATAATCCATGGATCTAGACCGATTTGTCACTGTCCTTGAACCCGAGTGAGTTGGTGGGAAGAACACTGCATGATTGGTCCCAAAAGGATCGGCTATGAAGCTACGGGTGGCCTGCCACTGCACCATGGTAACCATGGTTCGTAGCAACGTGATGTTGGGTGACCCCCTCCAGGCTATCTGAGCTTCCACAAGCAACATACATCTGTAAGGAGACCACATCTAGTGGCCAAAGATCTTCATGGTTTGTAATGCCAACCGAAAAAAAAAAAAAAAAAAAATATATATATATATATATATATATATATATATATATATATATATATATATAATTATTGTTCCGCTCATATTGCCTCATCAATTAAAAACCAAACACATAGCTATACCACAATAATTATACCATTTAGGAGTATTCAATCATTAGCAGAAGACAGCAGGCCACTCATGTCACTATCAGTTTCCTGCCAATTAAGTGCATTGTCAAAGGAATCACTTCAAATATTTAAAAAAGTGATTCGGAAATAGAAATGGAAAATCATCTTTATTCTGGGACTAGGTCCCTTAAGAATAACAACATTGTTCATATAAATTAACAATAAATCTGGCCAAAAGACCTATTACAATAGGGAATAACTAAAATACAAATAATAAAAGAAGTATATACATAGCTCTTAGGATATATTAACGAAAACGGATAGGTAACTAGGGTTACAATACTACAATATTGAAGCTAAAACAATAACATAATAATCACTAAATGAAATTAGAAAGGAACGCTAAATAAATTTTATAGGCGAAGTATTGTAGTGAGTGATAGAATATAAAAATTAAAAGAAAAATGACTACTGTAAATAAATGATTTACATTTGTTCCTTAAGAAGTTTAAGTGAATACACATAAAGATTAGGAGAAGAAAAGTTTAATCCCAGATACAATTGAAATATCAACTTTTGTTCAAACGACTTGAAAAATTGACATGTTTAAAACAAGGGATGTTTTATTTTGTCTTAGCTAATTATTTTGTAAATATATTTGTTTAAAGTTTTCTAATTTTCAGACCACGTAGCTTTAATAATAGGGCAATTGTGCCAAGGTTAAGCCAAATGCTGATAGTCACTGATCAAAAATTGAATTCATGTCTAATTTGTTAACTCATGTCGTCCTTGATTGGACACCATTTTGGGATAGAGTGGCCACTTTTTCTCCTGGAAAGATGGCTTATTTTAAAAAAAAAATCAAAAGTCAAAAGGAAAACAGTAATGTGAAATTTATAGGGATGTAGGAAATGGACTGTAAGGAATTTTGGTCCACAGAGTAATGGTGTATAAATTCATATTCGCCTTCTGTATTGTTTGAGAACACAAAGAGAATATAAATCAACATAAGTACCCATCAGTATCTGTTTGTGACATTTCTCCTACAAAATAAGGTAAATCTTGCAATTAACGGTCATTAAATTTCATACATTCGTCATTCTGCTTCTTTCTTATCCTATAGACTTTATACTATCAATAATATCCTAAACAAAAATTCATCAAACACTAAAATTATTTGAAATTATTATTATTATTTGAAATTACTTACAAGAAAACAAAATAATGTCAAAATAAGAATGAAAGAAAATAGTCCAACAATAAGCTAGTTGAGTTTACACTATAAAATCATAGAAAATGGTAGAAAACTTATTAACTAGCTAAATCCCAAAAGTATAGTATAATAAAACTTAATGATTCTGAAATGTCAGTTATCCAACAAATAGAGTAAAAGTTCTAAATGATAATAAAAATTACTATTAAAATCGTCATGCACAAGACAACTAACAGTCACAATTTACACAACAATAAAGACCATATATGCACTACTAAAGACATATATACACTAGTAAAATCTATTATTTAAACTATTTTAAATAATAGATTTTTAAATAATTAATTTTAAATAATTTAAAAGTACAATTAAAATAGAATCATATTAAGTGATTTTTAGCAAATAGAATCAAAATAAAATATTTACTTTAAATATTATTAAAATTATTAAAAAAATAATAATTCATATATCAGATATCAGAAAAAGAGAATCTCAATGAAAAAAGATATACACTAGTCATACCTGAGAACAAATATTACATGAGTTCTCCAAGAAGCAAGTTCTTTCTGAATAATATGATTTAATAAGACTTTTCCACTAGCCTCGGTTAACAGGGGGTAGTCAACCGTCCATGTAAGAACTTCTAAATAATTTTTAACTTCAGTTGCATTGAATTCTTCTGCAATAAAAATAAAAATTAACATTAGGTAATACAAATGGCCTCCATGAGGTTTTTTGTGGCATTCATAAATGCCATCTCTGGTAATAATTAATGTTTAATTATATGGATTGTGACATAAAAAAAAAAAAAAAAAAAAAAAAAAAAAAAAAAAAATAAAAAAAAAAAAAATAAAAAAAAAAGGTATATATATATACATATACCTTTTTCTTTATGTCACAATCCATATAATTAAACATTAATTATTACCAGAGATGGCATTTATGAATTATAGGAAGATATGATGTCCCATTGGAAAGAATCAAGATCAGGCTGAAGGGATTCATAAGAGAGAAGATTTAAATTACGGTATGAGACCATTTTGGGAGTAAAGGTCAAAGATTTCACGGGTAGGTCATAAGTAATTTGGATTAGGTCATGTAATGAAAGAAATGGAAGAGAGGATTTTGAAGAGGGGTGTTGGGAAGAGGAGAGGATTTTGATGGGAGAGTCAGAGATGTAGAGATCTAACAAGGTGTCGGAAAATTGCGTGTGATGGGTAGGAGAATAAGGAACAATTATTAAGGGAAAACAGTAGGTCAGATAGGAAATATTTTTCAAGAGATTGTGAGAACATATTTATGTTAAAATCGCCGGTGATAATAATATTGCTGTAATGGGAAAACAGGTTGACAAGAGAGGATTCAAAGAAGTTATCGAATGGAACACGAGGAGGGCGGTAAACGATGGCAAATAACAGAGGAGTGGTGATTGAGTAAATTTCAACGAACATGTATTCCATGTGAGGAAATTCATGATAAGGAGACTAAAGGAGAATTTTAGCCTTAAGACTTTCATGAACGTACAATCCGACAGCACCTCCTGTGCGATCAGAGGAGAGGATAAAAGGTTTTAACCAGGTTTCAGATATTGCTATTATGTGGTAAAAATTATCAAGGAAATGTTTCTGAAATTCATCGTAGTGTGCGGTAAGGGATAGTGCATTGATGTGACAGAAATTCAGGATATTAGTCATGACTGGAGAGTTGGGAAGTGGAATTTTGGAAAAAAATGATCGAGGATGAAGGATAGGATATAACATTTTTTAAAGCATAATATTAAGTTTAGAAATATCAAAAACAATGCAAACATAAAATAAACTTTGAGATGAAAAAAATAAATTTGCAGTATTTCGAAATGAATTTTCAATTAATATTAATATAAATTAATATATTTATTATTATATTATAACAAACGAAAATATAAATAATTTGGTTTAAATAAATTGATAAAAATTGGTAAAGAATCAAATAAAGTTCTAAATAATTTATAAAAAAAAATAAAAGAAGCTTAAAATAAAAATAAAAATATTTCTGATGGGAAAAAAAGTTAAAAAAAAATAAGAGATGCTACATTTATAAAAAAATAAAGAAAGCTGGAAATGAAAAAAATTATAATAGATATATTTCTAGATAGAAAAGGTAAATTAATTGTAAACTGGAGGTAACTTATATACAATGTTCAGCTGAAAACATCCAGATCACTTGGTTTTTCTACAATTACTATTGGGCATCTATCCGATTGTCTACAACGAATTTTACCCCCACTGAACCAGATATATTTGATTTTAGCAGTCACCCTCTTCTGCCTGGCTAACCAATAGAGGTGTTTATTGGTGGGTGTCATGGCTTCACTCATGTAGACGTGGTGAGAGTTGTTCTCTCCCCAGCCTAGATGGCGTGTAGAGAAATCTCTCTTCACTCTTCGTTGCCACACTAGTTCATCTCTCACAGCTTGTCTGACGAATCTTACTATAATTGGGCCAGGGGTCCCTTCTTGCTTGGGTCTTAGTCTCACGGCGTGATCGAAATCGTCCAGACTCAATTTGATGCCCAGACCCACTCCGACGCTAAGAATCATGCCAGTTACGGTTTCGCCGGCCTTCTCCGGAATTCCTCTAATTTCAATTGTATTTTTCAGTTGAAACTGTTCTGTGGAATTCAGGCGGCTTTCCAGCTTGGATATTTTTTATTTCAATGTGTTAGTTTCCATAGTTAGTTTTTCAGTATGGGTTTTTTGCTCTTCCAGGAGTGTTTCAATTTTTAACAATCGTTCCATATTCTCAAAAGATAGTTCCAATTGCTTTAGGAGGGTTTCTTTTATTTCCTTTAGTTCGTCTAAGCCCTGAAGTTTGGACTTCAATTCCTTTACTTCATCAGCCAGAGTCCTCAGTGGGTGGACTCGCGAACTTGTCAGGGAGTGTAGTGTATTGAAAAATACTATTAGTCACCATGGGGAAGGTGAAAAAGAGCAGTAGACTGGTTCCTTACAAACTTACTCCTCAGCAATCACAGCTAAGAGGTTAGAAATTTTTTGAAAAACTCTTCTGATATGATATTTTACTGGAAGATTGTCACCTGTGATGAAAAGTGGGTTTACTGGCGAAATCCTAATACCCGTGAGCAATAGTTAGATCAAACTGCTTTTACAGTTGCTGCAAGGGGGTGGGCGGGGTAGCCGAATGGGCTAAAGCGTGTGCACTGCACCGCCGTTGCCTGGCAACCTGACATATGGATTATAGATATAAAAATAGTCACGAGTTCGCGTCCCGGTGCCGGGGGAGTCTTTTAAATCCCCGCCCACACTCCCTGGCCCGGGAAAATCCCGTATAGCCTTAACGGCGAGGAAGGGAAGGACCAAAAAAAAAAAAAAAAAAAAAAAAAAAAAAAAAAAAAAAAAAAAAGTTGCTGCAAGGGGGCAATTTGAAAAAAAACTCCAGGCTTTGCGTTTTTTGAAGGTTTTATTCATCATGAATTTGTTCCTAATGGATGATCTATGAATTCTGAACTCTACTGAGAAGACAGAACTGGAAAGATTTCATGCGAAGTTGTCAGAACGTTACCCTACTTTGATCAACCGACAAGGAATTTTATTTCAACAAGATAATGCTCATCCTCACACTTCCCGTAGAACCAAAGAAAAGTTTAAAGAATTGCATGGGTTCGAAATCCTGCCTCATTCACCATATCGTCCAGACCTTGCACCACCGGTTTACTACTTATTTAGAGCCATGGTCCATTTTCTTCAAGGGAAAAAATTTGATAATTTTGCGGAAGTTGAAATTGTAGTGCAAGAGTTCTTTGACAATCATCCCAAAGAATGGTATCAGTGTGGAATTGAGCAATGGGCTAGCAGATGGCTAATGACGGTAGATAACAATGGACTATACTTTGATGATTAATTATATTTTATATACAAAGAAATAATAATACAAATATTTGGTTTGAAAACGGTAATTTTTTTTTTTTTTTTAATACGTTCTATTAAATAACTAAAACTCAATAATTATATTTTTCTCATACCTGAAATTTTGAAGGTATATATTAAATTAGTTTCTACTTCAAGGGTGTATTCTTCAGATAGTTTTCTTATAAATCTGCTGAATTCTTCTCTATAAATCAATAACCAATGATTAATTTAATCTAACATTAAAATTATTTTGACATTAAAAAAAAAAATTGACTAAACTTTAAAAATAACAACCTTTATATATAGTTTAAGCTAACACATTTTTTTACTATTTCATGCAATAATATAAAATTCATGTTATTACATGAGTTAATGGTGCAAGAAAATCAATAAAACAAAAGTTGCTTTCAGTTATTATTAAATTATAGTTTTATTTCATAATTATCATATTTTATTTAAAAGACGTTTTGGGTTTAAATTTCATAGACTGAGTCTTTACTCTTAAAAAGATTCAGGAAGCAATATATCAACATTGAAGGCACTTCCAGTTGGAGTCTACACTATAAAAGACAGAGAATCAATAATTTCAAATTATGAAGATTCCTGACCAGTCTCAAAAGTCAAAAGGGCAGAAATAAGCCAATAGGTGATGGCTTAGGCAAGGTGACTTCCAGACAAATGAAAAAGAAAATACCAGCAAGACCCCACAGAGGAAAAATCTAGAAATTTACTTCTAAACATCTCCCTGTGCTAATGGATACGGCAAAAAAGAGAACCACTGGAAGGATAGATGTACATATAATATCTATCTATAATGAAAATATGAATTAAGGATCTCAAAAAAAAAAGAAAAAAGTTACTATAAAGGTATGGCCATTTAAGATTTGTTTATAAGATATTCATGTTTCAAGATTTTCATTGTTATACATTTTTATTTTTTTATTTATTTACAATCCTGTACATTTGGCCTATTTTGGAGTAGCTGTAGTTCCTAGTTATGTTTGATTTTGTTTTTTTATACCCAACTACCTACATAAAAAACATTACTGTACATTGAAATTCATTCATTCTCAAAACTGCCAGAAAATGGCACTATAGGATTCTCAAAACTGGATAAAATGGAACCGAAAACTAGCTCCAACAAATATTTATAAAGTTTAGTACAATAAAGTTAATGAAAAGTAATTTTTAAATATATTTTGAAATTAGAGATCTCGATTATTGACTTAATAAAATCAAAATAGTTTAACCAAATAACTACACTGAATAGTAACTTTTTATTGTATTTATATTTGTTTGTAGATATGTAACAAGTTTGCTTCTTCATAAACTTATTTTATTTTCTAGTACATTTTAAGTATAGTTATCGTAAGTACTGTTAAGTTCCTTTAGGTTTAATTATATACATTAATTCAGATCATGTAAATGTTTTGCATCAATTTGTATTCAAACAATTTATCTTAAAACAATTTAGAATAGAATAGAATAGAAGAATCAAGTTTATTCTGGAACAAAGTCCCTTAAGAATAAAAATATTGATCTTAAAAATTAACATTACATCTGACCAAAATACATATTACAATAAAAGAATAACTAAAACATAAGTAATAAGAGAAGTATTTATATACATATACAGATATATTGATGAAACAAGATGAGCAATAAGGTCATAATACTGCAAAATAGTTGCTACAAAGAACAAGGTATGAAATAACTAAATGAAATTCGAAAAGAACGATAAATTATTTTTGTTGTCAAACCATTGTAGTAATAAAAAAATAATAATAAAAAGTAGATAAATATTTAAAATAATAGATTTACATCTGTACCTTAATATGTTCAATTGAATACTTATATGAACATTGGAAAAGTCTTATATAATCTATATCCTAAGATGTAGATTGATAGGAGAAAACAAAAGAAAATAAAAAAAAGATAATATATATATAGAGGAGTGCGTTCAATATTAGTAAGCAATGAAATACATCTCAAAGACTTAAAATCTTATAACTAGAAGAAAAACAAAAAAACAATTATCAGTGAAAAGTGACAGGAAATCTTTTCCATACTCATAAAAGAAAATATATATCTAAATGATGTATAGAGAAAAATGAAACCTTGTTACATAATAAATAACTACCCAGAGTCTGATTGAATTGTAAAAAGGAATTGGAATAAGAGGGCTTTAAATATGAATAAGGATGGTGGGTGCATGGTGGATTTTAAGTGGGATGGAATTCCAAAAAGTGGTGGAGTGGACAATAAAGGAGTGTTGAAATGAGGCAAATTTGTGTAAAGGGGTATAAAGGTCAGAAGGAAGAGATCTTTTGGAGAGGGAGTGATTAGATGACTTGAATTGAAGGAGATGGTATGCGTAGGATGGACGATGACTATTGATTATTTGGTAAAGGAATGTGCCTAGTCAATATTGTCTTCTGAAGGAGGGGAAGAGCCATCCTAACTGAGCTTAGTAGTGGGAAACACGAGAATGTCTCAGGGTTACATTGACAAATCTTACTAAGCCATTCATGATTCTTTTCAGTCTGTCTCCGAGTTTCGATGAGAGACCATCGTACACTACGTAGATGTAGTCAAGGGAGGGAAGATGAGGGTGAATACTAGGGAGTCTACATATGGACATGGGTAGGAGATGGTGGAAGCGATGGAAGAGTTTCAGGATAGAAATGGAATGTCGGTATATGTGGGAAATATGATGATTCCAGGAGAGAGTTTGATCTATGAAAATGCCTAAGTTTTTAACTGCAGAGCTGAAGATGATGTTGTGGTCATTTAGGTACAGGAGAGGAATGTTGGTATTGGCTCTGAGAAGGGGTTTGGAACCAATGACAATGGCTTGGGTCTTAGCAGTGTTTAACCTAAATCCATTTACATTTGCCAAGGCACAGATCCGATTTAGGTTTTCATGTGTTTTGACAAACGTTTCATGCCACTCAGAGGCAGCGAAGGAAAGGTAAATTTGGGAATCATTGGCATAAAGGTGATGGGAGCAGTGAAGGATTGATTTATGAAGGTCGGTAATATAGAATCTAAAATGGAGAGGAGATATGCTAGAGCCTGGGCCACTCCTGGGGACAGAGTTAGATAGGAAGATAAAGGTTGATTAGGAATAGCGACTGCTTGGGTACATTGAGAGAGGAAAGATTGAAACCAAAGGATAGAGCTGTTGGAAAAGAGAAACGATTTTAATTTGGAGAAAAGGATGGAATGGTTAACTGTATCAAAGGCTTCAGAAAAGTCAAGGAGTACAAGGACATTTAGTTTTATGTCATCTATGGCGGACTGAACATCACTGATGAGTTTGATTAGGGAGGATTGTGTGGAGTAACCTGGTCGAAAACCAGATTGGTAAGGGTCAAGTTGGTTGGACTGTTAGAGGAAGTTGGAAACTTTGGATTGGACTATTCGTTCCAGAGGTTTTGAAAGGTTAGAAAGGAGTGAGATGTGGAAATATGTGGATTTGGCTCATCGGATTCTGGTTTGTGTCAGATTACGGAGCACTCTAAACGCTTGGTAGTTGTCAGCTAGCCTAGTACGTCTAAAGCGTCTGTTGGCAACATCACATCTCTTCTGGAGATCTTCAATTTGCTGATACATTCAGGGAGTCGGGGATCGACAGATGGTAGAGGTTATGATGGGAGCATGGGCATCGAGGATATTAAGGAGGTTAGACTTGAAAATGTCAACCATGGAGTCAATAGAGGAACAGAAATATATTCCATTCCAATCAAGGGTTTCCAGGTAGGGTAAGATTTTTTCCCGAGTGAGGGCATCAATGTTACGGAAAGTTACGGTTCTAAGTAGGATGGGAGGAGAATGGATATTAAATGAAATTTGGATTAGATCATGAGAGGAAAAGGAGACTTGGTACTTGGAAGAAGAAAGGAGGCTCTGAGAGGAGTAGATAATGTAATGGTCAAACCAAGTATCGGAGATGAAAAGATGAAGAGAGAAAAAAAAGGTTTTCGAGGTATGATTTATCGCTGGAGTCAGAAAGGAAATTAGTGTTTAGGTCATCAGAAATGATAATTTTGGTATAAAGAGGAACAAAGTTGAAGAGGGATGATTCAAATGACAGATCAAAGGGAACAAGAGGAGGTCTATACACTACGATATAAAGGATGTATCACAGGAAATTTCAACGATCAGGAACTCAACATGTGGGTGATCGGATGGAGGAGAGTAGTAGAGTATTCTTCATTTTCAGGCATTTATGAGCATACAAAGCTACATCTCCGCCACTCTGGATAGCCCGATCGTGGAGGATTAGTGTGAAGTTAAGAAAGGAACAGATGTGGAAGGGATGTAAGGCTTGGGTCAGGTTTCAGAAATTGCAATGATATGGTAAAAATTTTGGGTAAAGTATTCTAGGAATTCATCGTAATGGGCTGGGAGGGATTGGGAGTTTACGTGACAGGTAGTAAGGATGGTAGACTTGATTAGGATTCAGGAAAATATGATACATTAGATGAAATGAAGTAAGAAAAAAAACCAGATTAAAAACAAAAAACATATAAAAGTAATAATTAATAGAAATAAATGAATTAAAAAGTTGCAATAGTAACATAACATACAACCCAGATTTTCAATGATAATCCTGTAAACAATGCCAAATTTTTTATAGATATTGAGAAGTAAACAGAGATCGAAGAGTCAGGCAGACATCTAGGTCTTGACTATAGCCGATAAAGACAACCAGATGACCACCATCCTTTCAGCACCGCAGTCTGCCAATGGAGAAGCATATATATTTTATTTTCCCAGCTGCTTTCTTCTGCCGGGCAAGCCAGTATAAGTGTATGTTTGTCAGGGTCATATCCTCGCTGAGATAGATACGGTGGCAGTCATTTTCCTGCCAATTTCCCGCATCAAAAAGTCCCTACCAGGTCATTCCTCACTTACGGCCAGATGAATTTCGATGATAGGCAGTGCTCGCGGGTCATCTTTTCTGGCTCTTTGGCGCTGCACAATGTCTATGTCCACAACGTTAAGTTCGATGCTCAGGGTGGCCCCAATACTTATAACCAGGGCTACAGGGGTCTCACCTGCTCGAACCAGGATGCCCCGGATCTTGAGCGATCTACTAAGTAGGTCCTATTCGGCTTTATTCAGCCTAACCTCCAGTTCACCGACTCTAAAGCCCTAACCACCCTCAATTAAATTTAAGGATTTTATTTTCCGAAATTATTTCTTCAAAATGTTTAGATAGTCCCTCAAAGTGGTTTTCAATTTTAGATAACTTAGTATTTACTTCGAAGGTCAGGTCTCTGAACTTGTCTAGAGCTAATTTAATATTTTTTATTTCCTCATTAAAATAATTATCAAGCCGCTTTACTGCTGCCAGAATTTCTGATGGTGTTCGCTCAGTGTTGCGACTTTGATCAGGGTTTTCACCACCTGGTAAAATCTTTTTAGGCTGATCGCAACTAGAACATATCCATACTTTTTTTGAGGAGTTTTGAGCCTCAAACTTTTTATCACTGAGTTTACCGCACCTACTATGAAATAGTGGTTTACATTTAGCACAACATAAATATTTTTCTCTTCTCAAGCGATGGTGCTGTTGCATATTGGACAATGTGCCATATTGTAAATAGATCGTACTTGCGATAACAAGCCGGGTTGTTATGATGCATAAGACCAACAGAAGGGCTTAATCCTCTAGAGCTCAGTTGTTGTATACTGTCCCGTAGCTTTTGATAATATAGAAAACTTCAAGATCTTCACTTCTTGATGAGTTGAGAGGAAATACAAAATTTCTAGTGATAAAGAATATTTAAAAAAAAATCAAAGAAATTTAAACGAAATAAAACACTTAATAGTACAGAGATATGTTGAATGATGGCTGTCTCTGGCCAAACTTTTTAAATTCAGAAAATTTAATGCATACAGTATGCTTTTAGATGGTGTATGTACATTTTCTGTAAAATATATGCCTCTCCTGTAAGATTACTAACAAATAAAAAAAAGACACACACAAAGTTAATACATTCTAAAATATAACCAATAAAATAATATATATTAATCAATAAGATAAAAGAATGATAAGATTGGAAATTAATATATCTTAAAAAAATAATAATTTTAAAAAGTTGTCTGACATTACCGACAAGAATGGAATGATTCACTGCAAGCAATGGTTGGTATAGCCTTGTAAAGTGATAATCTTTTATCATCAGGAAGTTTATTTAAAACAGCAGTCAAACAAGCAAAACCACTCCCTCTGCATTTGTCATCTTCAATAGTTTTCAGAATAATTGGAATAAATTTGTATAAATGTTCCTGGCAAGTATCTATTTTAGAGATATAGAAAATTAGTATCAATGATGAAATAGTTACAACTAATAGAAGGCAAAAACAAGATATAGTATTTTGTAATTAAATCAAATGTTTTAATAATATATCTCTGCTTTTTCAATATTTTGCTAGTTCTTTCAAATTTTCCACTTGAATGAATTGCTAATTTTAATGCACAAGCTTTGTTTTACCTTGAAAGCTAATATTTAAATTTTCTTGTTGGGTCATAATATCAGAAAAACGTCTGCCAAGTAAAGTCAGTATAGCTTCCTGACCGTTTTCATTGCCTAAACAATATCTATATTTCAAAGTCTATAATTTTTTGTATGAGAATAAAATCTCCGGGAGAAGCCATTTTTGGAAATACATTATTCCTAAACATTCACGGGTTCGATATCCACGAATTTTGTTCATCAACAAATACTGAAATACGGAATCGTGATTAAAAAAAAAAATCTGGTAAATGCTAAAGATAACAGCCCTACCAAAAATGCAAAAGGTTTTATGTAAAAATTGAGTATTTTATAGTAGAACATAAAAACTGATTATTTCTTTATGATTTATTGGTGTAATTTCATATTTTATTTTCCCCTGCTATTATCCATAGTACCAGACTACCTATATCAGTTGCATACTACAAAATGTTACCTTTAACACCAATAGCATAAAAATGGAAAATTGTTACAAACGACCTTTTGCACTAACAGTAGCAATATATACTTAAAAGGTATGTTTCACTAGTAAAATAGATGGAGCAATAAATCCATTGAAAAATAAAACTTTTTGATTGTTCGGAATTAATGAGACCAATATTTTCCCTTAGTCAGAACAAAACTAATTTAAGCTGCAATATAAAAATATAATTAAGTTCATACGAATTTGATGATTAAGGAAGAAATCGAGACCATGACGAGCTGGTTGAACTTCAATAGAAATAAACACAATTCCAAATAAGACCTTTTCTTAACAAACTAAAAAAGGAATATTTACTGAAAATTACATGAAATCTAAGTGAAGGCAGTAAGTGTCATGGCAGTAACATTTAGAATCGACCAAAGAACACAGAATAAATTAACTTTTTGAATAAAATCTCATTATATTGTTAACAGTTATTTATATTAATTTTAATTATTGAATTAAATTAAATTTGATTGATACTAGACAATTTCTGAACTATTCTCCGAATTTTCTCCAAGTTTGGGTCAAATTGAATGAGCCATTTTACAACTATAGGCGTGCTACTTAATACGTTTACTGACCCAAAAGCGCAAGTCTTTTTTTTAGAGTATTGGATAGAATTTAGGCAAATGGATACTTATTTAATTATCTGTTAACCAATCCCTAACTTTCCTCCATATTAGAGCCGATTCGAACTACCCATTTTAGAGATATAGACTTATCAAGGAAAACGCATTTGCGCATACATAAGAGAAAGTAAAGGACAGAATACAATAAAATTGATACAGAATCATTATTTTACCAAAAGCCACATTTCTTTCTGCTTTGAGCTAAATCAAACCAGTAGTTTCTGAAATATTGGCATATCTATGAAAATACATTTACGCAAGCACAAGCGGAAGTGCTGGATGGAATTTCATAAAATTGATATGGAAACATCTAGACACCAACCCGCACAATCTCTAAAAATTTCATGAAAATCGGATGAAAGGTAGAAGGTGATATGCCCGTCACACCGATTTGACTACAGAGTTGTGGGAGGGGTGGCTAAACGGTAGAACACGTGTACTCAGCAGCCCTGTTGCCCGGCAACTTGATATATGGAGACAAAATGATAAAAAGTCACGAGTTCACGTCCCAGTGCCAGGAGTCTTTTAAATCCCCGCCCACACTCCCTGGCCCGGGAGAACCCCATATAGCTATACAGGCGAGGAAGGGGAGAACACAAAAAAAAAAAAAAAAATTGACTACCAACAGACAGACACCGAACCAAATTTGATCCTTGATTTCTGAAACGTAAAACATGAGAAGAAATTTTCGATTCTAAGCACAAAATTTTTTTAATCTCTCGCATGTTACATTTTTAGTGAATTTCTGCTATAATTGTTCTACAAAGTATAAACACCCTAAAAATAGTGTGTACTAATAAAACCACTTCATTGGTCCAACAATGATAACAAGAACATAACCTTGACAAATGACACATCATAAGTGTCTTTCGTTACCAATTAGCATTAAATTTTAGCACTTGAAACATGCAATTGGATATAAAAATAAAGTCATAGAAACTTACATTCAAACCATTTTTCATAAAATAATAGCTAGCTCTGGAATTTTCTTAACCCATATAATAAAGTGGGATAGCTCAGTGGTAAGCTTCAATCAATTTTCAAGGTCCCAGGTTCGAATCCTGGCTTGTGGCAGATCAATTATTTATTCTGTTTCATCAACCACGGATCGATCCTAGGATCAGGAGACCTCCCTGGGGCATACCCAACCTCTATAAAATGAATAGCCTTAATTATATAATTAATTAAGAGGGAAACCTGGCAGTTGAGTATAATCTCTGTCCAATCACCTTGCACAACTGTTGATCAAGAAACAGTACCTTACCTACATAGACCCTTTATAGGCTGTAGAGGTACAGGTTTCGTTTAATAAAGTATTAATTAAAAACAGAGCTTGTTTAATAAAGGCTCTTTGGACTTAATGTATCTTTGGACTAGTATGATAATTTTTAAATAAAAAGTTTTTAAAACAACAACAAAGCTGTGAGTGATATTCATAAATAGGATGAAACATGCTTAGTAATTCCAACAATTTCACTAAAATAAATTGATAACAAAATAATAACTTACCACTTTCCCAACAATCAAATTTGACTGATGAAACAAGAATTGGAGATAAAGCCTTTAATATTACATCACTCTGATCTGAATTAACTTCCAGTAGGGCGAGGAGTTGTGGCAATATCTAATAAAAATCATATATTGTTTGAATATATACATATATTTATAGGCACATTTACAATAATAATAATAAATAGATAGATTATATGAACAAAAAACAAGTCAAATAAAATTTAATTTAAGCATATTTAAAAAATGGATGATGTTCTTAGAACAAGTAAAATAAACACACATAAAATTTGCTAGAATGTTCACATGTAACATTTGATAAAAAGTAAAGGTACTTGTTAATAGCGGGACGCGTCCGACTGCTATCTGCTAATGTTTATAACCTTAACACTGATAACTCTGATAAGCCACTGATAATATCTTCATATTTATTGTAACTTTCTATGTAAACAAAATATTTCTGTTAAGTATCTAATTTTATCTACATACAGGCCTAGACCACCATAAACTTATGATCCTTGTGTTCTTATCCATTTTTAATTTGTCCTAAAGGGACAAAAGTTCAAGGATAATAAAATAATTTTTATTTAATTTACCTTGACTTATCTAATGTCTTCTTACCTTGACTTATCTAATCTAAGAATTCAAGAGTTCTTTCTAATTCTCTACACTTTTCTCAATCATCAACAATGACCTCCTACTAATCCTCCAAAATTCCCAGTCTTCCTTCACAGTGACAACAGCTGTCTGGTGAACTTGAAGCAAGACTTAAACGCCATATGAACAGCTTAGTTACATTTGTTTTTGAAATCACCAGGGATGAGCCTATAACCTATTATTATATCGAGCTAAGGTGGCTCCAGGCATCTTAAGGTGTCAGTATTTTCTTGAGTCCTTCCTATACCAAGTTATTAGAACATAGAACATGGAGCCCCTCTTATTTCATACAATGTCTAATTTAATTTAAATCTTCCAGCCAAAACTCACTCACATGATCTCGTCATTCTGACTTCTGCCCTCATCCTTACTAAGTGCTGTGTTTGACAAATCCCTCATAATCCAAGCTGCTTCCCTTCAGAACTTTATTATACCCACCATCATGCTTTAACAGTCTCCCCATTCAAATACCTTTTCCTTGCCCAGCCTAATTAATATTATTTTATATTAAATTACTTTTTCTCTTATTAAAATATTTCTCAAATTATCTTATGTGTTACTTTCTAGGTGTTTATATTTTTTAATGCAGTTTTGTAGCTTTAGTTACTGTTTAAATTATCATTTCTTCTATGCTGTATAATCATTAATTATTCACACTTTAGTAGTAGATTCAAATAAGGAATAGAAGGAAGAGGGGGCGTTTTATTTAAAAATGTGCCCAATGAATATATTTCAACCTTTCCTGCACTTTTAGTATCAGAATTATGGAAAAAGAATTTTAAACAAACAAAAATATTTTTAAATAATAAAAATTACCTTTGGTAGAATGAAGACAGCAGTTGTACTAGAAACAGCTATAATATTGTGAAGTAGTCTTAATGTTGGGAGGAATAATGACAAACTTGGATTGCTCAAATAACAATGTGTGCCTAAGATAAAAAAAAAATAAATAAATAATAAGTTATACATTAATTCATTACAAAAAAACATATATAAAATTTAAGTGAAAAATAGAGTTAAATATTAATTTATCATAGCTATAATGATTATTTAAAATTTTTTCCAATGCCTTCATTAGAAAAAATGAAAGGCATACAGGTCTAAATGATTTAGGATCTTCGTAAGCATCTTTCTGATATTGGTTATTTCTGAAGAATAGTCCAAGCTCTATATCTCTAATAGAAAAGTTCCTTTACAAAAACTCTCAAGAGCAAAGGATTTTGGTAAACGATGTGTTTGAAAGATATCAAATTTTATAAAGGAATAACGAATTCCTATTCAAGATATATAATTGGCCTACAATAAAAATGTCAGTACTCAGTTTACACAAAGTTTGATGCTCTACAACTTTGGTTCTATGGGTTTTTCCTCTAAGGGAACTCATTTCCAAGTTATATGGCCATTTATAGTAATGTGTCTGTTTTTGACAAATTTGGTAAAAATCAGTTTTGGTTGACCATAGTTTTATACCTTACCGCATAACCAAATTATAAATTTTATATATTCGTTTGATGCAAAATTTAAAGTTTTTTAATTTATTAAAGAGTACATTTTTCGCTTTGATGTATTGTTTAGGCGAGTTATAGATAAAGTTTTCCCTTGGTGGCCCTCTTTAGCAATTTTGTTTTTTACATGTCTAAACCCACATATACAAGTTAAAAAAATACAAACTTTTCTCACATTTTTTGCAATGGATTTCCTGTTTCGATCCTCAAAGTATTGGCCTAATATTCTTTAAATCAGCTACCATTTTTTATAGCAGCAGCTCTGGAACGGCAGACAAGGTTCTTTTTACTCAGAGAAACATACACTTTTGTAATTTACAATCAAACCTTCACCTGCAATCAGGTCGATTTTTGGGCCCTGGCTCCAGGGCTATCTACTTAGGGGACCCCCAGTATATAGATACATCTTTAAATGTTTTATGAACATATAGTATACACTATTCAAGCTTCATTAGTAATGGTGGACATTCAAGCTCAAAAAAAAAAATTATAGTTTTACACATACATTGATCCAATTTAGCATATCTAAAACTACTGTAACACAAAATATAAATTAGTAGACATATACATTTGATAAAAAACAAACTATACTTGACAATTTTCTTTCAGACAACGTTCTTGTAGAACAAAAGGCTGTGGTGTTAAAAAGACAAGATGCCTAGTTTTCAAGTAATACGAGAAGATCTGGAAAAAGTGACTTTTAAACCGCCCCACTCCCCACCATGAAGGGGAAGAGGTAGGGGCAAGGACTAATATGTTTACCTCCAAAGCACCCCCAATAAATTCCTCAATGGACAAGTCAAATGCTTGTCCATCCTCCAAGCACCTTTTGGCCATTCTTGACTGGATTATTTCCCATTATTTCTGACCATAGAAAATCTCGACATATTCCCGAATGGTAGACATCATACAGTATGATGGTATATAAGGTGGTTTGGAGCCTGATTTTCATTCAATAAAAAATTATAGAAGGTGAACAATGGGTTTTCAGCAAGTATATTTGTAAATATTACAGTATATTACTCACTTGAAATAATGCTATCAAGCAAAAATGTTAGAGATTCAGTTAGACTTTCCGAGAGAACTGCTGTAGAGAAAGCTCCAAGTATTGATGTTAAGGCTTCTCCTGCCAGCAAAGCAACTTCAGGATCATTACCAGGGATTAGCACATCCTTTATACTGTACCATAACCTTTTTATAAAAGGATTAAGAAATTCAAGGTTCCAACTGCTGGAGGCTCTAATCTGAAAATGTTCCAAATTAAAAGGTCTTGAATAAAACAAATAGGGACTAAATAAAAAATTCTGATAATAAATCCTTATTATTGGGATCTCTACACCAAATAGTTGCAGAGATGAATAAGATTATGTTTTATTGACACCTTCCCCTCAGCAGGCAATTAAAATTTAAAGAAGCAGTAGTGAACTATTAGATACCAATTAAAAAAATCTGGCATGTCCACTCACACTACTCTCCTCGTGTATGATTTGAGTACGGACTACTTTGATAAACTAAAGCAATGTAAACTGGTTTGTGGAAGATCAGTGTAAGCAATTCAATACAGTCTACTAACATTGCTAATCAAAAACTTTTTTGCAATAGCCCAATTTTGTTAGGCAATAATTTCAGTGAAACTTGTGTGATGCAGGCACCAAATTTTTGACTTTCACTTTATTTCCTTTTTCTCTCTCTTTCATACCTTTCTGGCCCTGGGATTTGAACTCATAATATTACAAATAAAATTAAAATCGCAGTAACTTCATAAATAGTTGTCAAATAAACAATTTTTAGATAGTTTTGTAGAAACTTCCATTACCTTTCAGAAAACTCAGAAGGCTCTGAAACGTGAAGATCCATCGAAAACCGCACATTGAAAATTTGACCCAATCACAATACTTTCCTTACATAGTAGAGGTAGGAAAGTAAAAATACATCATGGAAGATGAGAACTGAAGTCCCCACTTCACTAAAATCGAACCACCAAAAAGCATCCTTCAAGTAAAGCAACTAGCTGACAAGTTAGTGTTCTCAAGATAAAATTATAAAAAGAAAAATTTGGTGTACACATCATACAACTTTCACTCATCACTTCTAACTTACCACCATACAACTTCTACTTTAAGTACAAATTATTTTCTGACAAAATTAGGCTGTTACAAAAAGTTTTTATAGTTCATTTTTAATGTATCTAACCTTTAAAGAACACATTTATGAATTTTGGCTACATTTATTGCTAAAAAACTCATTAAGACCAACAAAATAATACAAACCGCATTTACTGTATCGACAGTGGGCGATGAAAACTTCATAACTCCATCAGTTTATTTGAACCACTATAATAACTCCAGTCTCAGAGCTTTATATACTGAAAGAGAATTGAAAGTACACAAATATATCTAATAAATTCATAAGTAAGGATTGTACTACATAGTAAAAATAATAGAAACTAAATCTGTATCACTTCATACTTCTATTTTTTTTCGTTTTAAAATTGATCAAAATGGAGTTATGATTGCCATAATATTGCGATTATACAGAGAGAATATTCAACAAATTACTCACTGATTCAATTTTCTAAAACGTAACTTAATAATTTTTTGGAATAAATGACAATATTACATTATAATATACATAATATTATATTATAATTAAATTGGGGCCACAGTCTCCTTAATCTCAAGCGAGTTAATGCGCCTACAGAAATTTTAATTCTTGAGTTCAAATTCCGTTCACAGGGTTTAATAACAAAAAAAAAAAATTTAATAATAATAAATTAAAATAAATAAGTGCAGGCCCTAATCGATGTCTTAGACTACTGCGGCACGGGTTTGATTCCCGTATGTGAACAGTAATGTCCTCACCCAGAGATTCACAGGGAGATATCTGACTTCTGTGTCTTACACCATAGCTCCTGGTCCTCCAGGTTGGGGTTGGGCATAGAGCTAATAATTCTCTATCCTATAATTAAAAAAATAAATAAAAAAAACAGGATGGAGATTGCTGCAAAATGTTGCCAACCATCCTTCAGGAAAGTGCCTGATGAAGAGGGAGTGAATGTGATTGCGTCCGGTTATTATAAACCATGTGCTTCCTGGGTATTATCAAGAGAATGAAATGATCATAACTGTCGCCTATAACAACCCCTTAGCTGCTAGAAGACATGGCAGAAGTCAAAGGGTCAAGAGGTGTAAGAAAAAAATAATAATATTATACAATATTACAATTAAAATTACATCAGAAAAAATGATAAATATAAAAGCAAAATAAATATATAAATACAAAAACATGATTAGGTTGAAACGTCAGTAAACTGAATGAAAATAATTTTTTAACAATACATCCTGATCACTTCCATCCTTACTATTTTAACTGTCAACTATACATTCACCTCTAAATTAGTCAATAGTTTTTTGTGGTTCATCAATACTTTTCAAGACTTTATTTATATTAGATATTATTTTTTCTCCAATTCTAAGCATTTCAGCAGCATATATAATAGATTTAAGCCCTGCCATACTACATCAATGAAGATATTACATAGCCTGATACTAACTAAAGACCATTTAATTGAACATTTCAAATTTCCAATGTGTGGTTTTCAACAAATCTTTGTTTCAGAGCCTCCTGAGTCTGATAATTTTTTTACACATTTTTGTCTTTTTGAAAGCTTATTAAATTTCTGACAAAATTAAAAAAAAAAAAATCACCTAAATCAAACCAGGTTTAGCCAAGTTACAGTATATTGCATTTTACACACTGATTTTAATCACAGGCTGTTTACATTGCTTTAGTTTATCAACGAAATGGTACTCTAATCATTTCTCTGATCCGTTTCCAGGAAAATTAATCTAATTCAATTTTTTACTTTTATAATAATAATAATAATAATAAGGCTTAGCGAACCCGAAGGTTCGATGCCGACACCACCAATCGCTTGTTACAAACCTCCCTCCACCGTTCGCCGTCCAAACCCAGTCCCTTCAGATCGGCTTTAATGCAATCTTCCCACCTTCGCTTCGGTCTACCCCTCGGACGCTTACCATTCGGCACAGCAAATATTAATCTTTCAGGAATTCTCTCGTTACTAAGCCCAACAACTTTACAAGCCCATTTGATTCGCCGCGATGAAATTACCTCAATTTACTTTTATATATATATATATATATATATAAAAGTAAAAAATTGAATTAGATTATATAATATATATATATATATATATATATATATATATAATGGATGTATTTAAATATGTCTGTCTAAAATCAATAGAAAAGTCATCTGAGTTTTTGTTTTTGAGTTAGGCTAAACACGCACACACACACACACACACACACATATGCACCAAGGGACTTAAAAAATTTGTATGTCCATTGAAAACCCAGATTCAGAATTTTTTAAGATCACAATACTTTCCCTGACTTTATAATCTAAATTAGTAAGTGAAAGTAAAAATGAAACTGAATAGATCAATAATTGGTTCGTTCTGTCCCTCATTTTTGTTTAACCTAATTTTAAGAAATTCTTCTCCATAACTAGATAAATAAAAATTTACAGAAATAAAACATAAACAACAGAAATAAAACTGTTGTACTACAGAATCATTCTGATGAAATTTTTAAAATCATATTTAATTGTGATTTTTTTAAACTAACATATAGAAAAAAAACTATTAAAATATTCACTCATTTTTAAGATAAAATATAATAAATAAGAAAAGTATATGAAATAAATAATACAAGAGTTATAAATTAAGATAGAAATTTTATAATTAATTTAAGTTCAACCCTATACAACCCATGAAGGGATTTAGGATAAGTAGGATCTTGGCCAACATTTATATAAGGAGATGATATAATCAGCATTCACCTTCGACCGACAAGATTGTCCCACACTCTAATTAAGAGTACCCACATTGTAATGGCAGCGTGCTTCCCAGGAGGGTCTCCCTTATTCAGAGTCGATGCACAGTTTATTATAAAACAGTATATATAATTATCTACTCAGTTCACCTTTTATAAAATATAAATGAATATTATTTAGAGAAATTTTCACATTATCACTTTAATAGATCTAAAAACATTTTATTCTTCACGTTCTATTATAGCAAAATCATATACTTACAATTAGACTTAATGAATCCATTTGAGCAACTTTAAGGCTACTCTCCATCTTATCACATATTACAGGAATGCAATATTCTGCAAAAGCAGGATTAGCCACAAGGCAAGCTTCTAATCCCCTAGCCAAGTCTTTACGGGTAATGTTTCCTTTCTCCTCAACCTAGATGAGAAAATAGAAGTGAGACTAGATAATCAACATGAGTTTGAGAAATTAAATAAGTCATTGAGAAACAATTTTAAGTAGATCAGAGTTAAACAAAAAACTATGATAGAAAATGCAGACAAATGTATCATAATTATAAGGTTATGAAAAAAAAAGCTGGTGTGATGTGGACATCACACAATTTTCAATTACCAACCTTAGTACAGTAGTTTAACAGTACTAATGATTGTGGGAGAAAATAGATCTTTGGGAAAAATTCTGCTTTTTATTGGAAACATTTATTAAGAAACTCATCGAAAAAATAACTTACTATAATAATAATTGTATATTATTAAGTTTATATTAGTCGATCATTAATATCTTCTCTTCAATTAATTTATTTAAACTTACTAGTAAATTTAATTCCATAATACATCACCTTAAGAGATAAGTAAGTTTTTAGAATAAGCATATCTACTTATTTTAAGTAGGAATAAAACCAACCATTTGTTGAGAGCCTAAATCTTAGTAAGTGAAAAAATATTTCTAGTTAAATGAATAAATAAAATACATAAAACAAAATGAGCACATTAAGGTAATAATAATGAAGTTTAAGGAGCAGTGAATATTTACCGGAGTAAAATCAACAGGAAAGTAACACTCAAGAACAGCAAATGCTTCTTCGGCTAAATGTTTCAACGGTATTTCTGTAAAAGCTTTAGGCAAAAAAGAAAATAGGAAAAGCAAGTTACGTGGATCAGGTTCAGAATCCATTCCAGAGATAAGTGTATATAGATAATCACTTGGAAAATCAGTTGAAACTAAAACATATATCACAATAATTAATGCAGGAAACATAATGTAGAATAAATAATAACAAAATACTATTTATAGTGTTTAAATTTAACCTCCTGTGAAAAACAAAACAAGGTTTAGCTCATATAAAAACTTAAATAAATTGTTTTCTAATCAAATCTTAAAAATCTGATGAGTGCATTACAAAACTTTCTCTTTCCACTTTACTTTGAGTAGAAATTAATTCTTGGTTAAATACTGCAGGTTAATCTTTATATATTTTTTCTCAAAAGTGTTTATGACATATCTTCATAGCCACTTTATCAATTGCGAAAATTGAGACATCATTTTGAAGATTTTGGTAACCAATGTTCAGCATTGGCTAACAAGATCACCTTTTTGGAAAGCAGGAAAAAAAGATCTGAAGAAAAAAAAACTTTGTTTCGCCATATTATGGACATCTTAAAGGCAAGAAAAATTGAACCACCGGTGACCAGATGGATAGGTAGCATGCTGGAAACCAGAATTCTCAAAACAGATCTAAGACACACAGAACTGTGGATTAAGTTTGGAGATGGTTGTCCACAGGAAGGTGTGCTTTCTCCAATACTGTGGTGTCTGATGATAGATTCACTGCTCGATACAACACTAAACACTACGTGCTTTTGTGCACAGGGATATGCAGATGACATCGCTATTCTCATTGGCAGAAAACATTAGAAAGTTTTTTCTGATCGCTTGAAGATTGCGACAGGTATCTTAGGGCAACGGTGTCAGTCCAATGGACTAAGCGTCAATCCAACAAAGATAAATGTGTGTATCTTTATGATGAAGAAAAAGGTGACACTAAAGCTAATCAAAATTAACAGCATCTAAAGTAAAGAGGTGAAGCACTTATGTCTTATGCTAGATAATAAACTACAATCGAACATGTGAAAAACACAACTAATAAAGCACTCAAATGACTATGAGTTTGTAAAAATGCTGTAGGGAAATCATGGGGGCTTAAACCATGAATGGTACACTGACTGTATGTTACAGCGGTTAGACCGATGTTTTTATATTCAGACGTTGTCTGGTGGCAGAGAGCTAAAATTGGTTTCAACAGGATACAGGTGGAAAACTGCAAAGATTAGCCTCTCTAATGATAACAGGTGGAATGAAAACTAGCCCGACTGCTGCTATGGAGGTAATGTTGGGTTTTTACCTTATGCAGTTGGAAATAGAACAACAGGCCTTTGAAAATTTTTTATAGGCTAGATAAACTAAACTTATGTTTGGTTCATGGTTATTACTAATGAGGGATACTGGAGAATATTTCAGATTTGAGGAAGATGCTTGTAATGCACTCTGAAACTCAGATCAGAGAATTTCTAATAAAGAATTACGATGTAAACATTGAAGCTTCAGGGAAACATAAATCCATTAATGGGATTAACTGTTACAGTGATGGCTCACAGATGACTTGCGGTTCTGGTGTAGGTTTTTGGAGGAAGGACAAATCAGAGGAGGGTATGACTACATCACTTGGCAAATATACAATGGTATTCCAATCTGAAATGCTGGAAATATCTCACTGTGCTTCAAAGTTGTTGATTGAAGGGTTTGTAGGGAAGAAGATTTCCATCTTCACTGACAGTCAGGCGGCAATACAAGCCCTGGGCTACTACACAACAAGATCTAAAGCTGTTAAGAATTGCTGCACAAACCTTAACAATTTATCTGGAACTAATAAGGTAACCACCGAGTGGGTACCAGGTCACTCTAGTTTTTCTGGGAATGAGATGGCAGTCAAATTGACCAGAAAAGGCTCACAAATAACTCCCATAAAATCTGAACCTACCTTTGTCTAATTAAAAATAGAATCGGGGAGATTTATGGTGCCGAAGATACGAAATATTTATGTTCTGAAAAATAGACCCATTTTAGATTGTTCTAGGACGGATTCTATGCATAGAGAAGTAATCTGCTAATTAACTTGAGCAGAGGCTCTCTTAAAAAAATTACAGTGATCTATACGGGTAAACTGAACTATCATATGTTCAAACTAGGGTTAGATTCCTCTTTGTAGGTTCTGTAGCCAGGATGATGAAACAGCAAATCATATCACTTGTTTGTGCGACAAGTTTGCAGGGTGATTTAACTATTTTAAATCAAGAGCCATTTTTAAAAAAACGGTTAAATTAGATAAAGTGGCACTTCCAGTTTGTCGATTTTAATAACTAAATAGCTATAATTTCCCAGGTTTATACCTACCTTCAATACATAATTTCTTTTTCTTACAACTTGTCCTTTTTGCATACACACACATAAACAATTTTTATTGGGTGAGACTTGGTTATTTGGACCTACGGGATCTTAAAACGTGTATTTCTATTGAAAAATCAGATTTAAATTGTTGATGATCTCAATACTTTCCCGTATCAGTGGTGGATCCAGGAATTTTCTCAAGGAGGGCGCACCTCTGTACCAATTGCTTCCCCCACCCCTATCCGTCCCCTACTACAACCCATCTTCCCCCACCCCTTAGCTGAGTTTTCCAAAGTCGTCTTTAAATGGTTTTAACAAAAGCACCCCCATACCAGACTGAAATGACTAGAAACCGCCTGACGTTTTCGACTACTGCAGCACTTACTAGACAAACGCTCTAAGCTTTCAATCAATTACAAACGACTCATATATATGACAATAATAAGACCTATTTGGACTTACGGAATTGAGCTTTGGGGCTCCACTAAACCATCGAATTCCTCTTGTATCCAATCCTTACAATCCAAAATCCTTCATAAAATCCTCAGCGCTCCTTACTTTGTCACAAATAAAATCATCCATAAAGACCTTAATGTTCCATATGTTTCCGATTTGGCCCAATCCAGATACCTATCCTTCCATAACAAACTCCAGAATCATCCGAATCCTCTCGTTTCAATCCTTGCTTCCTCCTCGATCCCTGATAACCCTCCGAGGTGTCTGAAAAGAAGATGGCCTCGGGACCTTTTAATATAGAACTTTAATTTGAGTTCTACCAATGGGTAGTTTCTCTTCATGTTGTACATGTCATGTTACCAACGTCACATTTACTTATTGTATTTTCTATGTAATACAGTTGTAAATTACATTAAAATAAAAAAAAAATAAAAAAAAAAAAGCAAACTATTTTAAGTAAATTTTGTCTAGTTTACAATGCAGCAATCGTTAACTATTTTATTTAATAGTTGTTTTTTTTATCACTTCCTATTCAACAAAAAACGTGGCTAACATGAAAAATCACAAAACATTAATTTCCTACTTTTCTGCTGAAAATCGAACCATTGTTTATATAAACTTTCTTGTATTTATTGAGTTCGGCTATCACTCCTTAAAATACTTCCTTCTACTTAAAAGACACCCAGTATATGGGTTTAGATATGTAAAAAACTGAATTGCTGACAAGGGTCACCAAGAGAAAACTTTTTACATCCAAAAAAGTCAAATTTTTTCAACATTTTTTTTATTTTTTCATGTATGACTCCTAAACAATGCATCAAATTGAAAAATGTATTCTTTAATAAATTAAATACGTTAAATTTTGTGTCAAACGAGTACATAAACTTAATAATTTGGACACGCGGTAAAGTATACAACCGAGGTCAACCAACGCTGATTTTTATCAGTTTGGTTATCACTCCTTAAAATACTTCCCTCTACTTAAAAGACACTCAGTATATGGGTTTAGACATGTAAAAAACTGAATTGCTGACAAGGGTCACCAAGAGAAAACTTTTTACAGCCCAAAATTCAGATTTATCTGATTTCTTTTTCCATGTATTACTACTTAACAGTGCATCAAAGCGAAAAAAAATTCTTTGATAAATTAAAGAACATCAAATTGTGCGTCAAACGAGTACTTAAACTTAATAAATTGATTAAGTGATACAATCGATAACCATGGTCAATGAACACTAATTTTTACCGACATTGTCAAAATCTGAAAAAGATTACAATAAATGGTCCTGCAGCTTGTAAATGAGTTCTCTAAGAACCAAAACTCAGAATAATTTCTTCCTATTCATAATCAGATTCCGATCAAATCGGAGCACGGACGGATCTACGGGGGAGGGGAGAAGGGGTTGGGGCTAAAGTCCTCAAAATGGTAAAATATAACCGTTTTATGAAAAAAAATATTTAAAAATTATCTCTTAAAGTATTATTGTTAGTTTAATTACATTTAAAAGGACTTAAGGAAACAATTAAACACCATTTCATATAAATAGTTAGTTTTTTTATTTTGTTCCAAATTAATTATCGTTATTTTTAAGAAAAAAAAGCTTTCGGACTGAAGCCCCCCAAAATTAAATCCTGGATCCACTAGTGAATCGGAGACCAAATAATTAGTATCTTGCCTCATGAAAACGTTCCCAATAGCAGCTATTTTAAGAAAAGAACAACACTTTCTAATGAGAAATGTACAAATTATTATAGTGACCAGTATTATGAATCGCATGGATTCTTCAAGGAGACTATAGTTGCAATTCATCCAGATCTATTGGAACTAAAGAAAACCGGTATTTTCTTGTGCTCGAATAAAAGGTTGTTCGAAAGAATAAATGAAGTGCATATTTTTTAAAATAAATTTTCCTCCATCATGTATTTCACCTGCGAGATATATTTCAGTTCGGAGTCAATAGGAACAAACTGCGAAAGGAGCAAAAGCCTTCACATGTCATGGCGGCCCAAAAACTGCATCACTCTTTCCTTTGAATAGCTGCTTTTTCGGAATTTTTGGTCTACCATCCTTGGGGAGGGTCACCCCCTTGCAGAATTCGCTAGTGCTCGTCACGATAATATTTTTTATATGTAATACATTAGAAAATTCATCTATGAGGATGAATTTTTCCTATATTTCACTTTTCATTAAAGAAGATGCTTAAAATATTAGTTTTCGAAAGGAAGGTCCTTCGGAGGATATTTGGCCTAGTTAAGGAGAATGGTGAATGGAGAATTAGACGCAACCATGAACTAGCTAACTTATAGAATGAGCCGAATGTGGAGAAATATATCCGGATAGCAAGGCTGAGATCGAAGGGCCAAGTTGTCCCTCATCGAACGGACGAGACCTCAATCCCAAAGAAGCTGCTGTGCATGGAGCCGGTTGGAAAAATAAATGTGGACAGACTAAAACTGAGATGGAAAATGGATTAAGTACTGATGCCAGAATCCATGGAATCGGGAACTGGTGGAGGCTACTCAGGAAAGGAAAATATGGAGAAGAACTCTTGAGGCAGCCAAGATCCAGTAATGGATTTTCGAGTTTGAGATGATGATATTGATCACATTAGAAAATTTGTCTTAGAGGATTATTTTTCCTATATTTCTCGTTTCTTCAAATGACTGTTTTTTGGATACTTTTTTTCAAAATTATTTTTTTAACATCCAGAGGGGAGCAGACCCCTAGTAGAAATTACTAGTGCTGGTCACGATAATAACTTTTTTTTATATTATATTATGAATTCGTCTATGAGGATGAATTTCTCCTATATTTCTCTTTTCTTTAAATAGCTGCTTTTTGGAACTTTTCCCCAACCATCCAGTGGAGAGAGGGACACACCCCTGGCTGGACCACTAGTACTGGTCACGATAATAATTTTTTGTATCACAGAAAATTCGTCTTAGAGAATGAATTTTCCCTATATTTCTCTTTTCTTTAAATAGGTGTTTTGTCACTTTTTTCGGAATTTTTTCCATCATCTAAGGGAGGATGCGCTCCCTGGCAGAATTCGCTAGTGCTGGTCACGATAGAATTTTTTGTTTGTATTACATTAGAAAATTTGTGAATGAGAATGAATTTTCCCTACATTTCTCTTTTCTTTAAATAGGTGTTTTTGTCACTTTTTCAGAATTTTTTTCCCCCATCCAAGAGAGGAGATTAAAATTCTGATTCTGGGAAAAAGAATTCTGAAAATGAATTCTGCGCAGGGTGCAATTCGCTAGTGCTCGTCATAATAATAATTTTTTTTACATTACATTAGGATATTCATCGTATATGAGGATGAATTTTCCTTTTTCTTTCAATAGCTGCTTTTTGGAATCTTTGTCCAGCTTCCAAGGGGGAGAAGGGGTGAGCACCCCCCTGCCTCCATGCTGGATCCGCTAGTGCTATACATAGGTATGTGAAAGTAAAATAAATAAACTGAACCAAAAATGTTATAATATGAGCCTTACAGTTGACAGAATGACTAACTCTAATTCCAATATTTTTTAATAATGTCATTTTAGTGATATTTCTAGTTGTAAAATTTACAATATCTGTACAGACAGTGAGTAAGTTGATTCCAGAGTAGATGATTGCAGTATTGATATGTAGAACTGTGAATAAAGCTATAAATTTCCTATTAGGAATAGCACTAAAATTAATAATCAAAATTTTGAAATTGAAGTTAGAAATTCTGTCAACTTGAAAGTTCATATAATAGCTACATGTTACTATGCTAACTGGCTTAGTAACTAATTATGTAGGAGGAATTTTGAAATGATGAAAGGAATTTGATTTTTAAAAACCAATAAACTATATGACAATTACTCACTCTTTTTTGATTTTTTGTTTAACAAATTATACAATATTAAGTAAATATCGCGTCTTTGTGGTTGAGTCAAAGCTTGACAAGTTATGTTCTCCTGAAGTGCTTTAATTATTTCAATAGGCGATTCATCAGAAAAATTATCCATTGCAGTCTAAAAATAAAACTTTAAGTAAATACAAATTAAGATTTAGAAAGAAAATATTTAAAAAAATTATTGATACTTCTAAGAACAATCAAAATATATAAATATGCGGAATGATATAAAACTATTTATATTTATGGTATCCTTAGTTTTTAGATGTTTAAGGATATTTTTCCTTTAAAAATTACAAGATTTGTCATATACTGAAACAGTTCCTCATGAAAATAAATAAAATTTAAAATTAATATACCTTTTTGAAAAAATAATTAGGGAATATATGAAAAATTACAACATTTTATTTGGCAAGTAATGATAAACAGAAGTAACCCTAACATTCATGCTTCAAACTTCAAAATATATTGAAGAGTAGTTATTTTATGTAGTTTCAAATAGCTTAAATACCTAAGCAAGTCTTAGATTCTACCCCACCTCAGATTTTAATAATATAACACCCAAATACCCATATATTTTTATTTGACTTTTCAGTGAACAACACAGACCTTGTAGATCTTTGATAAATACTGATTTTATTATCATGATAAAAGATAAACGAATGTTGTAAGTTTTAGGTTTGTAAATTGTTGTTTTTTAATGAGGTAGTGTCTTTGGCCATACGCCCAACCCCCAACCTGAAGAACTAGCAGCCATATCAGAAATATGGATGCAGTCATCATTGAAGTCCTTACCATGGTAGCTCTTATATGTATATTTTTGATAAAATTATTCCGAAGGACTGGGAATACAACATCATTGTGCCAATTCATAAGAAAGATAGCACAACTGAATGTGGCAACTACAGGCCTACATACCTATCCCAGGTGACCTACAAAATGTACACCACTTTATTACAAAACAGGTTAAGGCCACTGATAGAACTAGATCAGACTGGTTTCCGGCCAGGGAGGCAAACGCAAGAACACATATTTGCTCTCAGAAATATTGCAGAAAAGACATGGAATCGAAGTATATATATATATATGTCGTTTCCTTAGACTTGAAAGCTACCTCTGACTTAGTACCCCGATGTGAAATACAGAGAGCACTTAAAAGAAAGGGTATTCCCGAGGATCTTTTAGCAGTGATAAAATCAACATATGAGAGTCCAAAAGTAATAGTGTATATATCAGTTTATAAAATCAACATATGAGAGCCCAAAAGTAATAGTGTATATATGTAGACGAGAGTCCAAGCCATTTCCAATAGAGCGAGGTGTGAAGCAAGGAGACAGTTTGAGTCCATTATTATTTATCATCTTTATGGACGAAATCCACAAAATATGCAGAACTGCTTGGACTGCAGTAGAATTTGGAACATAAGGATAGTTCAAGTGCAGGGGTTCCTATATGCAGACGATATCGTGGGATAGTAAACCGTTAGGAGGGGCAAAAGATAAGAAAATAGGTTGGATTGATCCGAGATACACTGTAGATACTGAAACATTAATAACAAAACTATTGAAAAGTAGAAACTAGAAAAAATAGATAGAAGAAATAATCCAGATAGTATCCTATAATCAGTGGAGATAAGAAACAAAAAAACAGATCCATATAAATAGAGAACAAAAATATACTCTGGCAAAAAATGAGCAATAATACTAGTAAAAATAATAATAAAACTGGCTGTAATACTAATTATAAAATTGATCAATATAATTTTATAATCAGTATAAAAAATGTATATCTTAGATGTATTTCTCCATAATTTACATTATATAATAATAAATATAATTAATTTATAACAGAGTGTGAAAAAAATACTATGAAGTTAAGCTTAATTAATTAATTAATTAATTTTATTTATATTTATAGTTCAATAGTTTTTATATTTTAGATGTATTTCTCCATAATTTACATTATATAATAATAAATATAATTAATTTATAACAGAGTGTGAAAAAATACTATGAAGTTAAGCTTAATTAATTAATTAAGCTTAACTTCATAGTATTTTTTTCACACTCTGTTATAAATTAATTATATTTATTATTATATAATGTAAATTATGGAGAAATACATCTAAAATATACATTTTTTATACTGATTATAAAATTATATTGATCAATTTTATAATTAGTATTACAGCCAGTTTTATTATTATTTTTATTAGTATTATTGCTCATTTTTTGCCAGAGATGCTGGAGACAGCATTACTCTTCACAGTTCTCTGATCTCATACAACCTCCAGAATACGAGGAAGAGACCAATCAAGTGGCTGAATATGATTCCATCTGGGAGGATGATTTTGAAAGGGCTCTGGAAAAACTAAATTTGGGCAAAGCAATAAGTAGAGATGTCATTTTCCAAGAGTTTATTATATATGGAGGAAATAAAATTATAAAAACACTGCAAGCACTTTTCCAGAAGATATGGAATGATAAAGTTATTCCGAAGGACTGGGAATACATCATTGTGCCAATTCATAAGAAAGATAGCACAACTGAATGTGGCAACTACAGGCCTACATGCCTATCCCAGGTGACCTACAAAATGTACACCACTTTATTACAAAACAGGTTAAGGCCACTGATAGAACTAGATACAGAATAAAAAAAAAAAAAGTATATATTACCAGATTTGCAACACAATTTTGTGGGAAAGAGAGAGGTAGGAAGGAATGTCAAACTCCATGCTATAAAACAGTCTATTTCCCTACATTATTATATGACAGCGAAAGATAGGTCAGCCAAGACAAGCACTTAAGCAGGATTACGGCTGCTGAATGAATTTTTTATGAAGAATTTTGGGAAAAACTAGGAGAGACAGAGTAAGGAATGAAAGAATAAGAGAAACTCCTGATACCCTCACTGAAAGCAACTATGGAATGGCGGCAACTTAGATTGTATGGTCACATGTGCAAAATGGGAGAAAGCAGAGTACCAAGGAAATGCATGGAAGTGAGGCCAACTGTCATGAGACCACGAGGCAGGCCTAGAAGAACATATCCAGCAACCAGATGAGAAAAGAGGGAAAACCCTAGATCAGATGAAGGAATTGGCAAGAGACGGAGATGTATGGTCAAAGTGGCTTGAGGCTCCTTCACGCTGAAAGGCACACAAGGAGGAAGAAGAAATATAGATACCATCAAGAGTCTAAATTTTCACTGATATAAACATTTTTGAAAAACCCTCAGCTCTTTTTATATGAATTTCCATTCAATCAATTATGCCTTCCATTCTCCCATAGATTGGATTCAGCAAAATGTTAATTGATTTGCATCCCACACAGATTTCTTTGGCACGTTAAATATATACCATCCTAATGGGTGTTTCCTCCAAAGCTTAAGTGATTAATAGCTAACACCATTGCCATAGCATAAACCACAGAGTAAAAAAACAACAAATGATTAAATGTAATTACAAATACTAAATCATAAGCTAATTCACAAATAAACTGATACCAACTACTTACAAGTGCAGCTAATCCTTCCAAAGCATAGGGAGAAATAGTAAAGTGGTCTTGTAATCTATTACAAAAAAATGTAACCATAAATAAACATTCCTTTTCCTGGAGTAATCTGGTTGGAATCAATTTCAGTACACTAGCAAGGAGAGATGTTCCCTGCTTCCTTTGATTTTTATCAGTATTTGTCAACCAAGGACCCAAAATCTCTACCAATTTAAGAACTGTCAAGTCACCTGTTTCAATCTCTGAAAATAGAAAAGGTAAAATATTACAATAAACCAATTACTAAAGTTTTAATAATTTCATAAAAAGTAATAAACATCCTACCAGCAACAACAGCATCGGTTAAATTAGTTAAGTCTTTACTATTTCGAAAAATATGAAGTAAATCCATGGCGGACATATCGACTTTAAAAATTAAATAGGAACATACTCCTGCTTAACTAAAACCTCTCAGAACACTTCAAAATTTTATCATTTTCGGGCTTGATAACTACAAAATAAAGAGGTAGAAATAAAATCGATTTTTTAAAATATAAGTTACATAAAGCAAATGTCTAATAAAATAAACACGATTTTCACTTACCTGTATATGCACTTTATAGCAAGGGAAAGTATTTTGATCTTAAAAATTTCCAAATCTGAGTTTCCAACGGAATTACACGTTTTGAAATACCCTGAGTCCAAATAACCAAGTCCCGCAAAATGGTCAGTATGTCTTTGTGTGTGTATGTTAGTAATCTAGTTCAAAAACGAAAATTCGTACGAAACTGATATTGCGTATTTAAGTTAGGTATATGCCGTAGTTGTGACAGCAACGATTTTCCTTAAAATCGACAAACCGGAAGTGCCACTTTATATCAACGCTGAAACATATTTTTACAATTTTCTCATGAAGGGCTCTAACGATTTTGATTAAACTCAGTGTATCATTGTATAATTAAGTGGTCTTTAATATCAATCAGGTTTTATCCCCATTGATGTCACTTTACAGAGCTTGAATGCCGAATGTTCATATACGTCTTACTCTAAAGTAACTTTAATGATTTATTTTCAATAATTAATCATCTCATATTATTAAGAGTTACTTAAACGTGCTAAACATAACTTTTGAAAAAAAAAAAAAAAGATAATTGAATAAAGAAGAAAAAAATAAAAATGCTTATTCAGGTCGAAAATGAATCTCCGGAAATACTAGTCAGAAGATATATATATTTTTTTCTCTCTGCAATACGGGTTGTAGCAGCAGTATGCGTATTCCACTGCTGGCAGTACAGGTCTGTTAAAATTTGTTACCATTATTGCTTATGAGGTGTAGACTTGTTTGTGAGCACAAGCCCACAAACCTCACTTTTCTTTTCTTTTCTCCATTCTTCACGTGAAGCCGGTCCTCGAAGCAGCTGCAGCTTGTCTTAGCTTCCTCCTCTTCTTCCAAGATTAAAATGCGTAGGGCCTACCGCATTTTTCTACCCGTATACGAACTCCTATGTGGGTAATTCTCTCTGCTCATTAGCGGGGGGAACATGCTCTGTCAGTGTATATATCCCCACCTCTCTCAGAAGCTTGGCTCTTAGTGCCTCATAGGAAGTACATTCGACTACCACATGTTCGGCACTCTTTGGAACGTTGCAGTTGGACATAGCGGATCAATTTTCTTCCAATGTTTAACGAGCTTCGCTCGGAAGTCCCCATGTCCCGTGAGGAGTTGAGATACCCAATAATCCGGGAGGACCCATCTTGCATCTAATCGTGACATGACCTTAAGGAAATACTTTCTTTGAGTAGCTCCCTTCGGAGTTGCCATCCATCGCCGGTTCCATTGATCAATTGTGTCCTCCTTGATAATTCTTTTCCATCTTCTTGGGTCTTCTTCAATTCTCATCTTTAGATGTTTCGGTAGATCTGCCGAACCTTTTCTTTTCATTTTAGAGGTAATAGTCTTCTCGGAGGAGGAGATCGAGAGGTGTCGAGAGGGTTTAATGCCAAGGTAGGTGACAACCTCACTTGGACGTATCCTTTCTTTATCTATTCTCAAAATAATCTGATGTGCCCTGTCAGTCACCCCTCAAGAGAATTAGCTGGGCCTTTGTTGCAGCCATCTTTAACTTCTTCCTCTCGCACCATCTTCCTACAAACTGGCGCATCGTTCAGCCTCTGCTTTCAGACCGGCTATGCTGTTTGAGGCCACCACGGCGGCCAAATCGTCAACATAGGCCGTGGCAGAGAACCGCTCCTCTTCGAGCTTCTCCAGCAACTCGTCAAAGATTAGCTTCCACAATGCAGGACCCAGAACAGATCCCTGCGGGCAGCCCCTCTCGACGGTGTCTTCTACTTCAAAGAATCTGCCCCTGATTTTCAATGTCCGGTCCTGGAGGTAGCTTCTCACTAGTTCGTACAGGTTACTGGGAGTTTCATACTTCTGGAGTTGCTGGAGAACGCACGGTCACCACACGCTGTCAAATGATATGTCGAACAGGAGAAGCATAACATTCCAGTACAAATAGGTCTTATTATAGTCATGTATATGAGTCTTTTGTAATTAATTGGAAGTTTAGAGCGTTTGTCCAGTCAGTGTTGGAGTAAGCGGAAACGTCGAGCAGTGTCATATCGTTTCAGTCTTGCATGAGGATGCCAAGTGAGACGTTTGTCCAGGTGAGTCCTAGGTATCGGATTTGTTCTACAGGGATAAGTGGGGTGTTATTAAAGGGTACTGTAGGAAAGTAAGTCATAGGTTTACGACGAAGGGTAAAGGTGATTTGATGGGATTTATTGGAATTTATTTTAATCCTCCAGTTTTGAAACCATTCTCCAAGATTTGTGATATGTGATTGAAGAGTTTGGGATGCAATTGATGGATCCTTATTAATTTATAGGATACATGTGCCATCAGCTTATGTGGTGATAACAGAGTTAGGATGGGTTGGAATATCAGCTGTATAAACTGTGTTAAGGATAGGACCAAGGATACTACCTTGAGGAATACCGAAAAGAGGGAGTTAGGCCCCATAACATTTATCTTTTCTTTATAACTTTTGGCAGCAGTAGTAAAAACCCTACAAAATAAAAAAAGAAGCAACAAAATCGGTTCAGTAGTTCCCGAGAAAATCTTGACACTGACAGACCAATGGCTAAAAATGTGTTTTTCGGACTCAAGGGGCTTTGAAACGTATAGATCCGTCGAAAACCGCATATCGGAAAATTTACCCGATTGCAATACTTTCCTTACCTAGTACAGGTAGGAATGTAATAAGTTAAAACATGTGCAAAAAATAGAATAAGCTGTATCATCACTAATACTGGTTTTGATGATTTTTCTTTTGTTTTGTTTGTAATTTAATCACCTTTCAAAAGTTTTATTATAAATTTTACCTTATAATATATACTTAAGGAGTTAGGCCCCATAACATTTTTCTTTTCTTTATAACTTTTTTTTCTGATTTATTTCGTGAATTTAGTCCATATACAAAAATTGAAAGGACAAAATATAACTTTTGAAAGAATTTGATAATTGAATATAGGAGAAAAAAGACAAATACATATCTAGGTCGGAAATACTAGTCAGAAGGTATAATACATAGTTGGAAAGCAGAGAATTGAAAAAAAAATTATCTAATATAGAAAATTGTAGAAAGTAACGGAGAGTGGCGATAAAAATATAAATGAAATTTTCTTACTAAATGTAAACTTTTAACAGAAAAAGTATTTAAAATCCAAGCATTCAAGACAATGACACTGTTTAAGATACTATTTCATTGTACTTGTGTGGAAGAAGTGAAATATAAAATATATTTCATGGATATGTTTTTAACCGTATCTCTTTTTTTTTTTTTTTTTTTTTTTTTTTTGTGTGTAAAGGGTCCTTTAAACAGAATATTTAACATAATTTATTCCTCTTTGCATAACTCTGCTAATGCAAAACACGAAAGGAGGTTATATTAGGTTATAGGTAAGCAGTAGGTTCTGTAGGCAAGGATAAACTTATAAGTTATTTAGAATCATTCACTCATTCAAAAACTGTTGTTAATTTATGTTACAAACAAATGTAAATTAAATCATTACTTTACAAATAGTGTAATGAGTCAAATAGTATTGAAATGCAGGCAGTGCAGGAAACAATTACTGGATAGCACTATTTCTCCTATTTTATCAGGTCACAATTCAGTTTTGGATGCAAAATCAATAATATATCCTTACTGTGATAATGACTGTGAGGATATAATTAATTCATTATACTTAGAAGAAACTAGTTTCCCAGAATGGATTCTTTCAAGTGTTGATGAGGTAGGTATAGTATTTGTTTTCAAGAGTCAATAAAATCAATTAATTTTTTTATTTTATCTTTTGTAAATATGCTTTTTATTATTATTACAGGCTGGATGGAAGAAGGGTAAAGTGAAATGCCCAAAATGTTCAGCAAGAGTCGGTTCATTTGATTTTGTCTCAGGAAGAAAATGTAAATGCAATGAAAATGTTTTACCCCCACTGCATCTAATAAAAAGCAAAGTTGACTTCCAGCTTATTGAAACATTAGATTAAATAATTGTTAAAATAATATATTTGTTTTTGTTACATAAAATTGTCACTTTATTTCTCTTTATACAATTATGGCTAGTGAAGAAAATATACTTCATTACCACTGCACCTTATAAAAAAACAAAGTTGACTAACATAATTATTGATCTGTAGTACAATATGATGACATCAAGTTGTAGAAATGAACTCTTCTGAATAGCAAAGATGGTTATTACACAATTCATTTTAAAAAACATTTAATTTATATAAAATCATCACTGTACAAGTCAAAATACATTTTAGGTGGTTCGAATACTGCAAATGTTAGCCATTGCAAAAATAATCTTAATTATAAGTTTGTAAAAAAGAAAGAAACAATTATGACTAATAATCATAGTATCAGTTTATGATTGCATACTCTTTCCATCACAAGCAACTATTTTTACTTTATCTACTTTAGCAACTTCTTGTACTTCTCGGAATTCAACATCATTTAACATGAAGGTCCACACATTATCACAGAATCGGTAAGTATTCAATTTCCCAGCCTGTAATCAAGAGAAAATTAGATAAAGTAAAGAAAACCAAAAATATAAATACAATAAACTAAGTTATTAATTAAGGTGAACTTAGCACAAAAAAAAAAGATAAAGATGAGAAAGGAGAGATAGACCTAGTTTTGTTATATCCCAAAGGAGGTAAGAGATTAGACAAACTTGTCTAACTAAGAAGATTTAATGGACTCACTATTAGAACTCAATACATTACATATAAAAATTTTATATATTTTATTTCATTTCTTATTTTCGTTTTTAAATTCATTACCTTTTTTTCTTCTACTTTTACTTAATTGACAAAGGTGAAACATACCTAAATTATAACATAACTTTGATGTAAGTGAAAATTATGTTAATGTATTTTGTAGATTTGTTTTTTTTATATACAGGGTGTTTCATAATTGTAGGGCACTATTTTTGGTATATGTTCACTAACACAAAATAAACAAAAAAGTTCATATTAACATAAATCTCAAACTCATTTATTAAACAGATATCAAAGGTTAAAGATTATTATTAAAGGTTAAAGATTTATTATTTATTATTATTACAACATTTAGAGTAACTGTTCAAAGGGGTGTCCGTTTTGTTGAATGCAACATTCAGCACGATGAATCCATGCTTCTCTGGCTCTTCTTATAGCATCAGGATGGTGCTTGATAGTTACTGCGGCTTCCATGGTCCGATTTCATCGGTCTTCTTGTGTGCCAACTGCCGCAGAATAAACCATAGACTTCATCCAGCCCCACACAAAATAATCTAATGGCGTTAAATCTCGAGATCGTGGTGGCCATTTAACATATCCGTTTTGACCAAACCATCAGTCTCCATAAGTTGCATTTAAATAATCAGTGACGCTATTAGAAAAGTGAGCTTGAGCACCGTCGTGCATTAACCACAGTCTTTGCCTAATACCTAGTAAGATACACCTGACAGTCTAGGGGGCAAAAGGAATGGGCCAATGATGTCGTCGCTTAGAAGACTACACCAGACATTTAAAGAAAAGGTATGTTGGTAATGTCCAACAGCAGTCGTATGAGGGTTTTCTTCAGCCCAACTATGGGTATTTCGAAAATTAACAATCCCGTTTCTTGTAAAGCAAGATTCATCAGTCACCAAAATGCAGTTCAGGAACTTAGGATCTCGTGTGCATTGACGAATTAACTACTGGGATAAATTTCTGCTCTTGTTATAATCTTGTAACAAATCTTGCCTACTCGATACGTGAAATGGATACAATTGTTGTTCGCACAAAGTTCGCCATACACTGGTAGAGGAAACATCAAAACAATGTGAACACACCTAAAATAGTTCCGTGCAATTACGAAACACCCTGTAGAGGACCATTGTTGGCAGAATCATTGTCACTGAATCCTTAAATAATCCAACCATTATTATTTAATTTTTAGCTGGCATTATAAAATGGTATGATAAAGTATTAATGAGATAAGTCTTATACTTTTTTAATGTTTAATTAATAGAAACTTTAATCTCAACATATATAGCACTTTTAATAGCAGTGTGATCTAACTGATAAAATCCTTTCAATTTTAAATCAAAAAAGGTATATAAATTTTGCTAGAAAAGGAAGCCAAAACAGAAAAAAAGAATATTTTTGTTTAAAGAATATATAAGAAGTCATGTAAATTATGAATAAGAATTGATTGAGACAGGTCATTGTTCCAATAAAGATGTAATATTTGGAGAAAGAGAGAGGGTAATAAAAATTTGTAAACTACGTACTAACAAAAAGAAATCTGGTGCACACACATACAACTTTCACTTACTACTCTACTTTGAATAAAAATAATTTTCTGGCAATGTTGAACTATTAAAAAATTGTTTAAATGCATCTTTAACCTAGCTAAAATGATCCATTGACTATGGATCGTACGTTTACTAAAATGGAATTATGAGATTTGCATTGCCTGTCATGGATAGGTCAGAAGTTGTCACATTAATTGTAAGTGGATACTGTTGGCATACCAGAAAGGGAAAATTCATCATATTATTTACTGATTTAATTATCTAGAAGTTTACACATTGATTTTTATAATTGTCTTAATTATACATTGATACAATGGAATCAATCATGAAGCACCATTTTCTAGAAAATTATAAAAATGTGTAAAATCGACTACATAAAGTTCCACTTCCGGTAAGCAGATTTTGACAAAACTTGCTGTAACATCCCACTTATATACAAACCTTAAATTTGCAATTTCACTTTCATATGACTTTTCTTTTTTGAGCTACTGTTCACATACATACATACTCACACACACAAGTAAAAATTGATCTGTACAAATTTCGTAAGACAGTAATTTTACACCTAAGAAACTTTTTCTTAATGCTGTCATCTTAATAAAATTTTAGCCATTTTTTTAGTTGATACTTAAATAGATTTTTTTAAAGTTTTATAGCAGCTGAGAAAAAACTTTGGTACTTTTCGTCTAGGGGGCCGCTACCGACTGCTATCTGCCAATGTTTATAACCTGAACACTGATAACTCCCATAACGCAGTGATAAGCCAATTTTTTTTCTTGGCCTGTTTAACATGTCATGTGGCAAATTCCATATTCTAAGAAGATCCATAATATGACGAAAAGAAACACAAACTAAAAAAAATGTAAAATAAACACAAATGGGCCAAAAACTAAAAATAATGAAAACTAAACACAAACGGGCCAAAAGTAAAGAATTTAATAAGTGAACGTAATAAGGGAATAACTGAAAACTAAACAATGCAATAACTGAAAGGTTTAACGGGATAAGAAGAGGGAGGTTATGTGACATGACATTAGATAAGAAGTGAGGTTTCAGTCCAGCCTGCTAGACAAAAAGTACCAAAACTTTTTACTTTCACTTACATAAAATGAAATGTATAGTGAAGGAAATAATTGTGATCTTGAAAAATTGTGAATCATAGTTTTTAACAGTAATACATGTTTTGAGGTCCTCTGAGTCCAAATAACCAAGTCTCACAAAACAGTCTGAGTGTAAGTGAACAAAGGAGCTCTAGCTCAAAAACGAAAAGTCTTATGAAACTAAACTTAGATATTTAATATACCTGGAATGTTACAACTTTTTCATTCAAAGTATAATTGGGTAACTGGAAGTGCATCTTTATATCATCAATTTTATATATTTGTACAACTACATTGAAATGAGTTTTCTCTAAGAATTAAACTTTTAAAAAAATGACCACTGTTGTTTCAAATCCAGATTTTCCTATTTCTACTAGATTTTATAAAAAAATAAATAATTAAAATAGACACCTTAAAAGTGAGTCTAGACTTCACTCTTGTTGCCAGCGCATTGTTAATACATTTGTCAAACTGTAAAAGAACCTTCATGGCAAGCTGTTGGGTAATCTGTCCATACTAAAATACAAACAAGTATATAAAATATAAGACAATAGTAATGTGACAAAAATATAAATTAATGGAGAGGTTCATAAAATTGCAAATGTTTTTGAGCAATATACCAATTAGAGCTTTCAAGGGATAAATTATTTTGAATTTTCCATTGAATCATTTCTTTTTTTCATTTGTTATATAAAAATTAATAATATAATCATATTTATATTTCATCAAAATTATTATTATATTAATTGATTGAGGATTTTAATTGAAACAGTCAATAACGTACGCCAAAATGAATGCTCAAATAATAGTTTAAAAAGAGTTTGAATTGTTTACTAATAGAAGTAGCAATTTCCACTTCTGTCTGAAACTTAAGTTTCAGATGTCGCTTGGCTATACTGGCTCTATTTTGTTAAATAAAGTTTTTACTGACAAAAATGTAGTGCAAAGTTTTATTAAACAAACTGAACATCTCAGGGGAACTGAATGAGGGATAAATTAATTTTTACAATCATTAAGCAAACTCCTTATTTCTTTTGAGAAAAGTAAAATTAAAGCACCATTTGGCACTAATATAATTTAATATATATTTTTTATTTCGTATTTCGTATTGAATGACTTTTCATTCATTTCAAGTAAAAATATGTTGTGAGTATGTAAAGGAGTGTATATAAAGATGATTGTTAATACTCCTCTAATGTCAAGCATGAAAATGATATTGAAACTAACTGCCATGTTGGAGTAGTGATTCAGAACTGGTACACCTTTAAATTTTAAAATAAAAAAAAAATACTCTTAATTGCATACATCCTCCCAAAAAAGAAAATAATGAAAACAGAACTGTAACAAAAGAGAGTTAATCCAACTTACTTGTAATAGCTCGTCAAGGCTTTCTTGAAGAGTATTGCCTAGAGTTGTATTTCTATATAACTGATAAGTCATGATCAATAAGCTATTCCAATTCCAACTTTTGAAAATCAACAACACCGGCAAACCTTGGCTATAACCAGAACGAAGTAATCCCACAGCTGATAGTGCAATGCCTACAACATTTTTAATCAACAACATATGATACCAATATAAATATATATATCATAATCCATTTTGCCACTATAAAACAATTTTTAAATTTATCTTAGTACTGGTGGTATATTTTTTCAAGATGTTCTTGTAAGTTCTGTGAAACGATTTCTTTTAATTTTATGATTAAATCCAAAATGAAGAAATATATTGAACTATTTTTAAATTTGAAAGACATTGCTAATCTTTAACTATCAGTCATGAAGATAAAATAGTTTATTCAATAAATAGCTACTAACCACACAAATATGGAAACCTGAATCCTTCTTTAGGGTAGGTTATGGTAAGCTGAGGGGTAATAAGATGTGAAAATGGTGAAGTACTATGAAAGTAAAACTATTTTCCATTTTACTTGGGACCAGGTAGCTCAAGGTTTTTGGAAGAAATATCCGAATCCCGAAAGGTATAATTATATTATATCAAAATATAATTTGATTTAGGAGTATTCAATTTTACTGTTACTGTTCCAATGAAAGCTATATACTTAATTTTTTTTCAAATTTAAGGCTAAGTAAACATTTTTCCTGATCATTTTATAATTCAAGTGGTAATTTTTTTAATGGTATTCAATAAAACTACAATATATGTTTTATTTATATTTTGTTCACTGTTTGTCTAAACTGCTTTAGTTTTGATATTTCTCATTGTTATTCTTTAAAAAAAACATGAAGTTTGAATGAATAATTAACTTGATTGTTCATTTTTTTTTTTTTTTTGATAAATTGATAAAGTATTAAATTTCCTTTAGAATGTTTAAGTAATCGACTAAACAATTATAAGGATGAAACAGATTTGTCATGAATTTCAGTCGAGCTATTTTTATTGGGTTAGCCGACATTTCGAACCAAACATGTGGGTCAACCTTAGAGCTGTCATTCTAAATTCAAGACAAGTCCCTGAAGTTTTTGTCTCGACTTCTGAACCGAGGATGACCCACATGTTCTGGTCGAAACGTCGGCTAACGCAATAAAATATCTTGGCTGAAATTCCTGACAATTTTGTTTTAGCTATATTGAAATAACTCTTAATCTATTTATTCTAACAACATCAACTTTTCATTCTTTGATTTTTGGACCAAGCAATTTATGTTTCTTAGACGTTTTGCTTGTCTTCAATTTTTTTTAGTAAATTTGTTTTAATACTACTCAGCCATAGCTCTTGCCTACAACCATATCTATACCCAAAAACAGGTCCTTCTCAGATTTGAGAGGAAGATGTTAACAAAAATATATGGTGGCATTTATGAACATCACAAATGTAGGAGGAACAATCCTAAATTAAGAACTCGATATGGAGATCTTTACATGTGTGCCTTAATTAAGTTCTCATGGCGTTGGGCAAGCCATGTTGCTAGGATTTTATTTTGTACACTCAAGGTCATTAATATTGGGTCATTTCATATGAAATATCAGCTTTCATAGAAAAGGTTATTCAGTAAAACAACTTTATGAAATCAAAACATTTTCATTCAAAATATTTACCCTCATTTTCTATATATTTTCCCCAACTTGTTATCAACTTTTCAATTCCAGAACTAAAAAAACTCAAGGTTCGTTGAAAAATGAAGTCAGAAAACACATTATTACATGAGAATCATATTAAAAAATTTTATCTTTCAGGAAGTTGTCCAAATTTCTGATCAGATAGAAATCTGTTGGAGATAAGGCGAGTGTGGTAGGACTTCATTACACAGCTCGTTTAGTTTCTTCTGTCTGTTGTGAAACATGAGGTCTTGCATTCTCGTGTAAGATTATATGTTCCTTTCGATTAACCAATGCAGGTTGTTTTTGACAAGTTTTTAATGCATTATGTCAAAACACTGCAATATAATTTGGATAAGATGGGTTCATTTCTGGGTAAATACGAGAAATGAATTCTTATCATTGACCACCACACAGATACCCATAATTTTTTGGATTCAGTTTGACTAATTGATTGATTTAACACAACAAAAATATTTGATGTAAGTTGGTTTGTAAAGTTATTTATTATTGGCTCAACTGTCTGCCTGACTCAATACTTCTATAACTTTGTCCATAAATCTTATCAGGTCTACCATTGCTTTTAACGACTCCCCAATATATAGTGAATCCACCTAAGAGTAATGAATTTGAATAAATTGTACTATAATTGTTATTATATACAACCATTGATGGTTTTGGACATTTGGCACCCTTACCCTCTGCTCATAGTATCATGCTTCAGTAGTATTACCATAAAATAATATGGATTTTGTTAGCAATCAATGCCTTACTCCAGGAGTCCCCAACCGATAGCTCGCGGTCACCACTGCGTCTGCGTGATGTCACTCTTGCCTGCAGGCAAACTTGTCAATAAATAAATAAATTAATAAAGAACCATTGTTTATATATACTTTTTTGTATTTATTGAGTTCTGCTATCACTTCTTTCAATATTTCCCTCTACTAACGATACACTATGTGTATGGGTTTAGACATGTAAAAAACTAAATTGCTAACTCAGGTTACCAAGAGAAAACCTTTTGCTGTAAAAAAATCCAGATTTATCTGATCTTTTTAGTTCTTGTATTACTACTAAACAGTGCATCCAAGCGAAAAACTTATTCTTTACAGAATTAAAGAACGCCAAATTGTGCGTCGAATGAGTATCTAAACTTTAATAATTTGATTAAGTGATATGATCACATTGTCAAAATCTGAGAAAAATTCCTATAAATGGTCCTGCAGCTTGGAAATGAGTTCTCTAAGAAGAAAAAAACTCAGAATAATTTCAGATTCCGATCAAATCGAAGATCATATAATTAGTACCTTCCTTCATGAAAACATTCCCAACAGCAGCTATTTTAAGAAAAGAACAACACTTTTTACTATACAAATGAGAAATATACAAATTATTATCCTGACCAGTTTTATGAATCCCATGGATTCTTCGAGGAGACTATAGTAGTAGTAGGTTGGACTGCATCCGGATCTATTGGAAAGGAATAAAAACTGAGTCTGGTAGATAACTCGTGTTTCTTTGTATTCCTGTTGGCCATGATAGGGTATAGATCACGTCTGCGACTCTCTGTGATTAAAGTAGTCGGTACGGTTAAAATCTGTTGTAGTGGTATATTTGACATCAAATTTTATGATATTGTTTATAAAGTAGGAAAAAATTGGCTTATATTGACCTCTTACTAAATGCTATGCTTCAAGTAATAAATACTTCTTAAATGAACGAAGTAGCAATAGAAGTTTTATAAAATAATTATAAACACTCAACAAAATGACAATAGAAACCACACTTCAATCAATAATGATGGAAATTCGTAATAACAGTATAAAACTAAAATAATAAAAGAAGCCGTTGAAAAAATGAATACTCTTCTTGAAAATGTTTTATCAGAACTGGAATATTTAGATTAAGAATAAGACAGCTGAGCTTGAAAAGATAAACCAGCATTTAAAAGAAAGAATAAAATAAAATAATTGGAGAATAAAGATAGAAAAATAATCTAATACTATTTAATATGTCTGAAAAGGATGACTCTAATGCAGAAAATATATTAGGTGTTCCGAAATCAATATTTTTAAGTGTGCGGATTGAATTGCCAGAAACCTCAATAAATAACTGTTATAGGTTGAGTAAAAAGTCTAATGATAAAACGATACCACCATGAGAACATCTTAATTTCTCTAAGTAGTTACCTATTAAAACAAGAATTGAAAAAAAAAAAAAAAAAGGAAACGTTCAGAGAAGATTAAAATTTTATCAAACATGATAAAACATCCGAGCAAAGAGAAGAAGAAAAACAAATTTACATCTACCTCAATAGACTAGTTAAGTTCGACTGTACTGTGATTTACGAAAATAAGTTTTTCTATATAAATCAAAATAAATTCCATATATCAGATATCAAAGACCTTTTGGTAAGTATTGGTGAAGGTAGACTGTCACTGAATTCATCGCCAGCCTATGGTTATTCGGAGATTTATAACCTTCTGTTAGAAAATAGTAATAAAAATCTTAACTGGTGATTTCAACGGTCACTTAGGTGCATCCCAACAAATTACAAAACATATATTAAATGGGAAAACAATAATTAAATATAAGCATAGAAATAGTAAAGATCGATCAACAGATAAAAAGAGAAAAAATACTAGAATTGTTCACGATTTCTGGTTTAATTGTGCTTAATGGTAGAACAGAAACTTGGCAAATTCACATATATTGGTAAGAGAGGTCAGTCAGTGATTAATAAGTGTTCTATAGAAAATATTATACCTATTATAAAATATTTTAAGATAAAACCGCAAATATTTTCAGACCATTTGCCCCTAGTAACCTATTTGGAATTGAATAAAGGACAAAAACAGTCAATAAGACATGCTAAATTATTACCAAAATTAAGGTGGTAAGAAAAAAACAAGATAAAGTATCATAAAAAATTAGAAAATAGTGTCTAAAAAATAAACATTTCTATAGATTCGCCTATTGATACGATCAAACATTACAAAACTAATTTAAACTGCTGCAGGAAATTCCAATTATCAAAACAATAACTTTGAAACTAATAAAAATAAGTGCTATGATAAAAAATGAGGCAAAAGTAGAAGAATAGTGTTTAGGCTATTAAATACTTATCGTAAAACAAATGATATAGATGACAAATTAGTTTAAATTGATGCAAATAAAAAATATAAAGACCTATGTGAGAAAAAAAGAAAAGAATATATGGAAAATATTATTAAAAAACTTCTATCTGTTACTAATACAAAACAATTCTGGGAACTTGTAAATAAATTTAGGTACACAAAATTTAACATTTGAAGAAAATATTTCATGTGAGGAAAGGATTAGGCAATTTTGTATAATAACCTTTTAACGGAGCAATCTATTCAATACGCTGCACCCTTAGTTGAAAACGTTACTTTAGATAATCCTGGCAGAGCTAAATAAAGTTTTGCATAAGACTAAGGTAAATAAAACACCAGGTACTGACCGTATTCCAGTTGAGTTTTATAAATATGCACCAATAAATTTTTTGCAGTGCTTGTTAAATACATTTAATAAATTTTTTAATTCAGTTCAAATATCCAATAGTTTTAAAAGTTCAATTATATTTCCCATACATAAATCAGGTAATATTAATAACATTATGAATTATAGGGGCATATCATTCAACACCTCGATTGAGGAAATTTTTACAGGGCTGATAAACCTAAGATTAATAAATTGGGCAAATGAATTTAATATAATAAGTGAATGGCAGGCATTTTTCCATGAAAATTATTCAACCATTGGTAATATATTTAAACTCATTAATATTGTAACTTTGAATTTAAATATTAAAAGGAGGATTCTATTCTTTATAGATTTCTCATCAGCATTTGACAATGTGGACAGAAATACACTTTTTTATAAATTATATGAAGTAGAAGTTTCCTCAAAGATTATAAATTTAATAAATGCATTGTATGATGATACTGAAGGCTCATTATGGATAGGAAATGCCATTAACGAACAGTTTTAAAACAGAGAGAGGACTAAAACAGGGATGTATTACGAGTCCATTTTTGTTTTTCTACTATTTCAATGATTTGGAAAATTATTTGGGGGGATTATCTATTAATAATAAAATAATTAAAATGTTAGCATATGCAAATGATATTGTAATTTTGGCTACAAGCACCGCAGTACTTCAAGAGATGATAAATAATTCGGAAATATATTGTGGGACTTAGAATTTAAATATAAATTTAAATAAATCTAAAATTATGGTATTTAGAAAAGTATGGAAACTGGCGAAAAATGGAAATTTAATAACCAAACTATACACATAGTAAACTGTTATAAGTATTTAGGGATATTATTAATGCTAAACATATCAATGAGTAAGCATTTTCAACGAAAAGTTTCTAAAACAATGGTCAGTATCAATCTATTATGGAAGAAGCTCTTTACTTATAATAAAATAAATTTGAATGCAAAACTTAAAAGTTTTCAAAGCTGCAATTTAATCAATCAGTGGTTATGGCGCACGGGTGTGGGGAGGTTGTGAATATAAAGAAATTGAAAAAGTTCAGTCCTATTTTATTAAAAAAATATTAAATTTACCCCGATATACACCTGCATATATTATTCATATAGAATCTTAATTAACACTGTTGTATTTTGAAAATATAAAAGTGTGCCATAATTATATATGTAGAGTTATACAGTATTCGGATAATAGTGAAAGAAATAATTAAAAAGGAAATAGGCTGGTTTAAAGATGTAAAACGTTTAACAAATTAATACCAAATAGATTTCGATTTTAATAACACAAATAAATGGAATGTGCCTTTTCAGAAAAAAAGAGAAAAAATGACAATAGAATTAGAAAATAGGTTCAAAACCTTAGTGAAAAATTCAAATAGAACTACCTACTATATACAAAAGCCTGAATCATGATGTATCAGGAAATAATTATTTCGATAAGAATTATAATGAAACAATAATAAAATGGATATTTAAGGCCAGAGGAGAACTAATACAATTAAACTGTTGGGTGTAATATGAAACTAATAATAAATTATGCTCATTATGCAATAGAAATGAAATAGAAAATATCATGCATTTCTTTAGCATATGTCCTGTTCTGGCTGAACTTCAGAGAAAATATTTCGGGAAAGATATCTTGACTTTTGTGGAAATAATTGCTTATTTAAACTGCAAACATTGGGTAAGTCTTTCCAATTATTGTAAAGTAGCCTGGCATTACAGATATGCCTTATGTCAAAAATTTAATTATTAGTTGATTAATAACGTTCAGCCGGAAGAATTATTTATGCAATTATATTGAAATATCTATATTAAACATGTTTATGTATTTATATATTATAATGGTATTCTATTTATATTTGTGATATGATTTGATGTATTGTATTTCTGTATTTATTAGCGACATTGTAGATTTTAATATATAATATTGTATTGATAATACAATATTATCATGGCTTGTTTGCCAAAGCCATGATAGCATCTGGCTGACGGTTTCAAGAACCAAGCCATAAATATTTTTATTGAGCTTGGATACTTTTGTTGTTTGTGTAGTTACATAAATATTCAATGAAAATTCATTCATTCAAAGAGTGTGGGGCTCAAACCAGATCCTTGCGGAGCTCCCTGGCTAAAAGTTCTGGAGCTTGAACATTGTATCTTACATTGGAAAAGCTCTGGAATAAGAAGAAACATATGGCTTGGTACATTTTTCCACTTATAATTCATTTTGAGGAGCTTATTTAGAAGGACTTTCCTGCAGACTCTGTTAAAAGCAGCTTTAAAATCAACATATACTGCAAGAGTATGTTGTTTGCGCTGGAATCCATCTTTTATGTCCTCACTAAAACGAGCCACCTGCTCAGTTGTACATCTGTGCTTCCAGAACTTGTTTGCTTTGACGGCATCTTATTTTCTCTATCCAAATATATCTGCAACCGGGCTAAGACCATTCTCTCATAGAGCTTACAAAAGACACTTGTGAGCGATATAGGTCGGTAGTTAGATGGACAGGAGGAACATTTGCCTTTCTTGAGACTTGGGAATTGGGACCACCTCAGCCTTCCTCCAAGCACTAGGATATTGCGACCTCCGCAGAGTATTGATAAAATCTAGCACAGTGAACTTGGCTTTTGCATACAGGAGAATAAGGAACTCTGGTAATATATCATCAGGGCCACTGCTTTTTCCCTTCTTTGTTTGTGCCAGAGCAAGTTCAAGCTCTTCTTTACTGTAGTCGTCTTCAAAGAGTTGGCTTTCAGAAGAATTCAGACATAGGATTGGTGGCGTGATATTAATTTTCTTATTTCCTTCTGTTGGTTTATAGTTAGAGGTCCTGGCAAAGAATTTACAAAAGCTCCTTGCTTTAGAAAGTCCAGAATATATCTTATTATTATTGAACTTACGAGTGTTGTTCCTTGGGTCTTTTCCACCATTTTTGAGATAAATCTATGTGCTTTTACCCCCATCTCTTCAAAAGTTCAGACTAGCCAAATAATCTCTGAAAGCTTTTCTTTTGGCTTGAATTATTGTACTTTAGTGTTGCTGTAAGTTTTCCTTATCTTTACAATTTTTTTATGTATTTGTATTAGATATTTTAAATAGCAATATTTACTTCCACTTACCCATATATGAAATATATAGCAAGTGAAAGTATTATGAGGAATTTTGGATCTAAATTTTCAATGAAAATATATGTTTTAAAGTCCCCTATCTCCAAATAACCAAGAGTAGCAAAAAGGTCTGTTTGTATATGTGAATATTCTATCTTAAAAATGAAAAGTCATATAAATCTGAAATTATGTATATAATATTATATGCCTGGGATGTTGCAGCAACGTTTTTGTTAAAACTTATCGAAAGTGACTCTTTGTACCATTGATTTAACACAGATTAACAGTTTTTTTCAAAAATAATCACAGCCATTTAGATAAACTTGTTTTGCCAAGTTACAATTAAGTGGTTTTTAAAATCAGGTAAAAATTAAGGATAATCAAGGTCAGCTTGTAACGGCAGAGAAGGAAATTGTGGAGATATGGCGGAAACACTATGAGAAAAAATTCATTGGAGGAGTACAAAAGTGACCGGATAGTGAATAGAAGACACCGCTAGTGTACAGCCTGAGGATATGGATGACACAATCCAAGAAGAAGACGTGGAAGATGCAGTGGCGCATATCAAGCTTGGAAAAGCTGCAGGAATAGATGGCTTAACACCAGAACTTTTAGAGTTTGGGAGACCAGTGTTGGTGAAAGCATTACAGAACCTGTTTCAGAGGGTATGGCACTCTGGGACTATACCTGAGGAATGGGAAAAATTTTAATTATACCTGTATACAAGAAGGGAGACCAGACCCTATGTGAAAACTACAGGCCTCTCTTTGGTGGTGTATAAGGTGTACACAAGAATCCTGGGTAAGTGGCTGAGAGCATATGTCGAACCTAACATGGAAGAAGAACAAGCTGCTTTCCGCCCTTCAAGACAAATCCTGGAACGATAACGAAATGTTTTCCTTGCCTTCTTAGTCATCAGAGCGGCCTTTGACTTGGTCCCCAGACAGGAGAAGAAGATATCACCGAACCTCATTAGTGCCATTAAATCAGCTTACCAGGATCCTAAAGGCGTAGTTAGATTGAATGGAATGAAGTCTACTCCATTCAGATTTTTTAAAGAAGTCAAGCAAGGAGATATCCTCAGTCCACTTATGTTTAACATTGTCATGGACGAGGTGTTGAAAGTATGCAAGCGAAGAACACCCAGAGCAATCGTTGGATATTGGAATATGCTGCCCATCCAGGCCCAGTGCTTCGTTTAATTGACGAGCGTAGAGCTAGGTGGCTGATGGAGGCCAGACCGAGGGGGCAGTGACCTGTTTGACTCCCGAGAATCATATATAATGGTTATATTGATTGACTCGGACGAGAGTGGGTGATCGACCCTGTAGGAGATGAAGAGGGAGGAAGGCCCAAAATAGGGATATATACCGAATGTGGGCCGAGACTACTCCATGCTTAACAGCACAAAGGAAAAGGAGATAGAGAAAGAAGAAGAAATAATTAAAGGTCTCTCATTGTTAGTAATAATACCCATTGAGGTCATGATGGCCAAGCATCTTAGAACACTGCCCCGCTTTAACCAGTTACACCCTGCCTGAGAAAGTTTAATTTTATTTTATAGCAGGTGCGCAGAATGAGTCAATCTTCCAACTCTAGTTAGAATAGATTTGGTTGTACCTTTAAAACTCAGAAAATTTTATCAGTGATAGTATGATCATATTAACTAATATCAAAATTAAAACATTTACATATATATATATCACTAATAATATGTCTCATTATTTGTTTCAGTACACATGTTCTTTCAGAGGACACTATATTCAGAGAAATAAAGGATAATAAGCTTTTTTCAAGACGCTTGTTGACTAAAACTAACAGAGTTCCAAAATGGGGTGAGCGATTTATTGGAAGCCCAGTTGTGAGGATTGTTGAAGAATCAGTTGTTGATCCTAAAAGTAAAACTCTGACAACATACACAAGAAATATTGGCTATACCAAAGTCATGGTAGTATTATTCAGTTTATATCTCTATAATTTTGCTTATAAATAAAGTGTTGTGATTAAATTGGAACCAACCATAAACTTGATATCAGTTTTGATAAATTTTTATTTATTGAGTTATAATTTTTATTTATTATATATCAGTTTATAGATTAATAAAAAGTAACCCATCATATATTGTTTGCTGTAAAGTAGGGCAGCTCAGTGGGCTAAGACAATAGACCTCCTAACACAGGCTATCTGGCTGTGGGAGTTAATTTATTTCAAGAACTGGGATACCATCTTGAGGTATATCTAGCCTCTAGAAAGTGGATGCTTCTTGTGGCCCTTTATTTGGTTTTCAGGAAAATCTGGCGATTAGGTATGGGTACTAACCACATCAGCTCTTGATATACTAGTAGAGAATCAGTAAATCCTTCAAGTCTCTTCATGGGTTATGATTTTATCTTTTCTTCTCCTTTCCTGCTTTTGTTGCAGTAAATTAAATAAATGCCATCCTTGTTAAAGGTGCTCATTCTTTGGTTTTTTTTTTTTTCTGGTCCAGAGGAGAGAGTAAGGGAGTTGAAAGTTCCCGGCACCGGGATTTGAACTTCTCAACTTCAGTTTATCACAGGTTACTTTGGGCAGCGCATGTTTTGCACACACAATAGTCTGCTTGGCTACCCAAACAGATAGGTTCTACTTCTTGAAATTTGTTACAGAATATTTTTATATTCACCTTTAGTTGTTTAAAAAATTATGTTATTAGATATTCTGCTATCCCGAAGTGCCTATGTTTTCAAAAAAAATAACTGCTATAAATTATTACAAAGCAATAATTCTAATTGTAATAAGCTTCTATAAATTATTACAAAGCAATAATTTATTTTACTATGACCTGAGATGTATTATAATAAATTAATTACAAAAATTCACTGTTTATTTAATAAAAAATATGAATGCTGCTTTTCTAAAAATTTATCATCTCAAGTGATAAATGCACCATTGTTTTTACACAGACTTCTATTATGGGAATTGATCCTTCTTGTATTAAGTAACTAACTAAATCTTCCTAATCCTAATATTTGCATTTTTGTGAAAATAATTCAAGGTAATTGATGGTTTTATTTTTTTTTATTAATGTTAATTTCCACCAATAAGATATTGGTATTGATGTCCAGTTGGTAATGAAAGCTCTATTTGGATACAATATTGAAACATTTTGAAATTCAAGGAAGAAAACCCAATTTTCATTTGAAAATATTTTTTCCAAAGAAGTAAGATCTAGATAAAATATGATATTTTATTTCAGATACGAGCTTTCATTACTAACAGGACATCAATACGAATAGAAATTAATATATTATTATGATTAATTAACAGTATTTAGCAATTCTTAAATATTGGGAAATTATATAAAGTAAATATTTTCTTAGCTGATTCATAATTTTTCTCTCACATAATTTCTTAATATCCATATAGAATATTCAGTTACAACCAATTAATATTGGTTGACAATCTTCTTCAAAGGTTTAAGGTGGGTTTACACATTTCCTTTACCCTGTAAACATCAATATAAACAAACTCTTGCTAATATATATATATATATATATATATATATATATATATATATATATATATATGAAATGAGTGGCATTTACCATTTATTTTCCAGAAAAATATTTTTATTTTAAAACAAAAAAAAAACAATTGAAAGTCTTTTAAAAACACTAATATGTGTTGAGTGTTAATTTTTGCTAGCACCTGTGTCGTGCTTTCTGCAAGTCCCCTTTTATTTTTATACTAAAACCAACAGTAGACCAGATTAACCATGAACAAAGGGAAACATACATGACCCAAACCGAAATAGATCATTTCATGCTAGTGCTCGCTATGCTTTGGCAATGTGTAAAAACATCTTTATTTATTATGATCACCATCTGGGTATTATATGTGATTTAAAACATTTTGTTTAACTGTATCAATATCAAAAAACTGTTTTTATGTAATGGTATTATATTTAATTGATGGTTGTGTTAAATTTTAGAGCTTAGTAGAAAAAGTTGTTTACCGTCCATCTGAAGAAAATCCCGAATGGACTGTTGCTGAAAGGTCAGCCTGGGTTGATTCTAAGGTAATGGGATTCGGGCTTGCTATTCAAGCATTTGGCATTGAAAGGTTCAAGAAAAACTGTTCAAAAATGGTACAAGGCTTTAACTTTGTTCTCTCCGCTATGTTCCCCCAGCCAGCATCTCTTACTGCTCAACACCAAATTCATCAACAACCTCAATCTAAGTTCAAAGATGCTGCGAAAAAAGCATCAGAACTTGCAAAAGCTAAAGCCAATAGCTTGTATGCTACCTGTGAACCATCATAATTCTCTAGTAAAGATTTTTTTTAAAGTGCTATTTGTAGCTATTTATTTTAGAAAGATAGAATAGATTTTCCAAATCAAAATTTCATTGACTAATATATCTGTGTTCATGTAAGATAAGAATGTTTGGCAAGGTATTACAATGACCGTAGTTAAATGTTTGACTCTAATAGATTTATAATACCTTATCCTTTGATGAGTATTATTTCTCAATTTCAGATAGTGAGTTATTTTAAAAAATTTGTAAAATAGGCAAATATAACAGATATAAAAAAATTGAGTTAAAATGAAGGTAATATATATGGTGTTCAGAAAAAACAAAGTTGCTCTAATGTTTCAGATGAGCAATAAATAATATTGGAATATTGATTGTAATTATTCACGACACGAAATAAAAAATGTTTTCAACACATTAGTTTTCAATAGATTTTGACTGATAGTATAAACTAGGATAAGATTTCAAAGCATTAATGTTTTCCTTTTGAATAAATGTGAGCTACTAAGTTTTTACTGAAATCGAGCTGTATGTTAGCATTAAAGAGAAAATGTTTGTTAATTTTTAATATTGTATTTCACTGGCCTAGCCTATATCTTATAAGAGCACAGATAGTAAGTTATTTCGGTATACATTAAGACAATTAATAATTTTTAAATACATTATTTTCTGATTGGTAACAATAATTTCTTTAAAAAATAAAACGTAGTTCTTATTATTTCACTAGGTAATTTTTAAGATCATATATTCATTAAAGGTGGATGGAAACTAATAATTGTCTTAAATTAAAAATTAAGTATGATTTATTTTATTATCAAATTGTTCCATGGCAATACCTTTTTTAATGAAATAGTTTTGGAACAAAATTGTAGAAGTTATTCAAAATAGACTATTTCATCCCATTTCCATATAGATATGGTAAAATCTTTTACATATGAAATCTGCTAGAATGTATAAATTGATTGTTACTTATCAATTTTCATTAAGTAATGTGATTGTAAATTGAAAGCAATTATCTACCCCTATTTTCAATTGTATGATTTATTCTTAATAATTCATAACAATTTATATTTTGGATGTTTTACAATTTCAAAAATTTGGCCTGAAATGGTATCATTCCTAAAATGGGTTTAAAACCTGCAAAATGATTGTTTTTTTATTATTTTTTTATTTTAATAATTATTACGAATTGCATTTAGATTAATTGAGGTTATTTGTTGAATTTATGATTGCTTCTTCATTTCATATTTTGTTGTATTGAAATATTCTTGTAAACATTGAATATGACTTAAATATTTCTTAGCTGTTGTCTTTTAAATTTACTTGATAAATTGACATTACACTTTAATTAACACTTTTCTGAAAGCCATTTATAAATTTCCTGTTCCTTTCTTTTTTATTTAATATCTATGATTAGCACAAAATTTAATCAATGTTCCTATCTTGCCATCATTCCATCCATGGCTTTTATAGAAATGATTTATTGTTTTTTATTCCACTGAAAAATAGTGATATTAGAAGTAAGGATATCGATCCCCTTAAGATTTTTTTTTTACTTCTAAGAGATCATGTTATATTACTGTACAAATTTAATATATTTATCTTATTTAAGACTTTCTTCAGTCTTAATCACAGTACCAATTTAAATTTAAAAAATGATAAAAGTAATACAGTGTAATAAATTAATAATTTATTTCTCTGTAATGAAAAGAATTTATTTCTTCTCAAGATTTTATATATATTGTGGAAACTTAGCCTATTATAATATTTTACAAATAATTTTTTTTGTTACTTGCTAATGAAATATAAAATAATTGTTTGTTTGTGTTTTTTTTTATTTATTATGTGTGCAACTTTTATCTTAAAAATATCATTAGAATGTATTGTATATTTACAATAATTTGCAAAAGAAGTGGATTATTAGAATAACTCATCACAAAGATTTGATGATTCAACATTTTCCTACTATGACATCTCCTGACTATTTATAGCAGCCCAGGATCACCCATTGGTGTCCAGAAGAGTATTGTTAAGGTGCAACTTGAGCCTACATAGCCCTTTAGCCAAGACCTCAAAAAGTTCCTCACCATAGGTTTAAGAAACAAAATTTAACAGATGGAAATAATGTCTACCTATGTTTAAGGTGACCAGATGTCCTGCTTTTGGTGGGACAGTCCCGATTTATAATAATTTGTCCCATGTCCCACAGTGTTTTAAAAATTCCTGATTTTTGAAAAGAACATACTAGCTAGGAACGGGAAAAGAATATACAGTTTTCGTCTGCCGTGTGGCTATTTTGCCAGGATATGAGTTTTGTATTATTTTTGTTGATTTTAAAATGTAAACTTTAATAACAATGAATAATTGTTAAGAAATGTTTAAAGAAGTTCGCATTGTTGATCAGTAGTTGGAATTCAACCACTATTGTTTGAACTTAATAAGCAACCCAAGAATGATATTTTTAATAAGATATTGTTATTAAAAAAATATATTATTAGGAAAAGATTAAATCTTTGGCATCAGGGAATTAACTTAATTTGCTACTTTGATTAGCTAAATTTTGTCATCTTCAATAAGTTTTCACAAGAAATTAGTCGGGGTGGGGTTATAAAAATTACTATATGTTATTACCATCCTCTCATTCAGCGCCCCTGAGAAATATCTCTCTCCCCCCTAAAAAATTAAATTTATTTCTTAAGCTGTTTTATATTATGTAATATTTGAATTTTATTTAACATTTTTTTAATAGAAGTGCTTTATTGATAAGCTCAAATTAATTATTTTAATACATTTCGTATTTTTTTTTTTAATTTCAAACAATTGGCAAGAACCTCAGGGCAATTGGCTCAAGTGCTCCCACTGTTGATTGATGAACGACAGAAGCTGATAAAGCTTTTTATTTTTAATTGTTTATATTTTGGTTTTACTGGTTTTGTATTGACATCCTTACTAAATTTTATATTTTTGTTTTTTTTCTTGATTTTTAAATATAATTCTATAATGAAAATTTTTTGGTTAGCTAAATTCATATATTTGAGTAATTGAATAACATCACTCCACATTTCCGAGAAAATATAAAGAATAAAATCCATTGTTTTTTTCTATTTTGCTTAGTTCTTTTACATATAATTTAATAAATCTAGAGCTTACAAATTTAATCTAAAAATAACAAAACACCTAAACTTCAATAATAATTAGTAAAAAGTATTATAATGATGCCAATCAGAAATGGGAATTGTTTTCTTGGACCAATACAAGAGATACGCATATTACCCAGTATTACCTAGAGTTTAAGTGGCTCTATCCTATCGCCGTCAGTACTTCCTAACTTTTTTTATTATTTATTATTATTGGATAACCCTCTACCCACCATTTCTGGCATATGGGAGAGAGTTGTTCTAGAGGTACAACCAAACCTATTCTAGCCAGAGTGGAAAGGTCGAGTTTCATTCCATGGGTCCACCACGAAATAAAAGTCAACCATTCCTAGGCTAGGCACGAGGATGCTAAAACGGGCAATGCTCCAACACACTTAGCCATCATGACGTCCAGTACTTCCTAACTACCTTTCTGTACCAGGTCATTTTAACTCATCGACCCTCCTATATTGTCACAGCTCACAATTTAAATACTCCATCCAATCCTGTCCCACTAAATCTTGTACATCCGATCTCTATCCTCCTCCTCTTCTTCACCGATGATGTATGTGAAAATAGTACGGAAAGCTTGCGTTCCAGCCTACCTAATTAAAGATTGACAGATGTTTAGTCGGGAAAGAGGTCCACTTTGATCTTCCTGGAAAAGCGCGATATGCGATCCCAGAGTTGCTACTATCCCTCCAGTTACAGGAGGAGTATTTATTTATCTCTGAAGGATGTAGTTACATGGGAAAGGGATCGTGATTGGAGGAAGATAAGGAGGTCCATTATGAGTACTCCGTTAATATGGGTGAGGACTTAAGAGGAGTGAATGAAAGCAGAGATGCTATTATTAAGACTTCTTACACATAGCATATTTCTCCTGTGAGTGTCAAACTTCACTCAAGCTGTGGAGGATGTCATAGATACAAGCTAATGTACATTTTAAATACGGGAAATTATAATCTGTGTCCTTTTGAGTACCAGAGTGCTGAACTGTTTATAGAAGAACTGAGTATACAGAAAGTTGAAGTAGCTATCCGAAAATTAAAATATTATAAAGCAACGGGAACTGATAATACTTTATAACCAGATACACATATAACCCAGTATTACGCCAAGTTGAAGTAGCTCTATCCGTCCAACCGCTGTGTTTACTTCCTTGCTACGTTTCTTTAACAAACCATCAGAACTCAACGACCTTCGTATATTTTTTACTGCCTACGATTTAAATATTCTATTCAATCCCCCACTAGATCCCGTACTTCCGACCTCTATCCACTTCCTCAACGAACTGCTGTATTTGACAAATCCTTTATAATTCAAGCTGTTTCCTTCTGGAATACCATCCCTCCCGATATCCGACATGCACAATCAGTTTCCTCATTTAAATCTCCTTTTTAAGCTCCTATCCCTTTTCCAACCAGATTGATCACAAAATGTAGATAAGAGAATTCTTTAAGTTCCCCCAGAAATGATTTTGTTCACTTATGTTATTTTATTTTCCCATGTTTGTTTTAAATATATCAGTGAGTTTTTAGTATTTTTTGTTTTTCTCTTCTTCCAATATTTTAACTTTAATGTATGGCCACACAGGCATTTCTTCGGTAACTATAATTTGTCCTAAAGGGAAAACAGTCCCAGGATAATAAAAAAATACAATGGTGTTGTTCACCAGCTATGTATCAATTTCAAAAAGGCTTATGATTCTATTGACCGTCAAAAACTGTATTATATTCTAATTGAGCAGGGGATTCCAAAAAATTTAGTCAATCTAGTCAGGATGTGCTTGACGGAAACAGTCAATAAAGTTAGAATCAGTAACAATTTCTCCGAAAAGTTCGAGTTTAAAACAGGGTGATTCCCTTTCACCTGTTCTGTTCAATTTGGCATTAGAACATGCCATTAGGGAGGTTAATGCATACCGCAAAAAGGTTGGATCTGGTCCTGTTAAGCGAAGACACGGAAACTATAAAACTAAATACGAATAATACAATAAATGGTTAGCTGCGAAAATGGTGATATTGATATAGATGGTAGTATGTTTGAACAGGTAGAGAAGTTTAGGTACCTAGGGTCTATGATAACTAGAAAAAACGAAAGTCAAGAGGAGATTAAGGTGGAGGCGGGAAATGCTTGTTATTTTTCAGTGACAAAACTACTTAGCTGGTGCCTCTTGTTCTGGAACTTAAAAACAAGAATATAAAACCATTATCTTACTTACAGTTCTTTATATGGATGCGAAACATGGCCGCTTACATTAAGGGATGAGCAACATCTTAAGGTTTTTGAAAAAATAGTATTGGGTAGAATATTCGGACTGAAGAAGGATGAGTTAACTGGTGAGTTCAGACGGTTACACAACTTTGAATTGCGTGAACTACATCCCATTAATATAATTGAGGTGAATCAAATGGGCTAATAAAATTGTTAGGTTTGGCAACGAGAGAATTCCTAAAAAGTTAATATTTGCTGTGTCAAAGTACAGACCAAGCGAAGGTGGGAGGATTGCATTAAAGCCGATCTGAAGGGACTGGGTTTGGACGGCAAGCGGTGGAGGGAGGTGTGTAGTAGGCGATTGATGGTGTCGGCATCAAACCTTTGGGTTCCTTTATGGATTATTATTATGGATAAAAATAGTCAAGGATGTGACCAATTATTCTGTAAATTGCAAGTAGAAACAAAATCTGGAAACCCTTCAATTAGACAATAAGGAAATGATTGAAACAAATGGATAAAATAAAAGAAAAATATATTTACAAAATTGAATAATAATTGTCTATTAATATCTTCGTTTTCTTTTTTGATAAGACTTAAATTCTTTCTTTTTTGGTCCTGCGGTTATCTCTTCCATTTCTTCATTATTTTTTTCAAAAATATCTAAATTGACTAGAGGGTTTTCCATTTTTGCCTGAAACAAAGATATATATAACAATTAATCAAATTCAATAATCTAAATGGATATATAATATAGTATGTAAAATAGATTACATGAAACGTTTAGAGTGAGAGTAGATGAAGTCCAAAATATCAACAAAAATTATTTTGTTACAGATTAATAATATTAGTTAATTGTGTATGTTTTCAGAGATAAAATTGTTTTGAGCCCTATTAACATATTATACAATTTCAGCATCGAAGTCAATCTACGACCTTAATTATTGAAATTATGACTAATATTAAAACATTAAAAACAAAATTATCACAAACTATAATTTTTGGACTTGTTCCACTTAACCCCTGAACAGCTCGTAAGATGCTCTGGGCCCAGGAAGTATTTGAGCTGGATATTATTCATATTCAAATTTGTAGGAATTGTAAGGTTATTTGTTAGGCACAACTTCATCTTCTTGGATTATCTTTAGAACAATAAACATTTATTCATTTGGAACCATTTTGCAGTTGTGATAAGTTCAATAATTAATTAAGATGGAATTGTATCAAACTATGTGTGTTTTCACCATTTCTTTTCAATTTGTTATAGCATGCTTTATTTATGTTTGTTTATTACTAGTTAGACATAAACATAATGATTGATTTTATCTATAAAAACCCTGACTACCACATCTATATTTGTCGTTGCTTTTGTCTAGCAGGTGTTGTTCATTTACCCTGAAATTTTTTTAGATAGGGATAATATGGTCCGGTCCAAGAATAATAATTTGCATGACTGATTTTTTGGCAAACATCCAACCAAGTTTTTCTTAACATGTAAGAACTCATATTTAAACTTCAATTTTTTGTCTGTAAAACATTGCATGATTATTTATTTATTTTTATTCATTTGCAATTTATAAATTGGACTTTTAAATTGGACTGGAATTTTTACAATAAATTGGACTTATCTCAAGGAAGAAAGCACAATGAATAAAATCCATGTAATTTATCCTTAATTTTAGATTATTTTCTTATATTTCTTGATTTTAATTTTATGGTAATAAGAAATTATTCTGATTTCTTTACTCTTTTTGTAATTTCTTGTTAGGAAATCGGGGCATTATTTGAGGTGAAGCATTTTACTTTTATAAATTTGTTTGATTTGTATTGATAAGTGATCAACTAAATGTTTTCAATCTTAATATGTAAGTTTAAAATAAAGAAACCTGCTGATTGCTTGAATTATCTCCATGATGACCTAAACATTAGGATTAGAAACATTTAGTTGCCCACTTATAAATAAGAATCAATCCGTATAATAGAAATCTGGGTAAAAAAAAAAACAGTTTCATAATCACTTTAGATGATAAAGATTAAAATAAACATGATTTTAACTTTTTTTTTTCATATATAAATAAGAAGTCTATTTATGAAATTTGTGTATATTATAAGGCATGGGAAAAAAAATCTCTCATGAAATTAAGTCTAAAAATTCCTGAGCAGTTCTTTTAAAAAAATTATAGTGATCCATACAGATCACTGTTAACTGAAATATCAAATGTTCAAACTCAGGCTAAAGGAGTCATCTCTCTGTAGGAATAATGCTCTCTGATTAAGAGCAACATTAATCAAGGCGTACAATAGGCGTTCATGGTCACACAGTGCATTTTGCCATGAAAAAAGGTCTGAAAATTTATGTTTTGTTTCAAAAAGCAAATTCATATTCGTGAGTTTAATAGATGCTAAAAATGAACCTGAATGGTTTTTTTTCATTACAAATATTTACTTGGCTTACTTTACTGAAAGGATCTTAGAGTTTTCTAAATTTATTATACATTAGAATTCATTTAATACAATTGCCAATATCTTTTTCTTATATTACACACACAAAAAAAAATTAATAAATAAATTGATTGATATATAATAGCTGAGAAAACCATGCAAAGCCAAGTCAGAAAAAATTTATATAAAACAATAATCAAATTTATTTTTAAAAAATTTTCTTGGCTCCTAGAATGCATTGGCAAGAACGGCATGGGTCTAATATTTTTCGACATAGTATCACAAAAAACGTTTCATTGAAATCATTGATCATACATCTGTAACCTCCCCATGTTAGATACTCTAAATGGTCTTTTTTATCTTTCATGGACTGAATTAGTAACTTTTTTTTTTTTTCTATTCTGTTCTATACCAGATGTTACATTGCCATGCTAATAACAGATGTTTACAAAAGGGTGATGGAAAAGTTAAAATAAAATATATATATATATATATATATATATATATATATATATATATATATATATATATATATATATATTAACATATATTAAAATAAATCTATTTCTTGCCAAGATATTCCAAAAAGAATAAAGCCTTATTAAATATTTTTTTTTAAAAAAGGAAAAATCATGAATAAATCACACAGATGAATGAAAAATTGGTGTTTAAATACTGAGTCCTTACACGCTAAGAAAAACTTTGTGAATGTTAAAAAATCTCGTTGGAACCAATTACCCCTTTTTTGAAAAATTTTCAGGGATAAATGGACACTTTTTAAGGACAATTTAAGATTATAACGACCAAACTATAATGAATATCAAAGCAATCAGAAAGGAAACTGTCAGTTTTAATTCTGGACAGAACAAGTTTTTTTTTTATAATGCACCATTTTCACAATATATATTAGACGTATATTCGGTAGTGACTACAAACATATTAAAGCAAAGCATAAATTGGATAAACCTTATTGATATATTCTACAGGCCTAAGTAAAATTTAAATTTAAATTTTACTGTTTAAGTAAGTCCCAACATTTGACATCAAAGTTTAAGAAATTTACTGCATTTTTAAAATAAGGAAGGATTTATATGCTATCAAAAGAAGAAGAAAAAATACACCCACTATTCCAAACCCATTAAGCAAAATTAAAGAGTGCACAGGGAAGAAACATTTTATTAGAGTACCAAACTGATTCTTACTAATACAATCAAATGGCCTGAAAATTGTATGGTACACTTATGTAGTTTCCACAACTAATACTCAGGAATAAAATGCTTTTTATTTTCAATCTTATTTAATATGAATGGTTTGTTTATCTAGATAGCAATTTATATTAATTTAACATTGATTATAATCAAATAAAAATTAGTTGATTCTTACTTTGTATTTATTCTGCACCATTCCTGCTGCTTTTGATGGTGGTCTTGCCCTTTTTCTGGTTCGTATAAGAGATGGATCAGAACGAAGTGAGGTAGGAATTAGGTAATCCGGAACATTTGCAACATGACTTGCCAATTTTATGACATGAGTAGCTTTGTCATGTCGCAGAGTTTCCCAATCTCGAGGATTATCCTTGAAATAATGCTGCAAACACACACAGTATTCTATCAAAACTAGTCATGATCTTGAATCTCATAAACATCAAAGTATCTTAACAATAAAAAAATTATTTCTATCCTGAGGAGAATAGCGAGCTTATATATTACACATCTACAGTAGTGTAATTAGTTTAGTAAATGGATGGTATTAACATCTTTCAGTAGATTAGAATAGTCAAGTAAAAAGTGGTTCAAATAACTTCAATAGTTTCCTGATACAATTTAAATAATAGTGTTCTATTTTGCTTCCTTACTACCGAAGGTAGGGAAGCATTGTATTTTTTAGGCCATCACTCAGGAACAAACCATTTGGATTGAGGCCATCTATGTCTCGGTCCAAATTGGAAAGTCAGCTACAACTGCACCTATCCACGGTGAGCTAGGTTCCTCCTAGCTTCCATTTTATCATTAGTTACCTCAATGTGAAAATTTATTCTAATAAAATAATTTCTGCACTAATTACAATTTGAAAGTGCATACATTTTTTTATTATATTAAAAATACTTTAAATATATATATGAGAGACAGAGAGCAAGGAGTGAAAAAAAAGTGGAAACTTTTAAGTGATAAATCTGTCATTAGACTACAATACTTATGGACTAATATAATTATATACAATTAATTAATAAAAAAACTGCTGCAAATTTTACACAATGATTTATTACTTCCAAACAATTATGTATCAAAAGTAACATTACTTTCTTTGTAACATAAGAAAAAAATAAATATAAGGCGATTCCTAATATTGCCCTAAATACTTTTTTATTTCATCATTGTAATTTTCTAAGAAAAATAAAACCCATTGCTTCGGTTGATGTAACACTTTAAGGATAATAAAAAACAAAACAAAGGAAATGAGCTTTGCAGTAGAACATAAGAAAAATATTTAAAAAATCATATGTTTGCATCAAATTGTCAGATTTCAACTGTTTTTTTTTTTTTTTATATTATATTTTAGGAAATTTTGTAGACTTTTGAATGACCATACAACACTGACAAAGAAATGAAAATGTTTTGAGTTATTCAGAACTTTAATTTCAGTACCCCTCATAACTTTTTTCCAGCTTCTTTTCGTTGAAGTATGTTATTTAGATAAGCTTTAAGGGTTTCGAAAGAGAAGACTTTATCCAAGTTTATTTAAATCAGTACATCCATTGCTACGGTCTATATGACACAGGTCTTACGACCAACATCTTAAAATGGAAGTACTTTTTGGTGAAGTATGTTCTACATATATATTTAAGGGCATTCAGAACTTTAATTTCAGTACCCCTCATAACTTTTTTCCAGCTTCTTTTCGTTGAAGTATGTTATTTAGATAAGCTTTAAGGGTTTCGAAAGAGAAGACTTTATCCAAGTTTATTTAAATCAGTACATCCATTGCTACGGTCTATATGACACAGGTCTTACGACCAACATCTTAAAATGGAAGTACTTTTTGGTGAAGTATGTTCTACATATATATTTAAGGGCATCGAGGAGAAGACTTTAGTCTAGTTTAATTGAAATCAGTACATTCGTTCAAGTGCTACAGTCTAAAGCAACACAGGTTTTCAGCCGCCATCATCTTGAAAGGAAAGAGCTGAGTAATGTAACAATAATGACGAGGGAGGAGGATCATCCTCCGGAGACCTACGACTTTAATTCCAAACTTGAAAAAAACAAAATGGTCCAGTAGCCTTCGAGAAAATGTGCGGATGATGGACAGACAAAATTTTTTTTATTCGAATTTCTAGTTATGCATATCCTGAAACCTAAAACCTCATATTTTGAAATAGGGTAGAGTTTTTGAATTTTTTTTTGACAATTAAAATGGTTTATTATTGAAAATAATAAACCAAAATATAAAATTATCTAAATTGAATGAAATCATGAGAGGATGATACAATATGATTGATAAGATAATTTAATTTAAAAAAATAAAAAAACGTCAATCCATCACAATTTTTATTAAGATTCTTTTTAGGATTAAGCAAGATTTATGAGGTGCATACAGAATACAATCATTTCAGGTTATATTGACATATCTTTTTAGAATATAAAGAGGTTTATGACCACAAAAGCTGATATAATCTTTCACATACTTTTTTTTAAAGAAATATTAAGCAGGTCAGCAAGCAACCTAACCTAGCAAAATATTACAACATAAAAGAAAAAATATCTATTTTTTGGATTGACATACTATTAAGGGAAAATTGAATGTGATAACTATTGATTTATGCATATTAAAGTCCCTATCCCATCTGGTTATCCAAAAAGCATAAAAGATTTACTCAATCCTGATAAAGCAATCCTATATATATATATATATATATATATATTTTATTTCTAAAAAATGTTTTTCTGTCAGTATGCCATAACTTCGTCAATTCTTCATCAAATCCCTCATTTTGAAGATATTCTTTTCCTTCACATGCGAAAAATAGTCCCATCCCCCCAAAATTTCTGCAAAAAATGTTATGAAGGAAAAGAAATTTTATTTGCGAATAACTCAAAAAGTAAGCCTTTTTTTCTTGATTGTACCCATGATAATAAGAAAAATTACTAAATTAACAACAAAACAAAAAAAAAATTGTAAAAATCGATTAGAAATTTTCTAAAATTTAAACAATTAGTACTGACCGAACTAATAAAGTGTGTTGAAATATTTTTTTAAAGAGAAACAGAGTTGAGATTTGTATTTCGCAGCCCGAAAGAAAGATCCTCGAATACGAATTTTTATTGTGATCGAAAAATAAATATTTTTTTTTTTTACAAATTTGACCTAAGGCACCCCCTCTAATTAATTTTTTTTTGAAATTACAAAAAGTGTGATAGCTTCAATATGCTTCCACCTATTCACACAAAATTTCACCGGGATATAGAGCCTTATAATATAACAAAAAAAAATCGTAAAAATTATAAGAAATTTTCTCAAATTTAAACGATTTATACAGACCGAACTAATAAAGTTTGTTGAAATATTTTTTTAAGAGAAACAGAGTTGAGATATTGCATTTACTATTCTACTACTTTTTTTCCTGGCTGATATATTAACTTTATTATTTCTTAAAGGCATTAGTTTGTTCTTACATTTTTTTTTTTCAATAATTTAGAAAATCCCATGATTGAGGCTTTATTTTGTCTTTATTATCATTCCAGTCCGTGTTTTTTTAAACACAAAATAGATCCTAGCGAAGCAATTTGTATAAATACTTTGCTCTATTATGTTAAATGGAATATTGTAATCGACCATGGAAAAAATTCCTTCTTCCTAATTCCTTCTTAACATAATACATAGGATGGATCTACTGATTTCCATATTGTTTTGCTATTTCTTCATTAACCAAAATTTTCTGCGAATTATTCGCACGGATCAACTAGTAAGTCATATTATGTTTATAATGATATAAGATAAATACTAGAGGTAATTGAGAGACCATTTAAACAACTAATAGCTAAATCTGGACGAGTGGCTCTGATTATTAAATGAAAAATAATAGCTTATAAACTTAAACAAAATAACTAAGATTTTTTACCTTCAACTTTTTACTGTTAAATAGTTCTCTTCTAATTTCTGCAAGTCTAGTTTCTTTAATAGCAAGACCAGTAACAACTTTCCACGCTTCCTTCACTCTGTACTGTAGGCCTTCTACTTCTTTCATATTAAACTGGAAGTCTCTAAAATAAATTTTTGAGTAAGTGTTAAAATGATAAAAACGATGTGTGATCGAGAGAAATAAAAACAAAGATACATAAGAAAGCAGAAATAAATAAATAAATATTCTTTAATACAGTCTTTGGTGATAGAATTGTTAAAACTAAAACAAACAAAAAAATACTTATACAGTTTTTACAACACACAACTTTCACTTACCATCATACTTTTGAGTAATAGTAGCCTGTTTGAGTAATAGTAGAGTAATCTGTTTAATTTATACATTTTTCACACACAGTCCATTTCCTTCTACGACTGCGAGTGGCTTGAAATGTTTTTTGACCAACAAGGATGGCATGGCAAACAATTTTTAAAACAAATAGTCTGTAATACAGCACATAAGTTGGGAATCTTTCGATCATTAGAGGCTGCAATTAGGTTAAAAAGTAATAAAGGAGTAGAGTAATCTGTTTAATTTATACATTTTTCACACACAGTCCATTTCCTTCTACGACTGCGAGTGGCTTGAAATGTTTTTTGACCAACAAGGATGGCATGGCAAACAATTTTTAAAACAAATAGTCTGTAATACAGCACATAAGTTGGGAATCTTTCGATCATTAGAGGCTGCAATTAGGTTAAAAAGTAATAAAGGAGTAGAGTAATCTGTTTAATTTATACATTTTTCACACACAGTCCATTTCCTTCTACGACTGCGAGTGGCTTGAAATGTTTTTTGACCAACAAGGATGGCATGGCAAACAATTTTTAAAACAAATAGTCTGTAATACAGCACATAAGTTGGGAATCTTTCGATCATTAGAGGCTGCAATTAGGTTAAAAAGTAATAAAGGAGGCTGCAAAATTTATTAAATTCATTGTGGGTACTTATATTGGTTTAAGCATGGTATGTATACCAATTTTAATTTTCATAAAACCTCTTGGCCACATTCAGAATCTTTCTTAGGTCTAGGTCACATCTTATTAGCCCTTACTTCTTGTTCATTTGTTTCATTCTCCTTTGTGCTCCGTAAGGTGGATCTAAAGTCTAACAAGCATCCCGGTCCCGAACTAAAACTAAATATAATGTATAGACTTTCCCTTCTTTTGGCCAATTCCTAATATGTGCTTAGACTTTCTTCCACTTCTAATTTAAAACAGCCAAGACCATGAAGGTTTGTAGCGCAACGGTCGCAATACTTTCCCTTGTTTATAGGATTTATACAAGCAGATGACAATATTCAAGGGGTTGAATGATCTACTCAAGTGTACTAAGGAATTGTAACTATTAAATCCCAGATTTTTTTTATTTAGGAGGAAATTTTATTTTATTTATTAGTTACACATATTCCTGGCGCACAATAAATTTGCTATCAACTTTGGTATTCAGCAAATATGATATCAAGGAGAATAAATGATAGCACAAAAAATAAGAATAATTTAGGAATAATAGGGAGAAAATGAATCATTTTCTTTTTTCTAAGAACAATAGTTTTTAAAATTAAAAAAAAAAAAGGTAAATAATTTGTTGGCATTTAAGATAAATAAATAAATTACCTGAAAATATGTTGGCCCCTAATAGAAAGTCTTTCCGCTAAAAAATTGTCAACTTCATCTAAAAGTTCTTTTTCTTTAACACTCACTAAAGATACTGCTGTACCCTGCAAAATAAATAAATTTAATTAAGAAATTAAGAAAAATTGGTAAATATAAACAAATCATACATGAGAAATTAAGTTTTTATTCTTAATAAAGTTTTTAGTCTTAATCATAATTATTAAGATCAAGTTTGTACAAATATCCCTTTAAATCTCACAATCTTAAATTTTACAATTTAAACATTTTTTGGTATATTCAAGAATTATTATTTAATTACTTATTAATTAATTATTTAAATACAGCTCCAAGAGCCATTTTCAAAAATCTTTTCTCTTTCAAAAACAAAACATTAGTCATAAAAAGAGAGAAAAATTGTTGAAATGGTTCTTGGAGCCGAAACGTTAAATAATAATTCTTAAATATATTTTAAAAAAGTGTTTTAATTGTGAAATAAAAGGTTTTGAGATTAAAAGGGGTTTTCGTACAAATTAAATCATATTAACACACACAAAATATCAAAAAAAGAGGTTGGGTACAAGAGTATGTCAACAATGTGTATGTCTACAAGGGTAGAGCAAGTAACAATATTTGCATCGTTATGTGTAAAATACTAGCATAATTTGAAGAGCATTAGTTATTGAAGTGCATTTTTAATGGAGGTTTAGCTATAAATAAAAGTTTTGTGATGCATGGACTTTTTTTGTCTTACGTATCAAGTTGTTAGGTATCACCCGTATGAGTTGGTAGGAAGGACACTACTAAATCGGTTGAGTTTATAAAGTTGTCCATTGGATGACCACCATTAGACTATCTGTGCCTGATAGTCACAATGTCTGTAAGACTACATTGTGCTACCAAAGATCTACATGGTCTTTAATTAAAAAAAAAAAAAATTGCTGAAATGCGCACTTAACATTTTTATCTTGACAAATCAAAAAATCTGGTGCAGTGTCAGACATCAGACAACTTTCACTTACCCCCTCCTTTTAGGAGAAATAGGTTTTTTTCAGACAAAGGGAAGAGAAAGTAAAAAAGCACACTGCACAAAATATTTTTTGAAACAATTAATTACCACATATTTTTCACAGCTGTCAAGTGGATTATACTATGTTTTTTTGGTTTATTATTTTCAATAATCAACCATTGTGATCGACCAAAAAATTCAAAAACTTAACCCCTCAAAATTTGAGGTTTCGCGTTTCAGGACACATAGAATTCGAAAACCGAATAAAAATTTTTTTGTCCATCCGCGTATTTTTTCCGAAACTATTGGACCGATTTTTTTTTCTAATTTTGATATAAAATCAGAGATCACCCGAGGATGATCCACCTTCATCGAGATTACTATCCGCCTTTTACTTCCAAAATGGCGGCTGAAAACCCTGCGTAGCTATAGACTGTAGCTCCTAAAAGAATGTACAGATTTCAATGAAACTTCACTAAATTCATTTTCTCGACGCCTTTTAAATTTATCTGTATAACATAATTCAACGAAAAAAAGCAGGAAAAAAATTTACGAGGGATGGTAAAATTAAATACCGAATAACTTGATAAGTTTATACTTTTTTGTTGATATTGTGATAAGATGTTTTAAAGGTATTTAAATTTCCTAATAAATGAAGGAAGTTTCATCGAAATCAAAGCACTATTAGTTGAGATATCGTGGTTTTTACATATTTTTGGTTTATTATTTTTAATAATCAACCATTGTGATCGACCAAAAAATTCAAAAACTTAACCCCCTCTCAAAATTTGAGGTTTCACGTTGAGGATACGTAGAATTCGAAAAACGAATAAAAATTTTTATGTCCGTCCGCCGTCCGTGCATTTTCTCCAAAACTACAGGACCAATTTTTTTCTAATTTTGATATAAAATAAGAGGTTACCTGAGGATGATCCTCCTTCATCAACATTACTATCCGCCTTTTACTTTCAAAGTTTTTATTAAGTTACTATAGTTTTTTTAAAGTTTACGAAATTCCCTAAAAAACAAAAAAAATCGTTAAAATCGGACAATTAGGAGCAAAGATACGGTCTTTGGTTCTTTTTCTTTTTAACTCGGAAGGTAATGTTACTTTAGATGTATAATTGTTTGGAAATAATAAACCATTGTGAAATAATTTGCAGCGTTTTTTTTCACTAAGCATTGCCTATGTGCTATTGTATTGTATATTTAAATTATCTATTTGGTTATAATAAATAATCAAGTGCCACGAAATAAAATATTTTTATTTCAACATATGTGCCATTTATAATGAAGGACGGTAAATTTATATAATTTTTAATATTTAATTGTAGAGATTACAATATTATAAAAATTAAAATTTATATAGAAGAGAAGTTGGTTGCGGTGTGCAGTCAAAAATAGAAAGTAACAATAAATAAATGATATTAATCAATTTTTTTTAGGATCTATACATGATGATATATACATAAATATCATATTTAAATAAATTATATTTATCATTTATTTATTTTTGAATGAACATCCCAACAAACTCCTCTTCTATATAAATTTTAATTTTTATAATGTTGTAATCTATACAATTAAATATTAAAAATTATATAAATTTACCGGCCTTCATTATCAATGGCACATATGTTGAAATAAATATATTTCAATAAAATTATCAATAAAATATTTTATATTATCAATAAAAATATCTATGCTAGGCTTTATGAAAACCACACATGTTTATGTATAGAAGCTTATTCTAATCTTTCGGCCTAGCTCGGCTGCGCGCTCGGGATTTGTTGGATCTCTATTAATAACAAATTATACTAGGTCACTTCTTCTCCTTTAGATAATAATCAAAATCTTTCATATTTAATCATTTTGGTTTATTATTTTTTGTATCAGGTTCCAATGCGAAATGTTTAATTATTTCAAATAAAAAGAATTAAAGGTACTTTAGAGGAAGAAATTTTGAAAATCAACCATTTAAGCCTGATAGAGAACACCAATGCGAATAAGACCTACATTATATTAATAAAAGTTTAATTTTAATCAAAATCTTTAGAGCTATTTTTAAGAAAATCATAAAAATGTCTAAAGGCAATGATATAACTGATCACTTTCACAGGACTTTTCGTTTTTGATCTAGGCTGTTGACACACACATTTTACAGAACTTGGTTATTTGGACTCAGGAGACCTCAAAACATATAGGCATTACAGACCATGTAGATCTTTTGCCATTTTCCCTTACTAAATATTGCATATATTGGTAAGTGAAAGTAAAAAGGTAAATATTTATACAGATATACTTATTTTTCCAAATCATCTAATCTAATCACCTAAACAAAAAGTACGAATATGTGCAATTTGATACAAAAAATATTTAAACCCATTTCAGATAATAACAAACAGATAGATAATCGGGTTTGAAGTTTTTACACGCAAAAGAATAATAAGTGCAATAACATGGAAATCCGGTCCAATGGAAATTGAAAACACATTAAGTACAATAAATCAAATTTTATAAAAGACAGAACACTCAAATTAAAACAATTACAACTACTCATCAACCTTAGAAATTAGAAAAAGTGGGCTTTTACACAATATGTATTCTTAAATGGCTGCAAAAGTTTCCAAATATGTGTACAGGACTAGGTTAAGAGTTTTTTTAAACTATTATATCATTTTACAATCAAATATTGACACTTTTTTAGTTTTTGATATTCCTATAAAATATCAATATTTAATACCCATGAATATTACATGGTAATGTTAACTGTTATGGATGGCATCTAATATTGAATGAACCATTAAAAAATATACAAGAAAATAATCATAAATATTAAAATACTTCATAATTATTACCTTTGTTGTTCCCCTGGCTGTCCTTCCAACCCGATGAATGTAGCTGTTCACTGATTTGGGAAAATCAAAATTAATCACATTAGATACATCTCTGAAGTCAATACCCCTGGAAATTCCTGACTCTTTGTCCTTAGTCGGGTGGTTATCTCTAAAACATATGAGAACAGAAAATAAAAATAATGACATGAACAGATATTTGGAGAAGTTACTCTTTGTTAGAAAATTTCTAAATTAAAAGAGTCCATGACAATCTTCTTTCTGAAACCTGAGAGAATTATTGGGAATAAAGGAGGAAGCAAGGTTGGAAACAAGCGGTTTCGGACATGTCTAGAATTTACTTTGACAAGACAGGTATCTAAATAGGATCAAATCATGTAAACAAGCCAGCTGTAATCACTTGGATGCTTGGATTATTTTTTATCAAGCATATGCTCAAGCAGCCAGAAATGTTGATTGTCCATAGAGGATTTTAAGTAAGACAATTTCTGGGTGAAGTCCTAATTAGCAGGTCTATTCAACAGGGATAAGAGGAGTGTTAATAGAGTATGCTGTATGAAAGAAAGTCATAAGGTTACAATGAAGGGTAAAGTTGATTTCATGGAATTTATTTCAATTTTTCAGTTATGACAACATTCTGTATGATTAATGATGATGTCATTGGGATACACAATGATGAAAGTAATAGACTGGATTAGATGTCAGCTTTATAAAAGTATGTAGAGGGCAGGAAGTGTGCAGAGGACTACCTTGAAGAATACCAGCACACTGAGAAAAAAAGGAAAGAATAAGCTTTGTTATGATTTACTTAGAATAATGTCAGTAAGTTAGGAACAACAGATAAGGAAGTATAAATAGCTTTGCTAGAGCCTATTTCTAAAAGCTGTCTGAAAAGGTAACATTCAAAATAAAGCCTCAATCATGGGATTTTCTACATTATTAAAAAATATAAAATGTACAAACAAAAAAATCTCTATAAGAAATAGTAAAGCATATATATGCCAGGAAAAAAAAGGTAGTAGAATAGTAAATACAGTATCTTTAATGAGGAAGAAATTATTAAGTATACCAAAACTAATGGGCTGTACCTTTGTTACCAATTGTCCGATTTTTATAATTTTTTTTGTAGGTAATTTAGTAATCTTATTAATTAATCATGGCTACTATAAAAAAAAAAAATGCATACTTTTTGAGTTATTCACAAATAAAGTTTCTTTTCCTTCATACCTTTTTTATCAGAAATTTCGGGGAGACATGACTATGTTACGCATGTGAAAGAGAAGAATATCTTCAAAATGAGTGGTCAATCATTGGATTTGATGAAGAATTGATGAAGTTATGGCATAGCGACAAAAAAACACTTTTTAGAAATAACATATATGATTATATATTAATCAGGATTGTTGGATATTTTATATTAATTAAAATAACTGATTGGTTTCCTCCTAATAAGTAATTCCTTTTTATTTTTTAAAAAAGCAATCAGATGGAATTAGAATATTTTAAATTATTTTTCTGAATAGCATTTTATTTCTCCCACCTTCATGGAGTCAATTTAATCATGATCAGGTCCCACTATTGCAACTGATCTCTAAGAAGTGATTTTTAGCTATGATCATCATAACATATTTGCAAGTTATTAGGAGGAAAATGCTAAGCAACAACAAAGTGGTATGACTTGATACCCAAATGATAGAACTTAGTGTACCAAGTTGACCAACTGACTGAAAGTAGAAATTTGAAAAATCAAAAATTTCTGAACTTAAAATCTCACAATTACTAACAAATCACAATGGATGAGTACTAAAAAGCTCATGAAGTTTAAAAATTTGAATCATCCCCTTTTTATCTAATTTTAAACCTGATGAAGAAAAATTCAAAATTAAAAAAAAAAGGCAGACCGAGGAGCCGCAGAAAGGATGAAGTAGCAAGAGATGCTGTAAAGTTTCATGACTGGTTGAACCTTTGGTCACTGACCAACGTTCGTTCTTCACATAGAGCAGACCCAGGGGTAAGGGGAGAGGGGACAACTCCTCTGGGTCCCGCATTATACAAAAATCAAATAAATGATTTATACCACATAATGTTTAGTTCATAATGAAGTTAGGTTTAGTTGTAACTCTAGAACAACCATAAATGGCAAGTTAGGGGATAATCAAATATTATAAGAAAATTCAAGGTTAACAGCTGAATGTAAGAATTTGGAGAGTTAATATCAAAAGTTTAAAAGGCATAAAATTTTACGATTTTTTCTTAATTACAACATATCATCTACCTAACCAAGATGATTCTGCAATATCTTATCACCTAGGGCTTCTGACGGATAAGATACACCACTGATTACATTAAATCTACTTTTGTAGCTTTTGGTGAGGAAAACAGAAATTTGAAGTTTTATTAATATTAAATTATCTCCATACATCTCACCGCAATAACATAAACTGTATTTAATTATAAAAAAAATAGCATGAATCTAATTTTTCCTTCTTGGAAAACTAATCATGTGAGGAAAAAGAATTACAAATGAAAAGAAACTAACAATGGAAATAAAAATTAATTGGAAAATATTAAAATTGAAATTAAATGTAAATAAGGCGGCCTTCAGTTTGATGGAAACTTTCTGCAGTTTACTAACCATGCAAAATAAATAAATAAAGCTTGTAAAAGATTTGGCAGACTTTTTCATAGACTGGGAGGGAAATAGGGGCAATTATCATGTTGACAACTGATCTCATTATTTTTTTCATAAAATTTAATTACTCATATTTCCAGAACGTGATGAATGGCTCTAACGTAAATATAAAAAACATATAAAACTAAGAAAACTTGTTCACCGTTACAATTACCGAACTCGTACTATGGGACAAACGAGGGAATTAGATTTTGACAATTGGAATTTAAATTTAACTGAGAAAATAATATGATTCATATCAAATAAAGTTAAAAGGGGTACCAGTGAGCAATAGCATATCCAGGATTTAATTTTTTAAAAGGGAAAGCTTGCTTTAATATATATATATAAAATGGTAATTACTCTGGAATAAAAAGAAAGGGAAAAAATTAAAAAATGGTGAAGTTAAGAAGTACTACCTAAGAAAGACAAGCATTTTAAAAACTGTACATACTTTGGTTATTTTAAGTATTTAGCTCAGATCATTTACAGAAACAAAAATGAATCAATGACAAAAAATATTATTTTCCCATTTTGGGGGCTTCAGAAAGAAAACACTCCCCTGTGGATCTGTCAGCATACAAAAAATAAAGAAATAACACACCAAGCTATAATCAACTTGGGACATGATTCCATAAAATCATGTCGTAATTGGTGAAATGGCTCATCTACAAACAAATAAAGAAATTAAGACCATTCCCAGCTTAATAAAATTCACTAAGTATTCTTAATTAAATTATAATATATCTGCATTTTTATGTCGGCTGAATAATAGACATTTGAGGTAATTATTAGAATATTCTATAGTTATTAAAGATGTAATTAATCTTAATATTGCAAATTATGCTTACTTGTGTTTTTTTTCATTAGTATTGTTAAGATTTTCAGTTTCATCTGACGTAATAATTATGCTATATTTTCCATCATTGAACTGTGAAAGTGCATGGATTCGTGAGACAGCTGGTAACTCTGAATTTAATATACATGTAGAAATTTCAAATTGTTCAAGAAACAATTTCAACCTGAAGCATAAAGTAAATAGGAACATGTAAATATTTTAGTTTGTTAGTATAGATTATAAAGAAAAACAATTTAAACTAAATTAAGTTAAAAGGATTCTCAGAATTTATAATTTTATATAAAGCTGTTTTTGTTTAAAATGATAAACAAAAGGACAGGAAAAAGAAACAAAAAAACTTTCACTTACAGCTCTACTTTGAATAGAAATTATTTTCTGGCATATTGGGCTATTACCAAGTTTTTGAAGTGTATTTTTATCGGAGCTAAACCTCAGACTTAACAGCTAACCTAAGAAACTTGTAAGGCCATTAAAATAACACATACCCTATATATTATATCGACGGTAGGCAATGATACATCAACATAACTCCATTCTCTGAGCTGTATATGTCTAGCAAGATTTGAAAGTGCACTGTATATTTCATATATTATAATCATCTGGCTGAAACTTAGTTAATAGCTTCATCTCATCGCAACCTACAAATATTTTATTTACGAAAATTCTCGGGATTGGGGCCTTTTTAATCTGGAAGCCAGCAAACTTTGTATATTTTTATTTTATTTTATTGAAATTTATAACTGTATTACATGGAAAATACAATAAGTAAATGTGACATTGGTAACATGACATGTACAACATGAAGAGAAACTACCCATTGGTAGAACTCAAATTAAAGTTTCCCGAGGCCATCTTCTTTTCAGACGCCTCGGAGGATTATCAAGGATTGAGGAGGAAGCAAAGGTTGAAACGAGAGGATTTGGATGGTTCTGCAGTTTGTTATGGAAGGAGAGGTATCTGGATTGGGCCAAATTGGAAACATATGGAACATTAAGGTCTTTATGGATAATTTTATTTGTGACAAAGTAAGGAGCGTTGAGGATTTTACGAAGGATTTTGGATTGTAAGGATTGGATACGAGAGGAATTCGATGGTTTAGTGGAGCTCCAAAGCTCAATTCCGAAGTCCAAATAGGTCTTATTATTGTCATATATATGAGTCGTTTGTAATTTAGTCGTTTCAGTCTAGTATGGGGGTGTCTATTTAATTATGTAAAACTCATAAAATATCCATTTGCTTTCCACTTGGATCTTAAGAAACTTTAATCTCAAAATCGAATAAAAAAGATGGCCTGCAAAAATATTGGGGCGTTTCGCCTACATATTCTAGTTATTTTGTCAATTTGGGGGTGTAGGTCATGAAAAACAGCTCAATATTTTTGAAGGACACCTTTTTTCTTGACTTTGTGTTTAAGTTATCTTACGATTCAAGTGGAAAGCAAATGGGTATTTACGAGTTTTAGGTACCTTAGACAAAGTTTGCCGACTTCCAGATTGAAAACGCTCCAATTTCGAGAATTTTCATAAATAAAATATTTGTAGGTTAGAATGAGATGAAGCTATTTACCAGGTTTCAGCTGGATGTTAATAATTTGATAAAAAAAGGTCTGTACCACGGACAATTAGAATTTGCTATCAGCAAAGTGTTTTATGCAATAAGCAAATCTATGTACTTCACTAGGCCACTGCCTTAAAAGTCGTTGGGATGGGATGTATGGGTTCATCGTGGAATTAAGTGTTTGGGCTAATGTATTCATGTTGTAAGTTAGTCTCTGTTGTTCTTATACTATTGTGTTTCAGTATCTGAAACAGTTTGGCTGATGAAATCCTTGTGTAACAAGTCATTTGTAATTTTGGGCAAACATTTTTTTTTTTGGAAACGTTTGAATTTTGTCAGTATTAGATTTTTTCACAAGTGCCCCATAGCTCTATCCCTTAAGTCCACCAAAGTTTTATAATTAATATGTAGATAGTAGATAGTGGTAGTTAAGGATAATTTGGAGCGTCAGTAGCCTGGACAGCAGTCCAAATTGTTTGTTGATTGAATAAAATAAAATTTAAATATTACTTAATATAAAATAGCTTCAGAAATAAATTAAATCCTTTAGGGGGAGATAATGTCATTACCCAGGGGTGACAAATGTCTTATGTCGAAACTGGTATATTTAACCTATCAGTGATTATGGATTGTACTATTAGTTACTAAACAGTACGTGGGCGGGGTAGCCGAATGGGCTAAAGCGTGTGCACTGCACCGCCGTTGCCTGGCAACCTGACATATGAATACAAAGATATAAAAATAGTCACGAGTTCGCGTCCCGGTGCCGGGGGAGTCTTTTAAATCCCCGCCCACACTCCCTGGCCCGGGAAAATCCCGTATAGCCTTAACGGCGAGGAAGGGAAGGACCCAAAAAAAAAAAAAAAAAAAGTTACTAAACAGTAATTTTCCATGAAAAAGTTTACTAAAATATAGTTATGAGATTTTCATTGCCTATCATTGATAGGTCACAAGTTGTCACACTAATTGTAAGTGGGTAATGTTTTGATTTCAAATTATTCAATAATTTAATTTTCCATAGTGTTACAAGAAGATTTTTCAAAATTAACTGACTATTAATTCTAATTATTTAAATATATTATCAGATCTAGAGTTATTAAACTTCAGTAAATGTTTTTAAGGCTATAAACATATGTTTTAAACATCCTTGAAATATTTTTATATTTAACTTCTTTTATCACCCAAGTACAATGAAATAATTACAGGAAAGGATGGTTTGGAGTGGTCAGTCAAATTGAAATTTGGTTCGTTCATATTGGGCTTTTTTTTTTTAATACTACTAACTATGAGAGACAGATAATTATTTAAAATAAACCAAATTAAAGGAACTTTCTTTGTTCTTAAGAAGAGGAAGACATTTTGAACATTTAAGTCCTTTTAGGTGACATCAATGAGGATAACACCTAGGTAATATGAAAGATCATTTAATTGTACATCAAAATTAAAAAGTAAAAAAATAATTCTACAAGGAATTATTAAAAAATTAGTGTACATAAAGTAAAATGAAAAAAATAGAAATGAGAAATTTCTATACACTGGACATCTTTTGAATACATAAAAGCAAGCAGCTTTGGATTGAAAATAAGGTTTAAAAAATTACCTTATCTTCTTAATTAAAGAATGACAAGATTAAATGTAGCTCACAGGAGTTTGACATAAATTAGGGGAGACATAAGAGGCCCTTTGCACTAGCAGATACAGGATTTAATTTTGGGGGGATTTAACCAAAAGATTCTTTTTCATATATAAAACAATAATTAATTTTTAAAAAAAAAGAAGAAAGAAATTAACTACCTTCATAAAATGAAATATTTTTTTCTATAAAATATGGTTATATTTTATCGTTTTGGGGAGGGGAGGGGGGCTTCAGCCCGAAAGCCCCTCCCGTAGATCCGCCTGTGGCTTCTTGATATACAAATATTACTGAAGTTTTGCTGTGGAATTTAATAAAAAAAAAAAATTGAACTTGCGACTGTCAAACACAAGATACCATTACTCTAACCTAATTAGAAGCTATTTGTATTTACTGAATCATATTGGATTATTGTTTGAGTCCTGTAGGAATAAGATGTTCAATAATTGTGAAAACAAAAAAAGTATGAAAACAGAAAATGCTAAATACTTACTTATAACACTTGTTGACTGTATTTACAAAAACTATACTTCTTCCTTTAATAAGGCCAAGTTTAAAAAGTGCATAAAGTATAAGTGCTTTTTCTTTCTCTTCGGCAAAGTATTTGTAATGGAATAATTGAGTTATTGGAGCAACACCGGGCTCTTGCAATTTCAAGGAAACACAATTGTGCAGAAGTAGTCCTTTTAAGCTTGACACTTCATCGGTTAGAGTGGCAGATGCAAGAATAGCTTGATAAACCCTAGGAAGATGTCTGAAAAAAATAATGACATAACACTTAATTTAGTAGAAAAAAAAATTAATTTACTCATTCTTAGAATATAATTTAAGAGTTTTTGCTCTCATTATTGACATTAAACTAGACTATCCAAATGTTTAAGAATGCCATATTAAGAAAATACAGTACATACAATGATCCTATAATACTTCGATCCAACTAGTTATTAGAAATCTATTTATAACAAAGAGTAACCATAAATCTGCCGAGAAACGAAGCTGTGGGAGAGTTCCGGATGATAAAAGGCCACAAACACCTTAGAAAACATTTGCATAGAATAGGAATGCCAGACTCTCCACATTGCAAACCTATGTAATTTGGGGGCACATATGGATGCAGTGCATTATTATATGCTCATGCTTATTGAACATAAAATATCATGTCGTCCAAATCGTAATGGTACTGGGATTTAAGGTCTTTAACAGCAATAGCCGATAAAGAGAGGAGTAATTAAAAAAAAAAATTAAAGCTATGGTTTCAATTAAACTTGTCAGTATGAAACTAATTTAGAAAACAAAGCAATATTTTCTACTTAGAGAGGAAAAATCAACTAACTGCATTTCATAAAATATTAATTTCTTGAGATAATAGAAAAATATAAATAAATGTTATTGATTCACCAACATATGTTCTTTAGATTCCAGAACTTTCTTGGATTTGACAATCCTTAATTTTGGTTTTCATAATAATCTCTGAGTTTGAAAGGAATAATAATAAATTATTAAATCGGACAATGTTTCAGACTATTTTGTCCATTTTAATGTCTGAACCTAGAATACTCACATCACTACAAATATTACCCAATTACTAAACTTTATTACAAAGATTTAAAATTCCTCCTGGTTCAAAAAATATTATGATTAAAATTCTTTTCAAATTAAAATTTGGTTCAAATCAGTGATTCAAAAACTTGGTAACATTGTTAAAAATAAATAAAATTGTGAAGAAATAATGAATACCTTATGCAAGGTTTTATTTAACTTCAGTATTTATTTAACTTAAAGAATTCAGTTCGGTAAGGAAGAGAATAAAGGTGAAATTTATGAGATCTTATTGGAAGGGGACTTAGCTTTATTTTTTTTAGGAATTTGACGACGTTTATAATAACATTTGACAGACGTCACAGCTAAGATTATATCGTGTTCTCTGTCATCAGATGCGGCACTCTAAAGCATTCCCATTATATACAGATTTACGACGGAACCTATAGAGATCAGATACGACTTTGCCTGATATCGATAGCTCAAGCTTGTTCATGAGCTACCTTTAATGTCAGCATTTTACTCTCAAGTAGATGATGGCAGATGAAATTCCATTGTAACCCACTTATAAATTAAGTCTCTGATTAGGTCATCGCATAAGTTTCAGCTGTAATAGCATTAAAACTACACTGTTTATTTAAAAGCATAATGGCCTCTATGTATTGATAAATGGATTCATTAATTGCTGTGAGCAGGTATTCAGTTTATAGCATGCAAATATTTCATTGATAAGTATGATGTACAGTCTCTTCAAAATTGCTATTGCTATTGAATTGAATACAAAATTGCTATTGAGTTGAATAAATTGTAATGAAATAAACATTACCTTCAATGTAAGGTTTTATTCAACTCAAAGAATTCAACAATAATTATGGATTATAACATTTTTAAAACATCTGTTATTTTAAATTAAGATAAATTTATTAAAAAATGATTTAATTATATTGGCTATATTTCAAATATAACTATTTTTAACAATGTTACTAAATATTAAGATTACTGGTGTGAATTATATTATTTGAAGAATTTAAATCCTAAAGAAAAATATATTTATCAGAGTCCATAAGACTATTTGAATCTACTTACAAAGAATATAACCTCACTCGATGGAAAAGATGATTATACCATTTTGGCTTTTTCAAAATCTAATTGATGTTACAAAAGTACTTAAAAATATTAATCATTGGTTAATTCAAAACTCAAAATTAGACATAAGTGATGAAAAATAATAATTAAGAAAACAAATAATAATATATAAATACAATAAACTGGTAAATATTTCAAGATGAGTAATAAATCCAAACAGAAATATACCACACAAGTATAAAGATAAAAACAACACCAACTACAATATGCTGAAATGGTAATTTTTCAACTAATAAAAAACTAATTTAAAATAGTTGAATCATTTCATCAAGAACATATGTTCAAAAAGGTACTTATGACACTTATTAAATGGTAATTGAACTGGTTCATAAAATTTAGGGTGCTGATAAGATTAATTTAAACAAATAAAAATATATATATATAAATAGCATTTAATTAAGTGAGTCAGAAAATGAACCTATCATTCCAGCAATGTGGGTAAGTTTTATTTATCGCCTACTAGTAAATATATGTAAATTTAAAAGCAAATATAATTGTTGGAAAAGTGGTCATGGAAACAAAATTAACTAGATATACTAATATAAAATGATCAACATTTTGGAATTAATAACATTAGCCGCAATAACAGTTTCGTAGTTCTTTGTTAATTTAATCTTACCATGGTTATTTCAAAATTATAAGGAGCCATTTGTTCCTACAATATAGAGTTTTTACTTGCAATCAGGGATAAATTTTTAAACTCCTTTGCAAGCAAACCAGCTGATATTTGGATGCAGTGCCTAATATTAGCCATCTAATATTAAGCACTTGTGCCTATTTAGTTTGTGTGTTTTTTTGTGCTCATTAAAGACAAAATGTACCTGACATAAGGTGGAAGTATCAAATGGAATTTAATGAAATTGATATGGGTCCATTCTGGCACTAACCTTCACAATTGCTGAAAATTGGATATGCCCATCAAATTGATTTGATTTTAGATAGACAGACCAAGTGTGTTCCTAGTTGTCTAAAACATTGAACGTTAAGTAGAAATTTCTGATACTGAGCACAAAAAAAAAGTTTATAACCCCCCCCCCCCTCCTGCATGAATACGAGTATTCTAGCTAAAAGAGTGGGAATGTCTAGATTCGTTCGATGAGTCCACCATGAAATAAATTATAACCCATCTAGGCTGTTTTCAAACAGGTATTACTTCTCAAATCTATTTAACTGGAAGTGGCATTTTATATCATTAATTTTAAATATTTTTATAATTCCTCAAAAACGGCTCTTTTTTTTTATTAAATTCATTATTTCAATGTAGTATTAAGTGGTATTTAATATCAGGCAGAAGTTTGGTTCTGATTGAAACAGTGTGACAGGACTTTAATGCCGAATTTGCAAAGTTCATTCCTCTAAAGTACCTTAGATGTTGTAACGTCAGTAATTTTACTTTTACTTATCTATATATGAAAATATGTATTTCTACTCTTAAGTTAAAAAAAAAAATAATAAGCTGTACATAGGTATCTGTTTGGCTTAACTCGCTTACAAGAAACCTCTTCCATTCTGTTGACTGCTATATTTCTCTATCCCACGGCTTAAATTAATGTAACACAATGTTCAAATTGAAAACTCTCTACTACTTTACTGACTCATAAAAATTAGTACGAATTTTTCAACTATCCCGGTCTCAACAATATACCTGAATTTCCTGACTAATAGACATCCTGTAGATTATTTAACATTAGATAATTCAACCATTAAGTTAATAATCCATATTTAACAATTAGAAAATATTTGTTTAAGAAATAACCGTGTACATCTTGCTCTTATGTAAATAATACATTAATTTTTCTTTCATATATAAAATTGATATTAAAATAAATACTGTAATCATAGTTATGAATACGGTAAAAGCAAATCACATTATTATGAAATTTATTTATTGTCTTAAAATTAATTCTAATTAATGTTTTTAATCAATTAACAAAAGTAAAATAATATACAACCAATATATTGCAAAAAGTCATTAGGTAATATTTCAGAAAATTAAATCTTCAAGTACTTTGATGTTGTTAAGGCCGGATTATATGTTAATATAGAGTTATAAACAACGGATAGAAACAACAATGCTTTCAAAAAATTTGTTGTGATGTTTATTGCTGCAATATTTGCAGTCGTATATATATATATATATATTTCATTATCAAACTTGGCACCTTGAGCATTCAAAGTTAGCACCCTCCCACTGAGCTAACCCACTCCCTAAGGGTGACATAGAAACAAATAAAAATCCTTGTAGTTAAAATGTCTAATTTTCTATTGTTGAATAAGAAATAAAAGTTTCCATAGAAACTAAATGTAATTTCTATAAAAAATGTATGAAAAATCATTTTTTTTTTTAGTTTGAACAATTAAAAATTTATAGTGCACAGAATTCTCATAATTTATATTAATTATTTAAAGCTTATCTTTATAATGTAAGTATGTCCCCAAGGTTTATCATCTTTTAAATAAATTTGTTTCTACTGGAATCAGTGTGATTAATGAAAGTGGTATAATTCATTTAAACATTTTTCATTTTTTTTTTTTTAACCTGCATCACAGATTAAATTCAAAAAATTAATAAACAAATGATAAGACAAATATTGAAACTGGAGATAATACAAATGCAAAATAAATGTCATAAATTTACTTGATAGGAGAGAGTTTTGATAAGAGAGTGGTCTAGATAGTTAATCTTCAGTTTCTTCTAGCTCTTGCTTAAATTGGTACAGGTAATATAACTTATAAGATTCTGCTTTACATGATTCAAAAGTAATGAATTTATATTGAATATAAACTATTTTCTTTAATTAACCTGCTTCATTCGCCAATTGATTATCCATAAATTCATTTTCATTGACAAATTCAGTAAAACTTCTCAATATAGTAATAACTAAAGGGAAATCCAATTTTGTTTGCTATAGACAGATGTCTATTTAAAGGTACATTCAGAAATTTCACTTTTTGCCAGAGAAATATTTATATTTCACCAATAGCTCCATCTCTTGGTTCCAATCTTTTCTCTCACAACGCACCTAAGCAGTCTCCATTCCTAATCAACCACTATCTGCCTACCTGCCT